ATTATTCTCAAGCCCTGGGACATTGTTAGTAAGATACTGAGTGCGCAAATGTTTTCACCAAGCTCGAATAATTCCTTGGAAGACAAAGCTCAGCTCTATTTCAACGATCACGAATTCAGCTATCTTATGCTCCAAGAGCACTATCTCAAAACAAAGCCCACTCTTGCAAGCAATTGCATGGACCCGAGAGAAAAGAAATTGAAGGAGCTTGAGTTGATCGACAATGCTGCCTCTAGCATTAGTGATGGCGATCTCGTTGATAGAATGATCCACGGAACTCAACAACAATGGAGTCTTATGCCGACCCATGCCATGTTCAGCTTTGTTCGCCCGGCCAGCTTTGTCTACGGCAATAGCTATGAACGGCCCGCATTCACCTCTTGGCTTGGAAATAACAGCAAACAAGGTCAGTAGTACCAAACCATCTGCTTTGCCCTTATACTAACCGTGAAACTCTAGGCAAATTGACTCGTTTTGTCAAGGAGATTCAAGGTCACATGCGCCTTCGAACTTCCGGCAACCGTGACGAGATTCGGCAGCAGTATCTTCCTATGGTTTGGGATAAATCGGTTCGACAACTCCAAGATGTCGGCAAAGAAAGTGTAGATGATGTGATTGATTTCATGGACTCTTATTTCTTGACACGCGATGACTTCGACGCTGTTATGGAACTGGGACTTGGGCCCATGGACCAGTCTCAGGTCAAATTGGAAACACAGACCAAGGCAACTTTTACACGTCTCTACAACCAACGCTCACACCCTCTGCCATTCATGAAGGCTAGCAATGTTGTGGTGCCGAAGGCGGCCCCCAAGGAAAAGCCGGATATCGAAGATGCCATTGACGAGTCCGACGAAGAGGAGGTTGTGGAGGAGGCCAAGGACGAGGATGATGAAATGGATTTGAAGAAGGACAAGTATGTGAGCCAGCCAAAGAAGAAGGCAGCTCCCAAGAAGAAAGGGAAGAAGGCTGCCGAGGATGATGGTGAAGAAAAGCCAAAGAAGGGCCGGAAACCCAAGGCCAAAGCTTAGATGCAATTTGTATAATACGATTTTCCTCTTTCACTGCAGACTTCAAATCGACACTGCAGTTGCATATTACCAAGAAGCCTTCCTTTCCTTTCACCTATGTGGGCCGTCAAACGCCTCGAATTGCAAGTAGATACCGACTAGGACCGATGATATCCTTCCCACGATAAGACCTTGATGCAACATGATAGATTTCTTCAATGACTACATCTTTGGAACATGAGGCTTTTCCGAACACGAATATAAGATCAACATTGCATAGACATTGAAATTGGAGGCTCGACTTATCTACTCGCCAACTTCACGGTCATCATCCCACCGTACCCACTTCATCACGGACCAACTGAGGGTAGTTTGTCGAATCTTTTTGCCCCAAAAGAAGAATGGAATCCAGCATATAAGAACGCCCCCACAGATAGCAGCCATCTCGCCGTACGCGATATTGTAACCGTGAATTTCCACCCAAGGGTTTGTGTAAAAGCCGAGCAGGAAGCCGAAGGCAGATTTGAAAGCTAGTTGGGTAACGACGATTTCTCCAGCAATGGGGCGATAGCTGTCGATTGTGTACACAAGGGAGACATTGGTAGCTTGGGTGATAGTGAAATTGACTAGACAAAGTTAGCCTCTTGATCAAAGAAGGTGATGCAAAACGGATAGTAGACTTACTCAAGCCAATACCAATGGTGGGAACTATCCAGTGCATCTGATACTTGATACCACATCCGTATAGAGCTAGAGCCAAGGGGCCGGTAATGGCTCCAACCATAATGGCTGGAAGACGCATTTCGGGCTCACGAATGCCGTTATTGCGACGGGTGAAGTAATCGGCAACCCAATCGGAGAAGTGACCACCGAGAACAATACCGAATGCACAGCCAATGATCGCAGAAACGAAGCAAAGTCCAGACTGCCATGCCTCAAAGCCGTAAGCGGTTGAAAACGCGGAAGCAACATTCGAGGTAATTGCTGTGATGAAGCCGATAGTTACGGACATAACGAGTGTAGCCCACAAGACAGGAGGCAGAATCAACAATCCCACTGGTCGGATGGTCATTTGCCAAAGTGATTCATGGGTATATTTGCCATGATAGAGCTTCAGGCCTTGCTTAAAGCCCGGATTGCTATCGACATTGGCATCTTCAGGAGCAATCTCATGTTGAGTAGCCTCACCCACGCCAGCTTCTTCCCCCTTGACACTGCGTCGGATGCGGTTACCAGATGGACTCAAGGTCGTAATGGTGCCTGTTGGTGCAAAGTTGCGGTTGTAAGCCGTCTCTGGGAAAGTGGCATACACGACGAGAGTAACAAAGCCAATCAAGGCAATGGCGACGTAGTAGATGTAGCGCCATGGGTAAGATTTAACAATGAACCCGTCGACGATGGCACCACTTGCAACACCGAGATTCAGAGAAGCATTATATAGCCTGGCTTATGTTAGAAGGGCAGAGGAAAGGCAGAGTTCAAGCAGTTAACTTACGCTGTAATGGTTCCGCGCTCGTGTAGGAAGAAGATGTCGGCAATAGTAATAGGAGCCAAACATTCACCCGCGCCTGCAGCAATTCCCATGACGATTCGAGCAACTAGGAAATTCGCGTACTCTTTTGCCACAGCACACCAGATAGCAGTGATAGTATAGATAGTGAATGCAGTCACGTAGACCGGCCGACGACCGTATTTGTTGATAAGAGGCATCCAGATCAGGTTCCCAAGACCTTGGAACAAAGCCGTACAGTTGAAAAAGTAGGCTGTTTTCGCGATCGCCGCCGACATACCGGTCTCTTGCCAATTGGGAAAGAAGTCCTGTGCGGTTTGAAGAATGGCGAGTGTGGGACCAGCTGCGAGGAAGTTGCAAAGAACCATGGCGAGGCACACTGCCACCGCAGTGTATAGCTTAAACCATCTTGGCCTGTTGAATCAGGATCCCAGAGTCAGATATCAAGGATTGCAGAATGCTTAATGATGCTCATGGGGAGTTGTTACCAGTTAAGAGGATCTTTGGGATCATCAGAGGGGGTAGGAACCAGAATCACCTCGTTGGTATCCTCATCGCGGAGACGAAGATGGCCAAGTGTTTTGACCTGAGCACTCTCCTGCTCATCAAACTTGGCGCTGGAGCGCTCTCTTACTTGCATATTTGTTATCGAGCCACCAGAAAGCTTGGACTGGATGCTAGTCAAAGGAGTCAGGCTGGCAGCTCGATATATACCCTCATCTTCACAGACAGCCAGCGTCGCGAATGGCTGCGGGGCCCCACGCCTGCAGTGAATCTGGGGAAACAAGTCGAGGCCCACTTCCCGGATGATGGGGATGGATGTTATCACTTTCAGGACGGTTCCAGTGAGCTCGCCTGGCCCACCTGACCTTCTCCTTTTTTTTTTTTGTAAAGCGTTGCCCCTTCTGCTGGAGCGTAAAAAAGGCCCACTAGTATGCTAGAGAAGGGAGAGTAGACCACCATTCACAAGCTGGAACCACGCGCCTCGCAGCAAAAACTCAGAACAAGAAAATCTTAATCAGTAGCTCATTTTCACTCCTCAAGAGAAAAAAGTGGAGGGTCGCAGCCGATATTGCGCGTCAAGAACGCCCTGTGGCGGCCAATGTCCAATCACCCCGCTCGAGATCAGCACTGCTATCCCGGTACGGGATGCGGCCGTCTTCCAAAAGGTATCCTGAAAACAGCTTTGTTGCTTGAGAATTCGGCCCCAGGGCGGGCCTCCGCGCTGATAGATGGTTGTTGAGCCGATGCTAACAATCCACAGGACCAGATTGACTAGGTTGACAGACTCCACATCTTTTATTCCCAGCCGCCATTGGAAAGCGGGTCGAGCACTTGCAAAAACTGCACGTCGGACTAGATAATGTTTCGCAAGGCTTGGCACTCTCCTTCTTTTCTAGTGCTTACCCCTTTGCTGCTTTTATCGAGTAGAACTGTTTATTCTGCCCTCAGCTCCTTTTGCCAGTACCAAGTTGCTACATTAATGGGCCGTTCTTTTCGTGACCATCACGATCAGCTTGGCGATAGTATTGCCTCGCTCAACGTGTAATCGCCCGGGGGGTACTAAAAAGCCGTAGATAAGCACCTGTGTTATCTTCAGATAGTACTATAAATCCGGTGATGGGAAAGTTTTTGCTATCTACTGCTTTCCCGCGAGTGACGGTATTTCCAAGATTTTTATATTGAAGCAAGTGAGAAAACTCAACCAAGTCGACTCTATCTAATACTATTATCACTGTAGTAGCTAGTACTATTAGAATTCAGCCATCTCTTTTGTAAATTATCAAGTTAACACAGCACTGGCTCTTGGGCTCGTTGTCTCAAAGTGAGGCAAACCTTATGTCGCTAGATCGCCAGATGAAGGAGCATCCTTACTTAGAGACTTTACATGTGTAAGCGGCTGCTCAGGTGTTATATAACTTCAAGTTTGCTTGTTCTTGTCACCTGATAACATTTTCCTTCATTCGCGACAGAAAGGTAACCACCATAAGAACTACTAGTAGAAAGGTAATGCTGTGTAACAGTGACATCCCGGGGATGGCACCTAACGATTGCGCTTCCACTCACCAATCCATACTTTAGTGCCGCGGTCTCCTAGTCCATTGAGTTAGTAATGTCTAAGTTTTCTCGAATTACTGGCCAACTAATCCATTTTCATATATTGGCCCTGAGGGTTGGGAAATAAGTGTCTTTGGTATCGAAGTTTCTCACAATGGTGTGTTCTGCTATTACAGTCATCTTAAACAGGCCCCATCGAACTATTTTGGCAATTGCTTATATTTAGCTTTTTTGCATGTTTATCTCGAAGGACCTCTTTACTCTGACTCCTGTGGCTCTATCGATTTTTATCTCGCATCTTCCCTGCATCTCGTCTCACTCTCCCCACGCTGCTTGGTTGTGGTCCTTAATCCTCTTCACCGAACCTGATGACTTCTTCACCGATTGATATATCAAGTGCTATCCTATCCAGTGCTTTCAACATGCAGTCCTATGACATTCGCGTCGATAATACAGAAGATAAGGTGTCGCTACAACAGCAGGAGAACCTGACGTTATCCGAAGGTGGGCGTGATGATATTCAGCTTCAACGTCTTGGAAAGATACCTGTTCTCAAGGCAAGTAAAATCTATCATGATCACCAAATTCCACTTACTCAATTATATTCAGCGTAACTGGGGTGTCCTCTCGGTTCTTGGCCTTGCCTGTACGATCCTCGGGACCTGGGAAGGGTTACTCGCGTAATACTCAACGGGAAAGCGTTATTATACATCTGTGTTAACATCGAAACAGAACCTTTATACTCTCCTTGACCAAGTCTGCAACCGCTTTTTTCTTCTCGCTCTACGTATAATCTCGTTAACGCAAATAGTGGTGGCTCGGCCGGAGCTGTTTACGGCTTCATATTCGTATGGATTGGCACGGCTTGTTATTTTGTGGTCCTGGCGGAGCTTGCTTCAATGTAATGTACAATCCGAGCTCGATTTCCTACCACTAATTGCATGATAGGGCCCCGACATCCGGTGGGCAATACCATTGGTGTGCAATGCTCGGTCCTAAAGAATATAGGAATCTCCTCAGTTATATCACAGGTACTGTCCCATATTTCCCTGAGCTATTCACATTATCTGCTTACGTTTATGGCCAGGTTGGCTCTCTGTTGTCGGCTGGCAAGCTGCCTTCGCCTCGGGTGCTTTCCTCTTCGGAACCCAGGTCCAAGGAGCAGTAAGCCTAGCATACAACAGCTACCATGCTAAACCATACCAAGGAACTCTCATCATGTGGGCTTTCCTATGTGTTGTATTCGCTACGAACATGGTAGGTGGCAGGTTCCTCCCGCGACTTGAAAGCGGACTGTTATGTTTTCATATCGTCGGCTTCTTTGGCATCATGGTACCTTTGGTTATCAAGGCCCACAACAAATCAGAGGATCAGGTTTTTGAAGAGTTTCTGAATGGTGGAAGCTTTCCTAATCAGGGTCTTTCTTGGTTCGTGGGACTCAGCGGTGCGGCTTTCGCATTCGGTGGTGGCGATGCCGCAGTGCATGTAAGTGGGGGATCAGATGTTGCTGTCTTGAATTGATATCAACTAAAACTTATAGATGGCCGAGGAATGTTCAAATGCAGCAGCGGCAATTCCGAAAGCGATGATGCTGACGGTTGTGATCAACGGTTGTCTTGGATTCGGGATGCTTTTGACCATGTTGTTTTGTAGCGGCAATATACAAGATGCATTGAGCTCGCGGAGTGGGTATCCTTTCATGGAGATATTTCTTCAAGGGACTGGTTCGATGGGTGGCACGCTTGCAATGGTCTCTGTGCTGCTTTTTGCCGCGGGTTGCTCGATCTTCGGGATGTTGGCGGCAACATCTCGACAATTCTGGTCTTTTTCTCGAGATAAAGGGGTTCCAGGATGGGTTTGGTGGTCCAAGGTAGAAATATACCCAGAGATTTAAATTTCTTCTCGCTGATCAAGAATCGCTTTCCAGGTCAACTCTCGACATCTACCAGTCTCCTCCATCGTATTGACCGTCATTATCGCCGCACTCCTAGGGCTGATCAACCTAGGGTCCAAGCTTGCACTGGAGGATATTTTATCAATGGCAGTGGCTGGCTTGTATTCATCGTATCTGATAGTCAGTGTACTGCTCCTATATCGACGGTGCAAAGGAGATATTTCTCGTTTTAGCGATGCAACGAGCATGCAGACGAACCTTCCCGGAGCCAGGCTGGCCTGAGGTCCATTTCATGTGCCTGGGATTTTTGGTATCCTTGTCAACGGCTTTACAGTGATCTACATGACCATCATAATATTCTTCAGCTTCTGGCCATCGGAAATTCACACCACAGCAAAAACGATGAACTACAGTGTTGTGGGAACTTGTGGCGTTGTGGCTCTCGCAATTGCGTACTATGCCGTGCGTGCACAATATGTCTATCAAGGGCCAATAATGGAAGTGAGGGAACAGGACTGAGAATGAGTGACTGGGCTTTTCGTGGTGTCTGGATACTTGCGTTGCTTTTTCACGAGTCCGCTTCTTTCGCCTTGACGATGGGCATATACGAGATTGAGGTTTAAGAGTAGCAAATTGACTGGTCTCCTACTACTGGTACTACTAGATTTAATTCTCTGAAGTTCCTATATTACTAATACTAGTACTACTAGCCCTGGAGTAGTAGAAGTATAGAGAGTCGGCTAGAAGCTACTACTAGAAAAATAAACAAACAACCTCGAACCTTGGAAACAAACAAACAGAAAAGAGAACAGATGGAAACTAGTCAATTCATTCTATACAAATTGTACAATTCCCCGCTAAGTAGTCAATAACCAAATACTACTTATAGTACTAAATAGTAGTCCCCCATAGAATACACTTTGTAGGGCTCACGGGCTCACGGGCTCGCGGGGAAACGATCGGCGCCCGCCACTTCCACTTCGCCCTGCCGCATCCACTCCGCCCTCTACTTCCCTTCTCTTCAACTTCAGCTTTCCTCTTGTGTTTCTGCTTCTGCTTCTGCTTCTGCTAGGCTGGTCCTGCTCAACACATTCCCTTTCTCAGTCCTACCCATCCTTCTGCTGAGCATGCGCCTTCGCCTCTGACGACTTCTTCATCCACGAGTACACCGCCATCTAACACTATCCTCGCACCTACTGGCGACCAGCTCCTCCCCTCGTTTGGAGCCGGGGAAACATGTCACTCCTTCATAATGAAGAGTAGGTTCCCCTCATACTATTTCTAGCTCTACCTCTATCTCCGCCCCTCCTCGCTATCCCCCCTGACACCGTGACGCCTGGCTGACAAGTGTTCAGCTTCGCCATCTGGCAACTGCGCTCCTCATACCTCTCGACGATCAAAGACGGCATCGGTGACCGCTTGATCAACGTCAACAACTCTGTCCTCAACACCCCAGGCTTCCGCGCTGCCGGTTGGTCGGCCGTTGCTACCAACGGCACCAGTGCTAGCAGCATCAAGCGCACCTACTCCCCTCCGATCCCAACCACGGCGGCCGTCTCCTCCGAATACTTTCGGCTAGCCGTACGAGATGCAAACGCTGCACGGGATGAGCTACAAGGCCTTGGACTGGAAGGAGGTGAGGAAGATGAAGGGGGCATGGTGACCGGCAAAGGCAACATGGATTACACAGGTCGAAGGAATCATGCTCGAGGAAAGAAGAAAGGCCGACGCGACCATAACCAAGAGACACAACCGCCGGTAGTCCCCGAGGATGACGATAGCAGTGACTTGAGTGATGACAGCGACGAGGAGAGTGAAAACTTGCGCCCGTATGTTATCAGGCCACCCGTCGATCACATCGCATACCGCGATTTCATTTGAGATTCTAACAATTTTAGGTCGGCCGACGCGATCAAATTTAACAAGATGCCCATACGCCGGGACCGAGCCGATTCCTCTCCTATTCGTTCGATTGAACACCGAGAACGACCAGAGGTCATGATCACCTCGCCCTCGACACAGAATGTGGCTAGCCATTACCGCACGGGGTCGCTGGGGACTGCGGTTTCCGGCAAGCAACAACGCCCGCGAGGGGATACAACAACGAGCAGTGACTACCTGTCAACAGATAACGAGGTCGACTCTCAGAGCTACAAACCGGGCCAGGTCCAGTTCTCGACCGCTGATCACGCAGTGGATCGTCCCCGCAGACGACGGGAACGGACTGGTAGCCGTGGTGCGGACAGTATCGTCCTCGAGGATTTGCACGAGCAGGATGAGGACTCCGGCGCAGAGTCCGTGGGATCTGCCTTGTCCTCGGAATTTGATGCCACAGCCGGCTCTGGCTCATTGCTGCTAGCTGGAGTCGGCATTAATGGTACATTGAACGCGTCCTCTCCAGTGGTCCTGATGCACAAGCTTCCCGCAAACACTGGACCCAGTCAGAGCAGCTCTCCGCGTAAAACTAAAACCCCAGCGCCCGAGTTACATGACCTTCCACCACCGCGGCCTATCAGCACATTTAAGCCAGTCAGTTTGCTCACTAAACAGCTTAAGTCTAGGAAACGAGCTCCGAGCAATCCTGTGGAGAAGTTCATCGTTCTTTCTGGCAAAGATCAGGCTGATCCACTACACCTCAAGATCTATGTTCCATTTTCATCCGATCCTGAAGATCCACTGGATCTACCCCTCACGCGAGAGTCTAAACTTGCAGAGCAACCTGCGATAGTCACTGTTGCCGAGACGATCGGTCTTGCACTTTGGAAATACTCCGAAGAGTCGCGTGATCCATCTATCGACCGAGAGAAACTGACAGTCAACCGATGGACTCTGCGTATGGTCGACGATGGCGAAGTCGAGTACGACTTCCCGGCGCTCGGACGAACACTTCCGATGACGGACTTCACATCGAACAATAACAACGCGGCGAAAATGCGTGGCCGGTCACGAGGCAAGCCATACGACGAGTTTGCACTTGTCGAAGCGACCAATACAGAGTTTGAGGAGAATGAACGACTGCATCCGCAATTCAGCCAAAGTCTTGGGTCTGATGAGGGTGAGCCCCCTGTCAACCTAACAGTCCCGGGTGCCCCAGGCGCCTCTCAACCCACTCCGCCAGTCAAGCCCGCAATAGGACGACAGAACCCGATTCTCGGCCAGCCATTCTCCTCCGCATTGAACGACAACACGCTGACGCCAGCGGATCGACCAATGGTTCCCATTTCGCATGCTACCCCGCGCATGGGTGTGACTAAGACGTTGAAGATTCGCTTCGTTAACCTAGAGGCCGCTGCGCATACGATGACCCTGAATCCCTCTACGGACAGCTACATTGCAGAGCTCCTGGACGCAGTGTGTAAGCGCTGGGGTCTGGATAAGGGCAACTACCTCCTCAAGGTGATGGGCTCGAACACTATTGCGCCGCTTGACCGTACCGTGGAGGCATTGGGCAACATCACGGAATTGGACCTAGTCCGCCGACGCTTCGGGGCTGGCCCTCTTTCACTCGGCGGCTCACCTGGTAGTTCTTCACCCAATGCCCCGCTCCAGGTAGACAGCAACCCTCAAGCAACCTTGAAGAAGGGCAAGAAGGGCGGGAAACCCATGCTGCCTTCATTCTCACAGAAGCAAGATCTTATCGCCGGCTACTACCGCCGGTACCATGTCTTCCGCAAACAACCCATGACCTTCACTGCTTCGAACCACAGGATTTTGACATTCGATAACGACTATATGCACATGGTGCCTGGCGATACAGGCAAAACAGCGGACACAAAAACACGCTCGATCAATTTCAATGATGTCGTGGGATGTAAGGTCAGCCGGCGGCATCCAAAGAGTTTCCGAGTGGTGGTGCTCCGCGGCAACGAAGCGAACGAACAAAAACGTTATGATTTTGAGGCCCGCAATGCTTTGGAGGCTGTCGAAATCGTGGATGAGATTAAGAAGAACATGACACAATATCGTATATGATTCAGGGCAGCCTTGCTGAAGGTTTTCGCTAGTTCTTGTTTGTTTTTCAATTGCACTGGATCAATCATGGGGAAACGAGGGAATACCACATCGTATCTGTATATGGGTGGCCGGTCTGGCGTTTTGTATCTTTGGTTACAGTCAATTCGAGTCTTGAAGATTTCGACATGTTTCACTTTTTCTTTCTACGAGTAGCTGGCATTTTGATCCTTCGAATGCGCGAGCGACCCCTAGAACAAATAGGGTTCACCCCACTATCCTTCAAAATGCACCACTCGAATACCACAAGCCACCGTATGTGCAAATGACTCTTAAAAAGCGTAGACCAAGGGCATATTGACACCACACAAGTGACACAACTATACATAGAGTTCCTTGCTATCTGAAACATAGTCCTAATAACTTGGCGATTCGATGTGGCTAGACGCTTCCTTTGGCCCCCATATAACTACATTAGGGGCGGGACCACGCAACGACTGGACTAGAAAATCGTAAGCCAAACCTTGTAAGCCACCTAACATCTTTGTGGCCTGAAAGAAGAGCCTACGAGCCTTCTTGTCAACCCTTGGAATATCCACGTTCGATCCCAGAAAAGATTCCAGAAACTGTGGAGAACCCAACTACCAGTAACTCCAAGCACACCACAGCAGCACCCACAAAATGGCCACCGACAAAGAAGACCGCCTACTAGCACAACCAAGCCTCTTCGTCCAATCTCACAACGACAAGGGGGCAGAAACAATCCTCCTCATCCACGGCGCATGCGGTAGCAGCAAAGAATGGGACGACGTAATCCCCCACCTAACCGATCAAAACTACCACGTCCTCGCCCCAGACTTACCGATGCACGGCCAATCCGTCTCAATCAAACCCTTCAACCTCGACACAGCCACTGCAAGCATCTTACATATTATATCCGCACACGCCAAAAATGGCACCGTGCATCTAGTAGGCCTCAGTCTAGGCGCTCACATCGGTGCATGTATCGCCGAGCGCGCAGCGCCGGGCCAAATATCCTCAGCGATATTATCGGGGTATAATACCCTTGCGCCGCCAAAGATGCTTATGCCTCTGATTATGCCGTCGATTTTCATGCTACATCATACGATTCAGATGCTCACGCAGTTTCGCACGGAGATGAAGCATTTGCAGACTGGGCAGTCTTCTTATGGACTTATATATGAGGTTGGTCGGACGCTTTCTGAGCCGCGGCCGCTTGGGAAGATCGCCGTGCGGACGCTGGTGGTTGCGGCGCAGAAAGATTCGCTCTTGCAGAAGGATAGACTTGATTCTGCGAGGAAATTGTTTGCGGCCGTGGATGGGGGGAAAGAGGGGGGGAGTCGGGTGGTGCTTCATCGGGGGATTCTACATGCGTGGCATATATTTGAGCCTGTATTGTTTGGGGAAATGGTTGTTCAGTGGGTTGGAGGGGAGAATATCAGTAGTGATTTCGAGGATATTGAGTGAATGCCCAGGTGGGAGATAGGTATATAGTACTACCCATGGACCTGGGGCCCATTGTATTGAGCACAAATCTAACACACACACACACACACACACACACACACACACTGGCAGGTAATAAATATTAGGTAGAGCTCCTTGAATTTGGGCATGTATATGAATTTGAATTAAGTCGAATCGTTTTCATCAACGGAATGTCAAATGTCAAATGTCAAAGAGAAGGAGAAAGGGAAAATTTTGGAGTCTGAGGCACTCCATGCCGCTGGCTTCACTTTGTGTAGATACATAGCACTGTCACTCTCGAGTCTCCAGATAGGTTTATCTTCACCCGCAAGGTTTAGCTGAAATAACGAATAGAGGGGATAAACCCATTAAGATTGTACAATATTGAATATAGACTTGGCAAAGTGGGACTATGTCAGCAAGGTGTTTAACTCCGGGACTAAACAGCCACTACTCTCCAAGTCTCCAACATGCCCCAATAAAACTCCAAGGGGGTCGCTATTGACATGGCTCTCGTGCGGGGTATCACTTAAATCGGGTTGATCCGACATGAAATCAGCTAAGTAATCACGATAGCGTTTAATTCATCGAAAAAAAATCAGACTTAACTAACGAGCAGAATTAAATCCTTATAAATTCGCTCCGCTTACCTTAGGGTAGGAATCTATAGTAAATAATGAGTCAAGAAGGAATATTTGGTCTATCTTTGGAACGAAAGCAAGATTACGATTGTCAATTAACTGCAATTTCCCGGGGAGTATTAGCGGGGAGAAGTGCATTCCAGATAAGAGGTCCATTTAGGGCTTGGCTATGGAGGGTGTACCCAAAGGCCGGAGCGTTGGCTCCGAGTCCCTGATAACGATGGATCAAAAGACTCCAATGTTTTGACTAGTCATAGAAATTGATTTATTACTAGTAGTGTTGCGATAAGGTATTTCTATTGGAACAAAGAATCATATATAACCTTATGAAGGAGGGAAGCCTTGTAAGGATTCAGCTGATCACAAAACTAGTACTGGCAGTGTGCGATATAACTAATACCCTTTGATCGATGCGTTGACATGGCCCAGATACATCGACAATCTGCGAGGGCCTTTATGGTAGCTCTGAGTTTCGTTTCTTTCCTGGGTATATTCAGCCCAGTCAACGCCTTGAGTTCTGCACAAGGAAAGACCATAGAGCTGAACGGAGTTCCCTACTTCGTTGGTAATGTGGCCGTGTCTCAGATATTGGAAGTACCAGTGTCAATCTATGAAGAGCCATGTCTCTCCGATATTGATATATTCCCTTTGACGGTCATATCTAGCAATGCATCAAGCTTCACAGGTCAAGAGCTAGATGAAACTGTGTCTGACTATATGCACAGAGATGATGTGTTTAATACGGCATTCTTGAAAGGTACCAATCCTCTGTCTCTCCCAGGTCTTGTAATATTAGATATATTGCTAACGATAACCCGGCCATTAGCCATTTATGTGGCATACAATGGAGATGAAACCCCGTCTGTCGAGATACGGTCAACATTTCCCACACTCCTTGACAATGGCAATTCGCTGTTCCTAGTCTCACCGGAGTACGCCAACAATGGACTGAAACGTACAGCCAAGGCTCGTCTTGCACAATCTATCCCTATCGGCCCCTACTTTGCTTCAGCGAAGACCGGCAAGATATTCAAGGCTCATCGGCTTTACTCAGATGATAATCAAGCCTTCCTCGAGCCAGCTATCAGCGACGAGGAGGGCGGGTATATCCCACTGGCCCCAGGATTTCAGGTAACGCAAATAAGTAGACTTCGTTTAGCCAGGCCAAGCAAGCTAATTTCTTACAGGGACATAGTATTGCTGTTCCATCACGGTTATACTATACTGCTACTCCAGAGCAGCCATTGGCCGGTGTAAGTATCACGAAAGGACATATTCTTCAAACTATGACAAGCAATGTTCTTACTTCTCGATAGCTCCGACTTGGCGTAAAGGACATTTTTCACGTCAAGGGTCTGCGAACAAGTGGCGGCAATCGCGGATACTACTCACTCTATGACGAACGCAACACCACCGGCCCAGCTATTCAAAGTCTTATTGACCAAGGCGCAGTATTTGTTGGAAAAATGGGAACCGTTCAATTTGCCAACGGCGATAGCCCAACAGCGGACTGGGTTGATCTCCACTGTCCCTTCAATCCTCGTGTGAGCATTCTCTATCTTAACTCCAGGGCAGATTTTACTAACGGTTCTGCAAGGGCGACGGATATCAATATCCCAGCGGCTCCTCAACCGGTCCAGGCGCAGGCATGGGGTCCTACGAATGGCTCGACATTGCGGTAGGAAGTGACACAGGCGGTTCGATGCGTGGCCCAGCTGGTGCTCAAGGGCTTTTCGGAAACAGACCCTCAACCGGTGCAGTAGACCTGGATGAAGTCATTCCCCTTTGCTCTGGTCTTGATACTGCGGGGGTATTTGCTCGCAGTGCTGAGTTGTGGTCGCGTGTCGTTCATGCTTGGTATAAGCGATTCGATGACCGATTTGACTCCTACCCCAATTCCATTTTATACCCCGAGAGCTCTTTCACTGCAGAGGCAATTAACAACACGGATGCTTTGTATTTGATTGAACGTTTCGTTACTCAGTTCGAGGCTTTTTTGGGTACAAAACGTACTGCAATTGATGTTCGTGGATCCTGGAATAGGACGCGTCCTGCTAACTCGCCCGCAACGTCTTTGGATGATTTGCTTCATTATGTGAGTATCATTCTCAGACTACCGTATAGCAAAGTCAATGGCCAAGGTTTACATTGATTGTCTAACTATTGATTAAATAGACCTACGGAACCCTCATCACTGTTTACCAATGGCTTCACCTAGGCGTGCCGTTTTTCGCCGATTACGCGAAGAAGCACTCAGGGCGTACCCCATATGTAAATCCAGGCCCTCTCCTACGCTGGAATCTCGGGAAAGAATCCGGACAGCAAGGATTTGACACGGCCTGGAATAACAAGACCATCTTCATGGACTGGTGGAATAGTCCAAGTGGATTCGGCGCTCGAAACAACGAAACCTGCTCCGAGTCAGTGTACATTTATCCAAATAGTGTTGGAGAAGTGAGCTACCGCGATGAATATCTGGGGTAGGTTGGGGATCGCAGTATGTAATCCTACAAAGACATGCTAACGAGTGTTCTAGAGGCCCAACTGCCCCGTATTGGGGAATGAGCGACAGCAACATCGCTGTCTTTGCTAGTGTGCCTGACCTCGTCGTTCCGAGTGAGTATTGAATCATCCAGTTGAACTGTTCTGCAAAATGCAATGCTAAGACTGTTTTTTAGTCGGGGAGGTTCCCTACAACAGTACCAAGAGTGGCAAGGTGGAATATCTTCCCGTGACAATGAGCTTGGTTGCTGCTCGAGGGTGCGATCTCATGTTAGCCAACATGGTCGAGCAAATGGAACTAGAGGATATTCTTCGTCCGGTCTCAGTTGGAACCAGATTGTATCCCTAGAGAATGTTCAACCAGAAGATATTATGCAGACCTATTAAATTGGTTACCTCCAGAGATTACTAGTATTCCAGGGCAGGTGATGACAAGATAACCTTGGGACTCGGAAGTGGGTTAATATAGCAAGTCATGTAATCTTAGGGTGTGATGTTGGCAAATAAATTTAATAACCAGAAATCCGGTGGCTGCAGCCTTACGCTTAAATAACCTAAAGATAAATGGTTTAAGTTCTCATCCTTAGGGTATTCTATACTTCGATGGCTCCTAAGGTTAAGGTAAGGTTGGCCCAGATCGGCCCGATAAGAAGCTCCGCGGCGATCATCCAAGTGGGACATCAAATTCCTCCCACCGCAACTCCCCATGTCACTTCAAGCTCTACCACCATGAGATAACAGAAACAACTCTCAATATGACATCAAATCCACCAGAGACTGACGGACTCCCGTCCGCACCAACAGATGATTACACCTCATCGCAGCGCAGCAAAGGCCGCTTCCGCTTCAAAAGCTCCTCCACAAAACACTCTTCCTCTACCACCCACAAAAGAGATCGCAGTCGAGATCGCAGTCAAGAAACAGATCGAGACCGAGCTCATCGATCCTCCCACCGCTCCTCCCGCCACAAACACCGTGACCGAACACACACCCGCCATCGCACGCGCTCCCCATCCCCACTCAACCCCTCAAACTACACCCCCCCTAGACGGCGAAGCCGCCTTCCGCGAATCCCTCTTCGACGCCCTAGGCGACGACGAAGGCGCCGCATACTGGGAATCCGTCTACGGCCAACCAATCCACAACTACGCCGTGCCCGGATTCCCAAGGGACCCGATGGCGAACTAGAGCGCATGGACGAGGAGGAATATGCGACTTATGTGCGTGCGCAGATGTGGACGCGGACGAGGGAGGGTATGATGGCTGAACAGGATCGATTACGTGCTGAGAGGCGACAGGCGAAGATTCGTGAGGAGGGGCGGCAGAGGCAGCGTGGGAGGGATGCGGAGAGGGAGGCGTTCGAGAGGGCTATGGAGGATAGTCTTAGGCGTGGTCAGGAGAGGAGGAAAGGGAAGGCTTGGAAGGGGGCTTGGGGGTTGTATTTGGAGGGTTGGGAGGGGGGTTCAGAAGGCTGTGTTTCGGTGTCAGGATTCATCTACTGCTACTGCTGATGGTGGTGGTGAGGAGGGAAAGAGTGGTGGGTCGACTGCTGCTACGCCGTTGCGGAATTTGCTGTTCTGGCCTGTTGAGTCTGGGAAACGGTGTGATGTGACGCCCGCTGCTGTGGAGGAGTTTCTGAAACATGCGCCGGAGGGGGATCTACTGTCTACGCTTAAGGTGGAGCGTGTGCGGTGGCATCCTGATAAGATCCAGCATCGGTACGGGGTGCTCGGGGTTGATGAGAAGGTTATGCGCAGTGTGACTGAGGTCTTTCAGATTGTTGATCGAATGTGGAATGAGGAGCGGGAGCGGGTTGGGAAGAGTTGAATGAGTCTCCCAAGAATACCTACTATCGTTCGGTGGTAGATGAACTCGGAGGATGGAGCCCTGATATCGATTGGATATAGTCCTGGACCTTCGCCATCGACGAGCATGTTGCATTTTACAGCGATTTATAGATAGCGTATAAGATACCCAGACCACTTTGCTGGTACCACAACCTTGGAAACAATAAGATTTCCCAATAACGAGAATTATCATGACTGGTTTCATTTCAATAGAAGAGAAAAAGCTGCCTAAAGGAAGTAAACGTGACGTAAGGCACCAAACGCAACGCAGATAATCAAAGCTTTCACAGGCTATGCAAGACAAACGTTCGACAGCCAGAAACAACTCATCCCCTGAACGAACGGACTGATGTTCATTTTTATATCTCAAATAGATATAAGTTAAACGAGGCTTTTTCTTAGAACCGCGAAGACCGCGCCTTGGTGCGGTAGACGGTGTAGCCAAAGTAGGCGCCGACAATAGCACCGAAGAAGAGGATAACCTTGAACAAGAACCATGTCCAGCTACCCTTCTCCTGCGGCGCCTTGTTGCCACCACGGCCGCGGCTGCTGCTGTCCTTTCCGCCGGTTGATTGGTCACGGTTATTGCCCTTGACATGGTACAGGTTCTCGGCCTTGACGGAGACAATGTCATGGTTGTCGCTCAGTTCGCCTGTCTCGGCAGAGAAACCCAAGTAGGCGACGGAGGGAATCGCGATGCTGGCATCCTCAGGAGTCAGGCTGAAGCAATTGGTCCAGGTGTCCTCAGACTTGTATTGAAGGTCCAAGGTGAGGGACTTGTCCTGGAAGTAGGTGAGACGAAGCTTGGTGGGGACAGGAGCGTTGCGGAGTCCACGGGCCTGGAAATAGCGTTAGTCTTGATCGATAGTTAGGAGGGCATATCAAATATGTAACTTACAGAGCATCCAGCCAGCTCGTTAGCCTTGCCGTCGTGCGCCTGATCGTAGGTGGTTTCACCGTCACCCATCATGGCCATAACGTAGGGGAATGATACGCCGGGACGGTTGTTCTTGTAGGTATCGACGAAGATACCAAGGCCCTCGAATTTGTCTTGCGATCCAAAAACGGGACCTTGGGTTCCGCGCTGTTTGGTGAGCCACATGGCAAATCCATCACCGTGTAGGTTGCCGTCACCGTGAACCTCGAATTCAGTCTCGATCTAGATGTGGTGTCAGAAATAGATCCAAAAAGTGGGAGGTTATTCGTTTCTTTTTGCTCAATTCTTACCTGCCAATTAGTGGCCGTCAGAGGCACGCGGGAGAAGATCCATCCTTGTTGAGAGGGTCGATCGGCCGTCAGGCGAATATACCTGCGCGAAAATATCAGTATATGAGATCTTCCAAGCCAGAGTCTCACAGGAAGCTTACTTGTCGGCCCGAATCACAGTATCACCTCCGAAGTCGAACCAGCGGCTTTGGAAGTCGGAGTCTAGGTATGGCTGTCGCGAGCTGTCAACAAAGGCATTCTCCGAGTATAGCGGGTGGGAAGTGAGCAAAGGGCGACTAGAGGTAGTGATCGTAGTAGACGACAAGCTGAAAGGGTATCATACCGGAGCGAGACTGTGAGTGCGGAGCTATACAATATCAATATCAGTACCTCGGTTCCGCAAAGGTGTCAATAAACAAGTAGAACATACCGGGATGCTTCTGATATTAGGATCATCGCCGTCATAGGCACTAGTCGGAACGGCTGCAAGGCCTGCAAGGCAGAGGAGGGAAGAAAAGGCAGGGAAACGCATGTTGAGGTGGAAATTAGGACCCAATTGGTAGGGCAGCTCAAGGATAGACCGGGGTGGGAGCGGGGGATGATTGGGAGATGGGAGTTACGGTGTCGCCAGGACCCGAAAACCCAAGAATTGAGAGAAGATGAATTGAAGAGAAACGGCGAAAGAAGGGCGGAGAGAGCGAAGGCCGAGGATCCAGGGAGAAGTTGAAAGAGAGGGAGAAGGTGATGGTTATTGTGTACTGCGACTCGGTGATGCGGTAAGGTGTCCACTTAATGTTCCATGCGCGCGTGTGGATGTGGCTGTGGCTGACCGCCTGCGCCACACCTTGCAGCTCTCTTCAAATCTTCGAGGTTCAACTTGCTACTTGCTCTCTCTGCCCTTCCCTCATCTCCCTCCACACATCACCCTCACTTCCTACACATCATGTCTCTATTCGGTTCCGGCTCTGCTTCTCCCGTCCCTAAGTCCGGCTCGGACGTTAAGGCCGGCATCGTCCAGCAACTTCAGCAGGAGTCCGCCATGAACAATGCCCGTCTCTTGATTGAGGTACGTCATTATCTTTCTTTCCTTCTTTCTTTCTTCCCCTGCTGTCGCCTTCATGCCTCCCCATACTAATTCCATTTCCATTCTAGAAAATCAACGAGAACTGCTTCGATGCCTGCATCCCCGCTCCCGGTTCCACCATGTCCTCCCAGGAGAGCGGCTGCATCTCCAGCTGCATGGACAAGTACATCCAGCTGTGGAACATCTCCAGCAAGACCTACATCTCCCGCCTTGGTCAGGAACAAAAGCGCATGGCTTAAATGCATTCTTCCCTACAAACTATTAAGGACACTCGATGCGATTGAATAATATGGAGGAATAGGTTGGTGGCATGGAAGATCCGGATCAATGGATCGTGTACGAATAGAGACGGCCTTGGAGCCCGTGTACATTATGGGCGAGGTTCTCTGATTTGAGATGGCCCGGAGTCAACAATGATAGAGGTCAATGGTACATCTTCCCCTTTGTATATGGAACCAAATAAGGAAAAAAAAAAGAAACTCAATTCCAGTTGCTATAATATGAGGAAGTAGGTTTTCGATATATAAGTATCATTCCGGTTTTCACCGCCGGCTACCACGCCGGTTGTCCAAAAGCCAAGCCCCCGCGCGAGTCGCAATCGCCGCAATCGCGGGCTTTTCATCTCGTCATAAATCGTACAGGCACTCTTAGAAGTCGGGGAACAGATGTCCATATCTGGAATTGCATTAGTTCAGATCGGTTTGAGGAAGGTTTGATCAGAGGGTGAAGGAAGGGGAATACGTACGCATCTTCGCCGTCGTTACCGTAGTGCTCCGTCTCTTCGGGATATTTGTCGTACTGGCTGGCATCGCCCTGGCCACCACGGATCGGTGGGATATAGGGTGCGTCGATATCCTTGCGGGCCAGTCGGTCCCAAGTGACCTCGGCAAACCACGCATGATTCTTAACGTCGTCGGGACCTCCGTGCAGGTTACCCAGTCGCTTGGTGAGATCCGCGGTGATCAGTTGTGACAGCAGATCAACGGCGTCATCGTGCAAGTAGGGTGGGTACTTGACCTTGCCCTTCAGGATGTTCTCGTAGATCCGGACAGGAGATCCGCTGTCCCAGAATGGCGTGAACCCGCACAGCATTTCAAAGATCAGGATTCCCAATGACCACCTGCATGTGAAAGTTAGGTAAGGTGATAGGCAAAGAAAGGAAAGGAAACAAAGGAGATGCTGAACTTACCAATCTACTGACTTATTATAGCCCTTGGATGAAACCACCTCGGGAGCGAGATAATCGGGGGTTCCGCATAGTGTCCAAGTAATATCCGGGACCTCCTTAGCAAAGCCAAAATCGGTGATCTTCAGATGACCATGACGATCAAGGAGGAGATTCTCGGGCTTCAAATCACGATAGATAACCTGATGTTGGTGCAGGTACTCCAGAGCGAGGGTGACTTCTGCGGCGTAGAATTTGGCGACTGGGTTGGGGAATCGCTGTCGTGAGGGGTTAGTGATGAATGGGGGCGGGGTTTCCTTGCCAGCGACGGGCCGTACCTGGGATTTGCGCAGAAGACTGAAGAGTTCACCACCCTCAACAAAGTCCATCACCATGTAGAGATTACGTGAGTCTTGCCAGGTACCCCAAAGGGTCACGAGGAACGGATGGCGAACGCGGTTGAGCATGCGACGCTCGTCGTTGGTGTGCTCGATCTGTTTCATCTTGACGACCTGAGCCTTTTTCAGCACCTTCATGGCATAGAAGCGGTGGTTGTGCTTCGACTGGACCAGGTGCACGCGACCGAAACTCCCAGTTCCTAGAGTGCGCTGCAGAAGGAAGTCCTCTTGGGAGTATTTCCCTTTGGTGGTGCGCTCCTTCTGCTGGGCATTGGCCGGGGCATTCTGGGCATTCTGGGCCGACTGGGAGCTCGGCTTGTGCTCCCCTTGAGCATTGGCCGGGCTATTTATGATGTTGTTAATGCTGGCGGCATTGGACAGGCCCTGATGGTGCGGAGATGCTTGTGATGAGGCGTCTGGTTGCATGGAGGCGCCTTCAGTGTCCTGGTTGGGATCGTTGGTGTGGGAATCGGGTTGAGGCTGTTGTGCTTGAGCTGAATGATGATCGGTGCCGGACAACTCGGACGAGAGGGTTTGCGAGTCCTTCGTGCGCCGCTTCTTTAGCAGGCCTCCTAAGCTCGGCATGGAGGTGGAATGTTTCACTCTTTTCCTTTGCCTTTTTTTTTTAAAAGAAGGGCCAAGGCCAGAAGGGGAGGTCCGGAGAGGTGGGGAGGGGCAACGGCCAGAATGACGCATTGATCTCGGCTGCCCGGGGTTGGACCGACAAGCTCCGGCTCCACCGGCTTGGATTATAGACGAAGTAGGTGTGATCTTTGATTATTGGTTTTTAATTCTGACCTTTGATCTTGTTCTTGATCCTTGAGAGTAGTAGAAGATGATAGTGGGAGTATGAGGTGAATTGTGGTGGTGGTGACTGACGAGGTAGGGCACCTGCCGCAAGCCGTGACTCGCAAAAGCAAAAGCAAAAGCAAAGGGACTCAATTGTAGGGTAAATCTCTCTCTCTCTCTCTCTCACTAGACTATAGTATACTCTACCATAATATGGATAATTATATGCTATACTTGAATATGCTACACTACGTAGTCTGCTGAAATCATGTTCCTCTCAATGCTGCCCATAGCGACGGAGTTACCCTCCAAAGGAAACCGGATGACGCTGATGACGTTACGATTCGATTTGGTGCTGCCCTGAGGGGTGTAAGACCCGATAAGCTTGTCGCATGCGGATCATGGAAAAAAGCCAATTTGGTTAAGCTCTCATTTGGGGAGAGGACCGAGTACCCAGCTGAATTGAGTCTTGTGGATTTTGGCTTTGATTTTAGTGCTGGTTTTGTCTTTTGGTGTTTTTTTGGTTTGGTTTGGTTTGGTTTGGTTTTAGGGGGAAGGGGGAAGTTTGGCTGAATCTGGTGGAGTCTTGGCACTCCACAGATCGGATTATGTCAGACCCACGTGATTCAATATCATCAGGCACCAAGGCACCAAGGCCCTCAGGTGTCGAACATTATCTCCATCAGCCATCGCAAGGTGGATACCTTCAAGTCACCCAACACATTTAACCCACCACCCACCTTCCCCCCCTCTCCTTCACCATGGCGCTGGTAGCCTACTCCGACTCTGAAGGCTCGGACGCCGAGCCCGACACTAAGCCCGCACCCCCAACCAAGAATACCGAGTCTGGAGGGTTTGCCATCGACCGCAGCAACCCGCGCAGGATTCGAGTCGCCCTCCCAGAGCTCAAGCCTGACCCCTCAGACGACAAGGATTCCGATGATGGTCCCGCGCGCAAAAAGCCTCGAGTTGGTGGAGGCGGTGGTGCCTTTTCTGGCTTCAGCTCATTCCTGCCAGCTCCCAAACGTACAGCGGAAAAAAAGACACCCATAGCTTCTACCCGGAAGCCCTTCAGTCTTAAAACAGGCGCAGAGCGTGGATTCGACAGAGAAGCAGATACCGAGATGAAATATCATACAGAGCCCAGCACTGGCGCAGATGGAGGAGGCGTCCCCACGTCGGGCAACCTTGGGCAGTCGGCTTCAAAGTCGAACAGTGCAGCTGCCACCCACACTCCGATCGGCGAGATCAAACTGCAAGGAAATCCAATGATGTTTAGACCATTGTCTGTTGGTCGCCCGCAAAAGAAGAAGAAGACCACTGCGGCCGCCGCTCAGCCGTCACTCTCAGCGTCAGCTCCCGCGGCAGCAGAACAACAGTCCACCGCAACGGCATCAGCTACAAGTACTGCACCACCTCCCCCGAAACCTAAAGTCAGCCTCTTCTCTCTATCCTCAGAAGAGACTGCATCCACACCCGACACCTCACTATCAACCCGAGCCGGAGCCTACGAGCCACTAGTTTATGAGGCGGAAGCACCATCAGCCGGTCCTACGCTCGCACCTGAATCTACCGCTCCTGAACCCGACTATCCGCCAGCAAATCCTGTATCATCTTCATTGAACAACATCGCGAATGACCTGAATCTCTCCAAGTCCGAGCGCCGCCAACTCTTTGGCCGCAATGCACCCTCCGCAGACTCGCGAGTCCTTACGTTCAACACAGACCAAGAGTACGCGCATAATCAAGCTCTGGCTGAAACAGAACTTGCCGCGACTCAGCATAACCCTGTCCGTTCCATCGCACCCGGCAAGCACTCCTTGCAACAATTGGTCAATGCGGCAGCTTCGCAGAAGGATGCTTTGGAAGAGAGCTTTGCTTCGGGTAGGAGGAACAAAAAAGAGGCCGGGTCAAGATATGGGTGGTGAATATTGCATGCACATGGCGTTTGTTATTACTGTACTATTTTTTACTATTGCTTTAAAGATACCAATACCAAGTTTGATATGTGTGGATTTTGAACTCTTGTTGTGATAGTAAACTCGAAAACACATCCCCAGTTCCCTACTACCGCAAAGGTATCCAATTCCAGTGTTCAATATGAAAGTTGGAAGATTGCGGCGTATAGATGAGAGCCTGAGTGTACTCGTTACCTGTACCTACTAACTTAGTAGTAACAGGACTTCGATATCCACAGGGGCTGTTCCACGTGTGGTACTGTATTGTAATTACGGGTCTATTACTTACATGTCGGCAGAACATTAAGCTAACTCGAAAATCGCTTGAGATTTTGATTTTCTGCTATGGAAAGTCGGGCCCTCACCGCCATCCAGACCGCCGGTAATCTCACCCCCTGAGCTAAGGTAATATTTCATGTTCCGGACGCGTTCGTATTGAAAGATTGTTTTCTCCGAGTCAACAAACCCATTACTATAACTACCACATAGTAGTTATAGAACTTACTAGTCGCCGTATTCCTCGAGGATAAGAAGGGCCTTGAGACGGTATTTGGCACCATCAATGTAACTGGCAAGTGGGATTTCCTGCTGCCTACTAGAGTAAGTAGGGACTGGCTGGCTTCTAGGAATCGGGGAACAGACGCTGGGAGTCGATTTCTTGACTGGGAAAAAAGGAAAGAAGGAGAGCCAGGACACGGCATAGGAAATCAAGTCAATAAGTAATAATTACTGTTCAAATTTACAGTGTCTAGCTTTATCATATACAAAAGAAAAATTCCCAAACCCCAAAATCAAAACGCCAAATAGTGCAAATCGCTTTTTTGTAGTTCCATCATGACGAAACATCAACAACTTCGGCAAACCACTGCTTCAATGCAGTTGCCAAAACAGAAGGCAGTTCTCTAACATCTCGAACCACCAAATAGTAGGGGAAGGGGAAGTCCTCCAGATATCTCTTCATCTGGAGCTTCATTTCACCACCCGAATCAGGCTCAAAGGTAGCCTGCGAGAGATCCAGAATGGAGCTACCCTTAACAGCATCAACAATGATGAACACAATCATAATGCGTTCCTCAAGAGCCTGGCGAACCAGACGACGAATAGTATCGTGATCCTCACAGATACCATCGGAGATAATCAGCTCAAGCTGCCAAAGATCAGCAGAGCCAGAACCAGGTGAGCGCTTCCACTTCGCCTCGCGGAAAAGGGCGATGGAATCCGCAATCAGTTTGCGCACATTGGTACCAGTTTGTTGATAGCTGAAGTGCTGGAAGACCTGGGAACCAGCCTCGGAGGAGAAGGGCTTGCCGAATTCGTGTGCAACACGCACATGATCTTCACTACCGAAGCCCAGGACGCACAAATCACCGGCCTCGAGCATGCTGAGACTCTTCGCGACGAGTGCGAGGGTTTCGAAGGCGAGCTGGCCACTTCCACTCTCGAGCATGGACTTGCTGTCGTCGACGGCCAGCATGATCTGGTAGTTGCGCTTGGATGGGATAGAACGGCGCATCCAGATCTTGTCACGCTTGTACTGCGATGCGATGTAGGGGATGATGCGCTTGATGTTGAGCCTTTTACCGGTGCGGAAATCACCACGGAGCTTCGTGGCCATGGTCGGGGCTAGAATGAGGCGAAGTTGCTCGGTGAGGGAGAGGGAGAGATCGTTGGTTGCGTTCTCGTATTGAGACCAGAGACGGCGGGCGTCAGCTTCGGGGGTCAATGGCGGGAGCGAAGAGGAGAGGTGGATTGCCGCAAGTTGCGTGTCGACTTCATCCAGTTCCTCGGTCAGCTCTTGAGCACCGGCATGACCATCTGCCTTATCTTTAGATGCGTGGTCACCAGGAATGAATGCCCCAGCGGATTGACCGTCAGTTGGGAGCATTTCGCGATCAAGTTGCATCTCATCCTGTAGTTGGTTGTCGAGGGCATCTTGAAGCTCCTCAGAGACGTCGGGTAGGATGTCATTTTCTGTAGGCTTGTTGTCAGACTCGACGCCCTTATTTTGGTCGAGAGCCTTGGCCTGCTCCTCATTTGCTTGTCCGAGGGCTTGCGTATCGGCCTGATCATCGTCATCCTTGAGGTGTTCGAAATCGGCATCCGCCATGTCGGTGTCTTCTGGCAGAGCCTGCGAGTCCTCTTCCTCTTGCGAGGGATTCTTGACTTCCTTTTGACGACGATGCCATTCCTCGAGCATATCTCCAAGCTTCTTGAAGGCTTGGATTTGAGGATCATTTGGCTCTGAATCCTCGCCTCCACCAGCATCGTGACTCGGCTTGGTCTCCTCGCTGTCTTTAGCAGCACCAGTTTTCTGCTCAGCGCTAGCGTTGGGGTCGTTCGATCCACTTTCCTGCTGCGCATCACCAGAAGCGCCCTTGTCTTCATTTTGATCCTGGTCAGCACCAAGGCCGCCAGTGACAGCTTCACTGGGAGCAACCTCATCGCCAGCAGCTTCATTCTCGTCGCGTTGAGCAAGGAATTCATCTTGATCTGGCTCCTCGGGATCCTCTCCGCCAGCTTCATTCTCCTCTTCTTCATTTGCTTCCCCTTCGTTGGTTTCTTCCTCGCCTTCGCCTTCACCTTCTATCTCCTCCTCCTCGCCAGGGAATTGCTCCATATCTTCGTCTTCCTCTCCCTCTCCCTCTCCAGGCTCATCATCCTTTCCATCGGCCTTCTGTTCTTCTTCGGGCAGAGGGCCCATGTCTGACATATCATCCATACCATCATCTTCTTCCCCGTCATCACCGCCATCCATGTCATCACCATCCAGTTGCATCTCCTCGGGAAGCTCCAGAGCTTCTTCTTCTTTGGTCTGCGGGTCGGTGACATCCATGTCTTCACGGCCCACCGCTTCTCCTTCATCATCGGGGGGCTTCCTCTTCTTCTTCGTCCTCCTCTTCCTCCTCTCCTTCCTCGCCCTTCTGGCCCTCCTCGCCCTTCTTATCGTCTTGGGCAGCAGTTTGTTGATCAGCCTCGGCCTGACCCTTTCCTTCTTCATTCTCCGTCTCTTTCTGCTTCTCATCATTCTCGCCGTCCCAGAGCTTCTCATCGACAGCACCAGAATCAAGATCATCAACATCACCAACTTCTTCGTCGATATCATCTTCTCCTTCCTCGTCCTTGTCGTCCTTCTCTTCATCCTCTTCGTCCTTATGATCACCAGTCTCGCCTTCCATTTCTTCCTGGTCCATGTTGACAGCATCGGCAGAGTCATCCATGTCATCCTCATCATCATTGGCATCTTCTTTTTTGCCTTGCTGAGCGAGCTCGGAGAGATCTTCATCATCACCGATATCCTTGCTGATATCCTCCGCACCTTCGCCATCGCCAAGTCCGGTTCCGCTTTCCAGCTTCCCTTCCTTGCCTTGTTCCTGTGACGCTTCGGAGGGACTGCAGAAGCCTTCAGACGCGACTTGAGTAAAGGTCTTGGTCAGGATGTAAGAAGTCTTGCAAATCTCGCGATGGGCAGATACAAATCGCTGAGACAGGTCTTGGCAGATGTAGAAGTATTGGCTGACAATCGGAAGGACACTAGCAACCAGTGCAGCAGCAAGTGGAAGACCACTTGCTGAATTGTCTTGTAGATGCTGCAGCTGGTCGAGGACTGCCACTAATGAAGATGAAATTTCATTGATGTGAACAGCCTTGGTTGCTCGGGAGAAGAATTCGTCACTTCGCGAGAGTAGACCAGCAAAATTGATTGCAGTGGGGACGTCCTTGAGTTGCTGAAGGCCAACAAGCATTTTGTCGATTGCAGCGAGAAGACTGTTATCGAAGGCCTGGATAGAAACATCGCCTTGCTGGGTTGGCTGCGCGAGGGCAATGCTGTTGGACAGGGCCCACGGTGAGATTTGGTTGAGAGCAAAGGTCAAGTCAGGGCGCTCTTGAGACCACCTGCTTAGATTGGCAGATAGTTGATCGAGAGAGGAACGGGCCTGCTTGGTAAACTCTTCTCGGGCCGAGGACGCGACACCAGATGGAAGTTCCGGGAGAGATCTGAGATTCTTCAGCAAGTCCTCGACGTGAGTCTTTGTAGACTGGAGCTCTTTCAGAATAGTAACCGCCCGGATACCGGAGAACTTGGAATGGATCTCAATGATCGTCGATGCCAGACCGAGAATCGGAACAAGCCATGCCAGAGTTCTTGCGAAAGTGTTTCTTTCTTCTGTGCCAGTAGCATTGGACTTGACAAGCGAGGTTGAACCAGTTGACCAGAGACTCTGCATGTTGTCGAGAACCTTCTTGAAAGACCCAAGGGCTGACATGGCAGGTGCAAGAGCTCCTCTCTGTCGACGAATAACGAACAAAAGATGCTCGATAGAACCCAAGCTTCTGAAAACCTCAACATTGCTCAGCTCTTCCGAGTAGTTTCGAGATGCTAGACGAGCACGAGGCAACAGATCCAACAGGCGATGGAAATATGAATCAGCACTGTGGACAGATTTCGAGATTGTAGTACCGGACTCGAAGGCTGCACAGGTGGAGAGGATCTGAGCGAGTGATGCTTGAGTTTCAATGACGCTTGTTCCAGCATTGCGCTTCACACCCATTTCAAAAAGTTGCTTGAGAGTATCGGCATAGAGGCGACGCTTCTGGACCTTGAGGTGCTGGACATCGTCCTTGTTGTCTTCAGTCAAGGTTTTGGGGGTCTGAGATTTAAACTCTTTGATGCCTTCGATAATGGACACGGTGAACCCGTCCAAATCCTTTGCGATGTCAAATTCACGGGGGATGGATGTGTAGAGATTCATCATGTTGTGGGCTGTGCCATCAGGGTTGCGGAATCGGACAGCTCGGGATGCCCAGAGCTCATTCTCCTGCTGGCAGACGGACAATGCTTCAGGGATGACAATAGTGGCCAATGTCCTCTCGTCTGATTGAGATCCGAATGAATCTCCCATATCATCTGGAAGACCTTGCTCAAGGACTGGCTGAGCGGATTGATTGAGAGCCTCACGATACTTGCGGACAAGTTTGAAGAGCTTGACGTGAGATCTCCTAGCACTCTCCTTCAGAGCAACGATGTTGGTATCCTTCCAGCTTGCCAGCTGGATTTGCTCCTTGAGATCCTTCTCGAGTGCGGATCGCTTCTCCTGTAGGATCTTGTCAACCGACGGCTGGAAGGGGCGGAAATGGGCGATGAAATTATTCAACGCGGAGACGAGGGGTGTCAGACAAGTGTAATCATTGGCAAAGACACCAAGCAACTCGTTGAAGTCGGAAACAAGCTGAAGCCGGCGACCAAATTGGCCCAAGGTTGTGGAAGCGAAGAACTGTTCCAGGGTTGAAATTACACCTTGAATATGCGCGCTCATGTCATGTTCGCCATCATCGGCCATCTGTAGTGGCACTGCGAACAGGGCTTCATAAGCAACAAACCACCACGAGCTGACATCGTCCTCACATCGATCCTTCTCAAGATCCAGGAGCTTCGCCCACGTTGTGAGCTCAAGACGACGCCAACCGACAGTCATGCTGGTGATTTCATCATACTGAGGGGCTGCGGAGTATTCCCGGCTGGCAACCAGTTGCCATTCATGCACGTAGGAATGAAGCTTTTCAACCTTAGTCAAGAACTTCGCGACAGGCTCGGTGTGCTTGAACTCAAGAATTTCGGAGCAGCAATTGATGACATCCGCAAGGACAGCATGCTCCGGCCAGGCAGTCTGGATTTGAACAAAACGGGCTTGGACCGCCAGGGTGAGGTTGACAAGCCTTCTAGCTTCAGCCAAGTTGGAATCAGTGTAGAAGTTGTAATTCTTCTGTCTGTCTTGGTTGTCTTCGACAATCTCCTCGTCAAGTAGCAAGAAGACTGCCGACAGGAGCTGTTCAGGCGAGACAGGAGAGAATGAAGTCTTGCTCTTAGACCATATCGAACCTAACAGACGTGCTGATTGTTTGACATGAGATGACAACGCTTCACCAGTCTGCTTATCGCTCACAATATTGGCATGAAGAGAAGCAAGTCGCATAGCAATTGCTCTGGGATCGATGCGACCAACGTCCTGGGGGTCAAGAGGAGTGCCTTCGTCATAGGTAGGGAAGAGTTCATGCAATTCTGCCTCGTTAACTTCTTCCTCATCCTCCCATGAGCCACGGTAGCGGTACAGATTTTTGCTTTCTGCTTCCTTCTCCTGGTCCTCTCTGAGTCTAGTCTTCCAAAGATGGTGGAAATCAGCGAAGATACGGCGGATCGTACTGTGGCTAGACTTGACCTCAAGAAGTGTTGAGTCTGCATCCTTGGCAGTCCAAACACTAGAGAGCTCGTGGAGACGCATCTCGATGGCATTGGTAGCACTTGGCTGCTTCTCTGCATGGGCCAACGAGAAGACAGGATGCACAGATCCACCCATGAAGGGAGTTTTTCTACTCAGTGTCTGGATATCGTTGTTTTCGCTAGACTGGTCGATTTGGCTAGAGCCCAGGAAAAGACCAACATCGAGAAGTCGGAGGAAACGAACGATGGGAACGGTCATATCATCGTAGGATCTGTAGTGCACCCGAAGTCGGCTGCTCAGCTGCTGGATATTGTCGCGTAGAAGCTGGATGGTCTCTTTAGATCTTGAGGCATTCTCAAGACTGGCAATCATTTCCTCGGGGTTCCTTTTCAGAACGGAGTTGATCAAGTTGGCGAACTCTCCATGCAAGAGGCTTAACTCCGACTTGTCCGGGCGAGTGACAGATGAGGGAGGCGGAGCAGAGCCCAGTTGCTGGATCTCTGTCTGTAGCAAAGAAGATCTCAGGTTGGAAGCCTGGCCCGAAAATGTGGTCTCAAAGGAGAGAAGCGCGTTAGACTTGGCACTGATTTCATCGAGACGCTGGTAATGGCGCTTTCTTTGCACAACAAGACCAAGTGAGGGGTCAAATGCCTTGTCTGGGACAAATAGTTGAAGCAGCATAACAGATAGCTGAACGGCAGCAAGACCAGCGTAGTGGATACTCTCCTCGTGACTCGAGGGAGTGGCAGTCAGGGAGTGGATGAGACTTGGGAGAGCAGTTTGGGCAAACTCTCTGAAGAAGTGGGTATTTTCAACAGTTCTCTCCAGAGCGATAGACATGGAGGATTCGATCTTGACTGGGTTCCCTCCCTCGATGGCTTGAAGCACGGCAATCACTTCTTCGGCGCTGTTGGGGTCAAGAAGCTCCCGGTGGGCTAGGAGGAGGTCCACAGTAAGAGCTGCAACAGTACGCCTGAGGTTGCTAGACTGATCCACTGAAATGTTCTGACTGCTTTGCGAGAGAGATTTGGTGAGAGCTTGCTTCTCGGCTTGCAACATGTCCATCTGGCCCAGGGTTGTGTTGCGAACAGATGTAAGTCGATCCAACAAGGAGAGAGACAGGACGCCTCCAATGGCAAGCGGGGAGCTTTCGCCGGCGCCGGAAAACAGTGTCACTCTGTTCAGAATTTCAGGGACTCGGCTGTTTGAAGCTGACGAGTCTAGGGAACGTGCCAGACGACCAGCCAGCAGAGGCACAACCGTTTGGAACTTGCCTTGATCCGAACCACCAAGCGAGAGATCGTGATATTGGCAAAGAGCCTCAAAGTCTTGCGCAAAGTATGGGTATTGTGCAGATTCGGAACGTCGAACTGCGTGGCTGAGCTCTGCGACTGTTTCTTTGATACCCTGCACAAGAGCATCTCCGTCCGCGCCGTCCAGAATAAAACGCTGAGCAGTCGACAACGAATCCCAGATCTTGCTCAGCTGCGACAACTCGACGCGTGTTTGCAGAGCAAGAGAAGTGAAATCGGAGACGGTCTTCTCCAACTCAATCAATGATTGGAGCTGCTCATGGGAAGCAGGGGTGACGTGTCTCCATGAATCCCACATTCGCTGCATACTCAAACCCGTTGTCAACTCCCATTCGGCACGGAAACGAGCAAGTGCACGGGACAACGATCCTTCCAGTGGCTTCAGCAATGGGGACGAATTGAGCAATGATGTACAAACCCGTCTACCAATTTGCAAGTAAACTTGGAATTCGCCCTCGTCAACACGGTCCACATCTGTGACGCGATAAATATCCCAGCAAAGACTTGTGATTGTCCGGAGCGCAGCAACAATCTCTGGAGACTGTAGACTGTTCTCATCCAAGTTTTGGATGAATTCATACAGTGCTTGGCCACAGTCAGAGAGGAAATTTCCGACTGGTTGTGTCGAATCCTTCATCAGTGATTGAATTCGAGTCGACGCCAATGATCGCTCTAGGCGTGTCATTTGACTTGGCTTGAGCTGCTGACTAGATTCATTGGCACGGACCAAGCCTTGACGAAGTCTGTAAACCTCGAGTCTAAATTCCTCAAGGTAGGCCAGAACAGTCATACTAGACCTGCAGTCATTCGTCTTTGAGATAGAGACAAGCGGCTCGTTGATGAGAGGGTGGATAGGCTGCAATGGCCCTTGAAGGCTCAAAGGCGCCCCGCCGATTGTAATCTCACCAGCTGTAGCATTGAGAGGTTTCCATTGGGAATTGTCATGCAGCGCAGAAGCATGACGTTGCAACGCAGCGGAGAAATGGTGGTCGGCATCACCTTCCTTTGTGCTAAATGGCAGGTATGTGCCTGGTGCCTTTTGGAGGTATGAAAGATCTGTCGAAGAAAGGTGGTCTAGGCAGACTTCGAAGAGATCTTGGGCTTTGACAGATCCCGCGGCAGAGTTCAGGTTCCAGATATGACGGAGGCGGTAGAGAGAAGACTCGCAGGTGTATGATGGGCCTGTCGCGGTGGGGGTGTCTTGGACTTCATTCGACATGAAGCAGATCTCAACACATCTGTTTCGCATAGCACGGGACAATTCACCGTTTCGAGGATCCATATTGAGGAAGAGTCGGAAGTTGGGATGAGGGGTGATGATCCGGGCTGATCCATCCTCGGTCCGCTGTTCGTTCAAAATGAGTGTACCATTGGGCTCTGTCAAGGAGTTCAATCTGTCCAAGACAGACGGGTTGCACAAATTGGCATTGTCAAGAATAACCCAGTCACCATTCTGAACAGCCCGAGTGAGAACACCCTCGGTCCATTCGAACCCAACCTTCATCTTGTCTGAGTGGCGAATGAGATCCCACAAGCTCTGGGCTCTTTCAAGGAAGCTTTGAAGTTCCGGAACAGGGTGTGACTGGCAGAGTGCTGACAGTGAAGAGATCACAGTCTCCAGTGAGATTTCGGAAGTTTGGAAGTGTTGGCAGATCTGAAGGGCTGAAGCAACGGCCTCCGTAACATCTCCCGAGGCGAAAGAATAGATTATCTGGTGTCGTAAGAAGACCTCAATGTCGTGCACGAAAGAGGAAACTTCTCTGCGGTGATCAATCTGCTCAAACCCACCAATCAAGTCCATGGTATCAGTGTCAGCACTGAGAGCAAGCTCCTCTAGGTTTGCACCCTTGATAGCAGCAAGCTTCTTGACAAGGGTGGTTTTACCACACCCGGCGGGACCGACAAGAATACTTGGCCACGAGTTGTCAATGCAGAGGACAAGAGATTCAAGGATATGGAGATCCTTGGGCAGAATCTTCATTTGCGGTTCAACCGATCGCTGGAGAACTGGGTCACGAGACAAGATTCCTAGGCCGATTTGCAAGTAGTCGGGAGTCAGATTGTGATAGTAGCTCTTGGGAACGATTTCCGAGTCGGTGAAGATACGATCATAGAGCTGAGATACCAACAGTCGGTCATCTTCACTCCTGAACCGATGGTTGATGACAACGTCAAGGAAGTGTTTGGTAGGAATCTGCAAATCTCCACGATCTGCCAGCTGCAGCCATCGCTGGATATCTCGCAAATTGACCTCCCATGGACCACCAACAGCACCCAGTCGACGTTCGGCCACAATAGCTCTGTTCAATGCAGAAATAAAATCAACCAGCCGCTCTGTCTGATGAGAGGGGCTTCCAGGGAAGAGCTTGGAGCAAATCTTCTTTAAATCATCATCTGTGAAGCTGTCTGCATAGACGACGGTGAAACGATTGACAAAGGATGCGGGAAGACCCTTTCTGCCGCCACCTTGGTGGTGAGGGTTCTGCGCTGCAAAAAGAACGAAGTTTGGATGCCGTTTGAAGGTTTGGTCAAGTTCGGCAATGTAGACCTGTTGCCGGTGATCCAGACAGGAGTTCAGACCCTCAAGAACCGATTGTGAGGCCAAATTCATCTCATCCAGCAGTACCCAGTCACCACGCTGCATTGCTCGCAAGAATGGAGCGTCACGCCAGGTAAACTGGCCAACATCTCCTCCCTCAACCGGTACATCAGATCCAAACAAGTCCGTCAGATCTGTCTGCTCCGACAAATTGATTCGAGTGAGGGGCTTCCCAAGAGCCTTTGCAAGAGCCGTCACGAGAGTAGTTTTACCAACACCCGGGCTGCCTTCCAGCAAGATTGGCTTTGATGACTGCAGACCACGAGCGATTCTGACTGAGTTCGCAATTGTGGTGGGTGCATCCATGGTAAATTGAGGGTCGGGGTCGGTCTCACCAACAGTTGGAAGTGAGAACGGACCAACCTGCAGATATCCAGGCTCAAGGGTGACTGTCGAAGATTGCCAGTAGATTGCGGAAGCATCTGCGTTGAACAGTTCGCTCAGTTTGTCGAGACATTTCTGGCGATTTCCTTCCAGGTTGTTTAGAGATACAGCAAGCATTGCAGCCGGGTTGGCTCCAAGAGTATCAACAAATACCATGGCAGCACCTTGGATAATAGCAAACAGGGTATCTGCGTTCTGGCAGGTGTTTACAAAGTCAACCCAGGCAAGAAGGTCACGCAGAGAAAGAGAGGTAGTCGATGTGTTTTGGAAAGTTGTCTTGAACCATTTGGCAAATTGCAGCATGGCCCTGGCTACCTTCTCATCCTTGAGATCCAGTCTCATATAAAGGATGGGAAGGATATCTTCATCGTCAGATAATTGAGGTGCCCAGATCTCAGTCATACGGTTTCGGAGAGCCGCCGAGAGCTCTCGTTTGCCATAGTCACCACCAGGGTTCATGGTTGAAAGAAACTGGAATCCTCCGTCGGCCACAACCATTGAGTCGACTGGACCCTTTTCGGCCAAAAGAATCGATCTGGCCGGTTCAAGGACACTGTTCAGTCTCTCGAGGACGGAATCATCAGCAAGGGAAATCTCGTCGAGCAAGAAAAATTGCCCGCTTTTCATGGCAGTGATCAGGCTTCCATCGGACCATTCAAACAGTGCATTGGACCGAATAATATTTTTTTTGGATCTTGCGTAAAAGATCTTGATCTTTTTCTTGTCTTTGTTGCGCATCAAGGGCTGACAGGTCTTGCTTCAATTGCTCGAGAGGGAAATTTCCAGATACCTCGCCATGGATGAAGAGTTCAAGATCATCAGTGAGTTGCTTCTCAATTGCAGCACGGTTTCGGATTGGCCTTTGAGCACCAATAAGATCGCCAGTCTCGAGGTTGACATGAGCGTTGACGATGAACAACTCTCTCTTGAAGGCCTCTGCAACTGCTTGGCAAAGTTGTGTTTTACCACATCCAGTCTCTCCAACCAAAAGGACAGGTTCGTTGTTCTTGAGAGCTTTGGAGACCAAAACGAAAAGGCGTCTCATGGCTTGAGTCCAGACGATTCCGGAAGGAAGTCCAGCCATTTGAGGAACACTCTTTTCGAGTTCTTTGTCGCCGTATAGAACATCCTCGTCCAGACGAACCTTCATGACTTCCTCGATAACCTTCTTGACAGCGGCCTTCTCTTGGGGGTTTCGGACGCGTTCGCCGAGGAGCATGAATCCATTAACAGCTAGCTGTTCACGATCGTCGGCATCGCGAAGAGCCCATCGAAACAAGTCACGAAGCGTAGCGAAACTGTTTTTCTGTTCGAAAAGACGGTTTGATTGGCGAAGGAGCGACAATTTCCGATACACAGAGACAATTCTTGTACAGAAGGACGGGGCGATTTGAGATCGCTCTTTAAGAATAAACTCCAGTTCGCTCTCTGGGATGTCGTCGAAATGGAGTTCGAGGAAACGATTTCGGAAAGCGCGGGAGAGGACTTTGCGGCCGCCATATAGACCAGCAGGATTTTGAGTGGCGAAAAGCATGAAGTTGGGGTGAGGATGAACCACTTCCTGGGTTTCAGGAATAAAAAGCTCACGGTTGTCATCCAGTAGTCGATTCAGTGCTTCAAGGACATCAGAAGGCGCCAAGTTGAGCTCGTCAAGAACAATCCAGTAACCATTTCGAAGGGCCTCTACTAGCACACCTTCCTGGTAGCGTAGACTTCCGTCATCGGAAGAAATATATGATCCCAAATACTCCTGAAGATCAGTGTGCTCGTGGTTGTTGATACGAACAAACTTGTTTCCGGATACCTTGGCGAGGTACTCGATCATACTCGTCTTTCCGGCTGATGTTGGACCTTGCAGAAGAACTGGGAAACGGCGAGTCGAGCTGGCTCTGACTAGGTTCTTTAGGTTCTTCTCGATGAAGGGGGTTATGATATACTGGGGCTGTTCCTCTGGCATGAGAGGACCCTGGCGCATCCAATAATGCTTAAATTGAACGTAGGTGTGGCCATCTTCGGGCGCACGAGGTGTTCTTCCAAGGAGTGACTTCGCATTCTTTGCATTCTCAAAGATATGCTTTTCGAGGAGTGGAGCCAAAGATCTCTCGGAGTTCAAGCTCAGTACGGTCAGGAAACTCATGCTGAAACCCTCGAAAATTGCTCTTCGAAGGCCATAAACGTGAGCATGGTCAAGGACGTAGACAAGGGCGCGGACGAGCGTTCGGATGCTGAAATGGGGCCGCTGGCCAGCTCCATCAGTCAGTTTGTTCTCGTTGCTAAGCTTCTTCGTCTCCATATAGAGCTGTGCAAGATCAGGGACGACTCTCTGATCGCCCATTGTCAGGTCACCCAGATACTTCTGAATCAATGCGAGAAGATCATTCAAGTCGCTGTCCGGGGAATGCACATAGAATTCTGTGAATCTTGATCGCAATCCAGGTGGCAGATCTCGCTTTCCAGCATCTGTTGCGGGATTCATGGCTCCAAAAATGCGGAAGTCGGGATGACCAAATACCCTTTCCACCTCACCAGCCTCAGAAAGCAGGACAGAAGGTGATCCTTCGCTTCCGTGATGCAACAGACTGGCAATATTCTCAAGAGTGTCTGGAGATGCGAGATTGACCTCGTCCAAAAGAACCCATTCACCATTTCTTAAGGCTCTCACGATTTTACCCTGTACGAATGCAAAAGCAAATTTCGCGTCACCTTGGGAAACTTGAGCCTCGAAATCGGAAAGCTGGGTTTTAAAACTGTCCCATCGCCGACGCAAGTGTTGATACTTGGGGGAGTCAAGCTTCCTCTTCTTTGCTGGCTGTTCGTCTCCATTTTCGGCATCTTTCGGGGGTGCAGGATTGAAAACACCATTGGCTAGGCGGACAGCTTCGTGCCAGAGAGTCACCAGGCGAGCCCAGTTACCCGAAGCAACACTTTTAGTCACTGAAGAAAGGAACTTCTGGTTCTTTTTGGCGGAGAAAGTCAATTCGAAAAGCTGGGTGAATTCATCCAGCATCGGTATAGCCATAGTGCGGATGCTGACTGGCTTAAACCCTCCCAACAAGTCAGTGCTTTCACTTTGTTGCGACAAGTTAACAACAGTGAGCTTCTGTCGCATTAATGTTGCGAGATGTTGAATGACGGTCGTCTTTCCGATACCGGTTTCTCCAACTAACAAGACAGGCTCTGCCATCTGGACCGAGGCCGCAACCTGTTCCATAATGGATAGAGCGGACCTGGTAGAAGCAAATCGCGATGCTGCTGCTGCAAGCTTCTGTGCGGATCCACTTGGAACCTTGATCTTCTGACAAACTTCACGGCCAAGCACAACTGAGTTGTTCTTATCTGTGTAGGTTGGCGTCCTTTCCTCAAGGCAAAATTGTGCTCTTTGGGGGGGAGATCTGAAGGGCCTCGGAGACGACAGAAGCAAGGCTCATTTGCATGGATTTGTCGGGGATGTACTTGAGGAAGACATCAACTATGTCCAAAAGAATTTCGTCATCAACGCCTTCTGGGGTAGGTTCATAGCCGGTCTTCGCACCAATGCGCTGCAGACGATGGTTCAAGCGACTGCAAAGCTTGATTAAGTCGCGGAAGCCAGGAGTACGTCCCTGAGATCCTTTGATGGCCAGACTACCGTGGAATGCCGCACAAATTCTGCCATAGACGTCCATGATGGTTGGAACTCGAGACTCAAGGAGGCTGAATTTTTGCAAGATTACATCCCGCATCTCTTCAACGGGCAGAGAAGTAACTGGAACTCTTTGCCATAGCCGGTTGCCAAGCATGGAGGTAGTAGGTGCAATTTCCTCTCCAGCAATATTGTAGGAAGACTTCATGGTGGCGATGATTTTGAAGCCTTCTGCGCACTTGATCCGCTCCCTTCGGCTGGCGATTGTCAACTCGCCTCTCTCGATGATTGGAAGGATGAGACCAAGCACTTCAGATGGAGCACGATCCAGATCCTCAATCAAGAGCCAGCGGCCCTCTCTCGCAGCCTTTGTCAAGACACCTGGCTGCCATGAAAAGGACCCAGATGCGGAAGATGTGGCGTACATTCCAAGTAAACTCTTCGCATCTGTCTGCTCGTTGAGATGCAAGGTCACCATTGACTCTGACTGGCCCATCTTAGCTGCGATATGATCGATGAGCGTAGTCTTTCCTGCATTAGGCAAACCAACTAAAAGGATGGGCTTGAATCCAAGGAGAGATGTCGCGATCCGACGCAGATTGGCAGTTGCCGTAGGAGTTTCGACAACAGAAGAAGGAGAGGGGTGTGCATCTTTCAGGCGGGGGATCAAAACACCGCATATATCAGCAGATCGACTGGTGAAGAAATCACGGGTATCATCGATAAGTTTCATGGCATCGGTATCGGATCTTGATGCTCGGGTGTTTCGGATAGAGCTCTCGAGAGATGCCCACCGACGCTCCTCCCAGAGACCCAAAAGGCGATAGTCAATTGTGATTTCTTCCCATTCTCCTTCAATCGGGTCGGTGCCAGTATTGACACGCAGCATATTTTCGGTGGCTGCATCGGCGGCGTGCATATATAGGGCAAAGCATCGTACGGCGAGGTATCGAACAACTCGATCTTGGTGTGGGAAGAGGGATTGGAGCTGGATTGGGGATACGGCCTTTGAGAACGTCTCCAGGTCGAATGAAAGAAGTCGGAAAAGTGTAAGAAGCAGATTTCTGGTGCTATTTGTGTCCAATTGACGAATTGTGAGTTCTTTGGAGTCGGTCAGGGCTGACTGGGGACCCGTTGGTGACAGCGCATATTGGCTTGCGAAAGGTCGTAGATACGGCGCGAAGGGAAGAACCCGTGCGAAAGCCGAGAGAACGTGAATGTAGTCGGTACTAATATCGGATCGCAGCCATCTTGCAGCCAAGTCCACCACCACTGGCTCGTAATTTCTGAAAACGCTTTCTGTGAGTGTCGTGTTTAATGCGCCAAGCGCAAGCGCATGTAAGTACTGGTTGCCCGAAGCAGACCGAACGAGACTTGAGATCTCGCTCGGTAGCTGCTCGAGCAACTGAGGTACAGATAGAGTCCTCTCGTAGACGGGCAGATCGTCCATGTTGTGCCCGAATTCCAGAGGAGCTCTTCGATGTTCAAGAAAAGAAAGACCGACGCTCTTTTTTTTTCTGCCAACACTGAACACTCCGCCCCACATTGTTCTGCTCCCGCTGGACCTTGACCGCCCTGAGGCCTGGTTTTGGTTTGGGCCCATGACTAAGCGGGGCCGGGGAGCTTGCGCAGCTCCGGCTCATCTTGCACCATCTGGCCATCTTACCTGAATATCTTCGCATCTGGAGATGCTAGCTCTTGGAGGCATTGATGATTCACGATGTCAATGACAGGTCAGGGCTCCAGCAATGTCGATGAACCCTTAGCGGCACACACCAATCCGCAAGACGATTTTGGGTTCCCTGAGTCTCCAGAAGCTAATCGCGGCGCGGAGGGACTTAATGAGCCGTGAGTAGCCACGAGTTCTCCGATTTACAGGCCGTTTTGCTAAGACTAGACTTGAAATAGGATATCTTTCAAACCCAAAAAAACGAGACAGTCACGATTCAGTTTGTCCAATCTATTTTTGAATACCGCAGGCGGTTCAGGCAACACACCATTCGGCTTCTCCGCGACAGGGACCCAAGGTGGACAGAATGGGGATGCTTCGCCGTTAGATACATATGGGCCATTGGGCCCAAATACCGATCCCAATTCTTCAAAAGACGGTGTGCCCTCGGATTGGTATGTGGAAGGTCCTGGCCGCCGCGTTGGTTACGACGACTTCTCAGCAATCGATTGGATCTATGAATACACCAAAGAACGCCAACGGAAACGGCTGCTATATTCCAGCGGACAAGGGATCTTGGGTCATTTCCGTCGCCTTCTCGATGCCAGCAATGTGTGGCTGGTTTTGGTTGCAACTGGTATTGCAGTCGGAATCATTGCCGCCGCCATCGATATTGCGACAGACTGGCTAGGTGATCTTAAAACTGGCTATTGCAAGAGTGGTCAAGGAGGTGGCAGGTTTTACTTGAATCGAAGCTTTTGCTGCTGGGGTCTGGATGGTAAGTCGCATTTCGGATAGTTTGCAACTTCCGGGTTTCTGTCGCTCATGTTATTCTCTCCTCCGACAGATTATTCCAAATGCTTGGATTGGACACCATGGGGGACTGCATTAGGAGCATCCTCTAAGGGAGGACAATACACTGTTGAGTATATCTTCTATATCCTCTTTTCAGTAAGAGCCCTATATTTCTTCATATTGCCTTAGTCTTTGGTTAACAGGTGCCTGACAGGTGGTTTTTGCTTTCTGCGCGTGCATCCTGGTTCGTAGATTTGCCATCTACGCAAGGCATAGCGGAATCCCTGAGATCAAGACCGTTCTCGGAGGCACGGTCATCCGGCATTTTATGGGCCCCTGGACCTTGGCCATTAAGTCACTTGGACTGGTATGTTGTTCTTGAGCTGGTGTTATATGCTGTTTTCTCACCACTTCATAATTAGTGTTTATCTGTCGCATCCGGCCTATGGCTCGGAAAGGAAGGCCCACTGGTGCATGTTGCATGCTGCTGCGCGAATATTATGATGAAACCTTTTGACAGTCTGAACGGGAACGAAGGTTTGTTTTCCAAGTTCCATACTGTATCTCTTGAAACTAACTTTTCAGCCCGAAAACGGGAAGTGCTTTCTGCAGCCGCCGCTGCAGGTATCTCGGTTGCATTCGGTGCCCCTATCGGTGGTGTGCTTTTCAGCTTGGAGGTATGAGAAACCTTGGATATTTGCAGTCTTCTTCTTTGCTTGTTTCTTATCTAACGATACTAGCAACTTTCGTACTACTTTCCTGACAAAACAATGTGGCAAAGTTTTGTTTGCGCTATGGTTGCTGCCGTCACACTACAAGCTTTGAACCCTTTTCGAACAGGCAAAATTGTGCTCTACCAAGTCACCTATACCCGAGGCTGGCACCGCTTTGAAGTTATCCCATTCATCATACTTGGTATTGTGGGCGGTCTCTTTGGAGCTTTCCTCATTCGTCTGAATGTTAAAGTTGCCAAATGGCGGCGATCCCGAACTTCTTCAAAGCCAGTCATTGAAGTTGCTGTAGTAGCACTTCTCACTGCTCTAATCAACTTCCCGAATCACTTTATGAGAGCTCAGAACTCGGAACTGGTTCAAGCCCTGTTTGCTGAGTGCAACAGCGATACAACCGATACATTTGGCCTATGCGTTACCGGAACTAAGTCGGCATTTGGTGTCGTCGCTCTTCTTTTGGTAGCCGCTGTTCTCGCATTTTTCCTCGCCTCCCTGACTTTTGGACTCGATATCCCAGCCGGTATCATTTTGCCCTCTGTGGCTATTGGTGCAATGTACGGACGTGCATTAGGTATTCTTGTCCGCATGCTGCAAGAAGCCTATCCAAAGGCATTGCTCTTCAGCAAGTGCGAGCCTGACATTCCATGTGTAACGCCTGGCCTATACGCGATTATCGGTGCTGCTTCTGCGCTAGGTGGTGCGACTCGGATGACCCTTTCGATCGTGGTCATCATGTTTGAGTTGACGGGAGCCTTGACTTATGTCATTCCAATCATGATTGCCGTGATGCTGTCAAAGTGGTGCGGCGACATCTTCGGGAAACGTGGTATATACGAATCTTGGATTCAACTCAATGAATACCCCTTCCTTGATCACCGGGATGACACTAATCCCCCAGACGTACCTGCTCTCCGGGTCATGACCACTGTCGACGACATTTCGGTCATTACAGCTACAGGCCATACTATCGATTCGCTTCGAGGGCTTTTGACCAATACCACCTACCGAGGCTTCCCTGTAATCTCGGAGACATCAACTCCAACTTTGCTCGGGTATATCACACGGAACGAACTTTCATATGCTCTGGGATATTCAACTTCGCCTACAAACCGAAGTCTCACCGGCGAAACTCAGGTCTTCTTCGTCCATCAACCATTTGCTGATCCTGTCGAAACGCTGGATCTTCGGCCATGGATGGATCAAACTCCTATCACTCTCAACAGCAATATTAGCTTCTTGATCGTGCTACGAATGTTCCAGCGCCTCGGTCTCCGCTATGTGCTCTTCGCAAATAAGGGTATTCTCCAAGGCTTGCTGACGAAGAAAGACGTCTGGTCAGTGCTCAATGGTGTGGAGTTTCGGCGCCAGGAGGCTCTTCGAGGTGATCATTTCGATGAAGATCATAACGGCACCGAAGAAGAAGGACTGCTTCACGGTGAGAATAGAGATAGTGTCAGCAGTAATCTGCGGCGGGATTCATTGTGATTATTGTTTTACGCGATAAACCCGGACGCCGCAGCAGCGATTTTCAAGACGTTTTAATTTTTTCGAAGATCTCATGACACTTGCTAGAACTATAGTTAACTAGCGATCTACTGGCCATTTTTATGAATATACCTCAAACTTGCTTGCTATGGACATTAGTACTTCAAATCTCCAGGATTACTCATCGCAATTCACCTTGGCAGGCTACCATCAAGGTTCATCTTGGAAAATGGCTCCTAATTTCCAACTTGAGGTTCAAGTGTTGCTCATGAGTGGATGCCTAGTATTAGTTACTTGTAGTAGTATTCAGTAGTTAATTCTATAGGAGTTTTATACCTGGTTTTTAGAGCTACACCTGGGCCAGTGCCTCTACATTTACTAGAGATTAGCTTCAAGTTGTCAACGAGTACCTAGGTAACAGTAGAATTATAATACCAGTGGAAATACCATGAAGTATTGTATACTAGTAATACCTAGTACTTTTGGGTGCCCAGGTGGGAAGCGCAATACCCGGCCAATATATCTTCAAGTCCACAGGCTGTTTGTCCCGAGGTCTGAACCACTTACCTTTGACGATCCCCTGAGGACCTGAAACGCGCCACGGTAGAAACAACACCAAATCTTTTACTTTTTTGAAATAAGTATTACCCATGAATTTCCATCCTTTGATCTACCTAGGTACTAATTTACCATTTCAGTCCTCCTTGACTCATATTCTGCCACGGAACACCGCCTGCGGCAACAGACAGCGCCGCCGGCAGAATGCTGCGACAAGCACGGAGCTCTTCCCCAGAAACAAACCTTCCTCAAAATTCCCTCGCCAAGATGATGGTCGATCCATTTGAAGTGCGCATGCGCTTCACTACACAGCTTCAGCATCTAAGCGCATCGGTCACGTCTTCGCAAAAGGCAGCGCATTATGCACTCAAATACCGTGATCTGGACGAGGATCTTCATTCCTGTATCCTAGAACAAATCGAGAGAGTAAGAACACTTCAGGTCTTCCGTTACACTTATACGATATTAATGATTTCCACTTCACAGAACAACATGAACAACCGCGCAAACATTATGTCTTTCATCGAACACTTTTGTGAAATGGCCACTAAAGAAGACCACCTTCCCTACGTCCGCATGATGCAGCGTGACATTCTCAGAGTTGTGGACGCAGTTGTCCCACCCGATGGAACAGGAGCTGCCAACGTTAAACATGTCCGCCTCGTCCTTGACAGCATGCAAGGCAAGGGAATACTGTCCGCCAAAACCGTTACCGAAATTGATGCAGCCCTCAAAGACCGCGACACGCACCCCGCACACCTTGATCTCGAGGACGAGGAAGAAGAGGGGCCAGATGATAGCGTGAGATCTAAGACCGAGACCCCACGCAACCCCAAGGCGTCTGGAATGCGCGTCGACAAACGACAGATTGAACAGCGCATCGAAGAGGACCGTGAGCGAAACAAGCGACTGCGAGAGAGTATGTGGGCCGTGGAAGGAGACGATGAGAAGGAATGGTTGAAAATCCTGGATGAAGTGAGCGATATCGGTTCCGATGATTACAGGAATGCCGCAGAGGAAGCTGCGGAGCGCCAGCTCTGTGCCGACCAACATAGGGCTGATGTCTTGAAGCGATTTGCAGAGGGGCATTGATCTCATTTTGGTCATGATTTCTACGACATATGCCCTGTTCGATTTACATGAAACCTTCTTCTGTGGGCGTTAGGACTGCAAATATGGGCAAGCATTGGGCTTTGGCGTTTTACGTTGATGATTAAGATACCTTTTTTTGCATTTGAGGGGAGTTTCCCATACAATTTGTGTACACAAAAAGTGAACATTCTATTAAAATTCTTGGTTGGATCACCCTATGATTCACTCACCAAACCCACCAAACCAATCAAACTCACAAAGAGACTAATTTCCTTCTGGTATTATACAGGGTTGTAGTATGGTTGCTTATGATAGGTACAAAAATGCCTAGTCAATCGGTCACTAGGAATACAGTCTGGAGGGACAAGAGATTTTGTGTACTAGATTTTCACTCGGCTCCTACAAGAACTTCTTTTCTATTCTTTGCTTATAATCTATTATTACACTTTTGTCATAATGCTTGTAGTACTAGTTAGTAGTATGTAGTTGAGTGTATAGATTGGACCCACACCGCGCCAAGCCTCCCGGGAAATCCTTCCACCGAGGGATTTTTTTTTGGTGCCGCGCATCACTCGGCAGCTCTCTGCAGTGATTTAACACACCTCGGATTGGCTTTCAATCTTGGCCTCTATGTTCTCTCAAATTGTCACCGCTGCTAAGGGCCTTTTCACGCGACCAGAGTCTGAAGAGACATCCCCAGATCCTGCTAGCAGCAACGCCCCGACTACTTCGAAAATGGTGACCGCCACTCGTCAACGGGTTGTCAAGCCCGAGCAATCTACAGAGGAACCCGTTACCAACGGCGTCGCCAAGGGAGGCAAGAGAAAGGCACAGGGCACCAACACAGAAAAGCCCGACCAAAAGCAAACCAAGCGGAGGAAGCGGGATAGCCTCGAAGCTGCCGAAGCGACCAACGATACCCTTGCACAGAATGGCAAGCACGAAGAAGACAGCTCGAAGCCGACAGAATCCGTGCCAAAAGGACATCGCCGCTTCGACAGTGAAGAGCCCGACATGACAGAGGAACCTCTAACTCAAGCGACCACGAACGTCTCTAACAACGATGAAGACGATAGCGACAGTGACAGCGACGATGATGCACCGGAGACGATCGACAACTCTGCCCAACTTATGAAGATTAAGGAACAGGCGAAGCGACAAGAAAAAATCAAGCAACAGTGAGTGTCTCGTTAGCGCTACGCCGAACTAATACATGGGAAATCGTCTAACATTCTCCCGCAGAGAGGAGCAAGCAAAGAGAGAAAAGCGAAGGAAATTAGACGAGCGCCGAAAAGTCCAAGCTAAATCTTCGAAGACCAAGGAGATCTCTCCCATCGATGACCTGCTGTCCGAGAGCACGGCTACCCTCCAAGGATCGATCACACAAGACGCACGGCGGGCCGCTCTCCCCGCTTTGCTTCCCGATGACATTTTGAATGCCGAACCCGCAGAGCGACCGCTCACACCACCTGCCGAGGACTCATTTGCAGTACCAAAGAAGTCTAGCAAGCTGAGATTTTTGGAGAAAAGCGAAAGAGCCCCGAAGGACATGCAGGTGGGAGATGTTACGATCCGAGTGTTGGATGCGCCATCTTCATCAAAGTCCGGCTCTAAGCCCGTGCTGGCACCGAAAGCCTCCAAGGCTGGCCGCGATGTCAAGAACAACTGGATGAAGAGGGACCAAAGCTCTGGCAAAGTCAATGGGCTACGGAGGACAGCGGGTGGACCATCGGGTTTCGTGCGGCGGTGAAAATAGCTGGAGTTTTCAATTTGTATAGATATCTAACGAACCATCTTGATACGGCCTGGTGATGGCCTCGGGCGCTTTGTGAATAATCTTGCATGATGAGTGTGCAATAGTCGACTATAGTCATTGGCATATTTTACTACTATCCTTTCGGGCTGTGTGACTTACTAAGGATGTACCTGCATTTTGTTTCAAAACAGCACTATGGTAATACCATATCGCCAGAGAGTAGTACTATGCTAGTATTGTGTCTTGTAGTTCCAAGTTCCAACGTCCAACGTGCACATTCGTACTACTCCTAGTTAGTAGACATTCAACGTCGGATCCACCGCGATGACTAAAGTGGAGCACGTGCGAAGCTCCGACCTTGGAAGCAGCTCGACTTTTCGCAGCTTCCACTCTCCAATTCCCCCATTTCTTCCTCCCTGGCGGAGTTTGCCTGTTCACCATGGCATCCGCATCAGAAGATTCACCGTTACTGCCTCAGCCGAATCCCCCCTCGCCACGGGCAACTCGCCCTCCGCGGTCAGTGACGTTCAATCCGTTGACGACAATCAGCACCTACGGCGGTACCACCCACTCCGATCCGACCTTCCGACCTCTACAGACTGGTTCACCTCCAGTTCAGAATATTAATGCGCAGGGTGGACACCCTCGTACTGGGGGCCAGCCGATGCTCTCCGCGTTGAATAGCAAACTTCGTCGTCGCAATAGTTATGGCGCCCCCCCTCACTGCACCGAACACGCCTGCAGGCTCCAAGATTGGCCCGCAACGTACCACGAAGAAAGCGCAAAAGCTCAAGCTGCTCCCTGATCCCGTTACCGCTGAAGAAGAAGATGGTGATTTTCCCCGCGATGTCTATTCGCAAATCACGCGCATCAAGGAACCCGCCGCACGGAGCCATGCTGCACGTCTAGGCAAAGCCGACCGCGATCGTATTCCCCGAGTCACTGCATACTGCACTGCCAACTCATACCGCCTGGAAGGTGTCATCAAGTTCCTGAAGTCCCGCGCTAAGTCTCGTGGGGCGAATCCCAAGCTGTTTGACGAGTGCGTTTATTCCCCATTCGACTATCAATTCGAAGAAAAGCAGAAGGGAGGCCGGCTCTTCCCTGTTGGCGGGAACAATGGACACCATGAACGGCGCACTAGTGAGCGCAGATATTCGGACAGTGCGGTGGAAGTAGAGGACAACACCAAGACACGACGAGAAGACTTGATCGACTTTCGCGATGAATCAGGCCGCCCAGTCGATGTCGATTCAGAACACGCAGTATCAGCACCGCAATCGGATGAAAACTTCGATATTGACACGACCATTCATACACCCGAGATATTTCTTTTCGACTACGGCACTGTTGTGTTATGGGGTATGAGCCCTGCGCATGAATCCCGCTTTTTATCAGATATTTCCAAGTTTGCGTCCTCGATCTTAAGTCCGGATGACACGCAGATTGAGAATTTCAATTTCTACTACGCTCGCGAATACCAGGCGCGCATATACAATGATTTTATCTCACTCCGAGACCCGCGCAACCATATGATTAAATTGGCAATTTCCCATGCACTGGCCCAATCGGTGAAGACCTCTCTCTTCGAGGATCTTGTATCTGAAACCATTTCCGACACAGCTCCGCTCCCAGCTCAGATCGCACAAACGGGTAGCGTCAACCTGACTCGTCGGCAAATCAACATGCAGATTGGCGAGCTTTTCATCCTTCGAATCAATATCCATTTACAGGGGTCCGTTCTCGATAGCCCGGAGCTTTTCTGGGCGGAACCTCAGCTCGAACCCGTCTATCAAGCTGTTCGAAGTTATCTGGAGATGGATCAGCGAGTCAGCTTGCTCACCGAGCGACTAGATGTCATTGCAGATCTTCTCGCCGTGCTTAAAGATCAATTGACACATCGCCATGGAGAATACCTAGAATGGATCGGTACGTACGAACTAAACACGTATACCAGAGCCTACTAACTTCTATCCCAGTAATTGTTCTCATCGGCGCAGAGATCTTGGTCGCCGTTCTTAACATCGTTGTCGATCTCTACGCTGGAGTCGATTAAGGCCTTATCTGCGCAAGGATTACAGATCTTCCACATTTAGAACGCCGAAAAATGAATACCAACCAGAGACATGGAGAGAGAACCGGATTCCTCCCATTTCGATCGACAGTCGCGGTCAAGGCCCGAAGAAACCCATTTGCATTATCGCAAACAGATGTGTATACCATTACGTTACGCAATGCACCTTGCCGCCGTGATACAGAATCAGCTACGACAGTACTCTACTCCAGATATGCGCTGCCCGGAGAGGGAATATCCTTGGTCCGCATCAATCTGATATCTATTTGCCACCGAACGCACGACCACACACAGGACCTGGTAACGGCAACATCTCACCTTCCTTTTCGGTCAAGCACACGACACAATCACCCACATCCCGCCCCATTTTGACTTGACTGTACATGAAAAAGATGCGAGCTCACCAATACATTAATCCCATCTGCCTTTTGACTGTTATGCTGGTATGGACTTTCGGTGGTTATCTGGCTATGTGGCTTTACTTTCAAGGAACGCGATTATGGCGCACCTTGCACATTCAAAGTTACAGGACCAAGGTTGTCTGTCAATACATACATTTCCGAATGAATACCAGTTCAGCTTTACTAGTAATTATGTACCACACTGATCTTCCGAGTAGAACAAACATTATACCATATTAGTACTCAAGCTCAAATGGCTCAGATAAATCATTTTGCAGATATAGTATACGCAGAAAGGATGAAATGTCGTATGAATGCGCTCCTTCATTTTTCACGCTAATCATAACTCCATCTATTAAAATAGAATACAATTGGCCCCGATAAACGAAGCAGTTAGATTTAGATACTCCACCCGAGTGAAGAAAAGAGACCTCAGGAACCGTAAAACCATCGCTGTAAGAAATCAAAGAACCCAGACCTAGCATAACAGATAATCGAGAAAAAAAAATGTCAAGCAGAGGTTAGGTCCATATGGTGACAAGAAAACCCCAGAACCAGCCCAGAAAAGGAAAGAAAAAAAGAAAAACATCGAATGATAGAAGGGAGAAAGAAAGAACGGAAATAACCAAAGGAAGGCGGCAAGAGGAAGATACGATGTACCTTCTTCTCAACCCTCAATCTTCGGCTCTTTCGCATCCATATCCATTGGCGTGGTCCCGGAGTCTGCTTGGTCTGCACTCTCGGCTGGCTGCTCACTCTGTCCTTCTTCACGGTTATCTTGGCTGTGCGTACTCGCCGCAGCGGGGGTATCGTCGCCCTCGGCACCACTGCCGGCCTGCACGCGGAAAGACGAGCTGAGATCCTGTTGACTGGGCGCGGGAGCTAGACGAGGCAGCGCAGCGGGGTCGGCGGATTCCGCGGCATTATCTTGGGCTTGGCCGTCATCTTCGCCTTGTTCGCCGGCGACGTTGGACTTGCGGGAGCGCTTGATGCGCAAGGGACGGTCTTCGGGCTGTGAGGGAGGATGATAGTCTCGTTAGAATGAACGGTTCTTAAAGGATTGACAATGGTATATATGGCACAGGGCAAGGAAACGAAAAACGAAAGCGAGGGGAACAGATCGATAGTGAGAAAAGCTGAGGAAATTGGCAAAACTCACAGTTGGGGGCTGCTCATCCGAGCTTCCCTCGGTCTCATCCTCTAGAGAAGGACCATTGCGACCCGACGCACCACCACTCATTCCATTGATAGAAGCAACATTCGACATCATAGCCACGGCGCGAGCCCGTAATTCCGGATCCGCGGCGCCGGCCTGGGCTTCCTCAGTCATACCAGTGACTTTGGCAAGACGCTCAAGCAGCATGCAGGACTCGAGGCGCATCTTCTGAATATATTGCCAGCCGCGACGGTTGCGGGTGCGCATGAGCTCGTTCTCGGCTTCGACCTCCGCAAGGCGTTTCTTTAGGGCGATACATTTGCGCTTGTAGGCTATTTCCACGCTGGGCGGGTTCAAAGACGGTGCGGATGTTGGGGGGCGAGCTTCCATTGTGAGTTGAAACTGTGAATTTGGAGGGAAAAATGGATGAAAGGGGTCGGGTATATCGCGTTGTTGGCTGATCTGCGGGTTGGTTGTGTTGGGTTCAGACTGATTTTCAGATTGTTCAATGAAGGGAGGGAAGGGGAGGGAAGGAAGTTTGAGAGAGGGGTTTGGGTATATAAAGGGGGCGGATGGGGCCTGGAGGAAGAGCAGAAGAAGACAGAGGAAAGGCGCGGGTCCTAACGTGGTGCAGGCGCAGCTGCAGCACCGGCGAGTCTCACGGGAGTCTCTTTTGGTTCTGCCGAGATAGCCAGGGCGGTGAATAGCTAAGGTAGTGATTCCCAGCTGTTACTCCATACTCTAGATTCTTTCATTTATTTATTGCACTTCCGAAGTATTATATCAACCGTTCACAAACTGAGATATGCTATGAAATGTTCTATCTAATGCCCACCAGTGGTCGGGAGACCCAAGAATACCTTGAATGAATCATAACTGGATCATATGTGGTCAGTATACCTAGCTTTCAATTCCCACACGACAGACAGATTCAACTTACATTAGCCACTGGAAGCCTGTCAATGTACCTAGCATCACGATACGGACGGGAAGGCCATTCCAGAGCCCCGAGAACCCGATATTGCCATAGATTCGTGACACGGCCGTCATGGCACCCTCGCCAGCTAATTAATGGGTGGTCAGCAAGCGGAACAAAGAAATGGGAAAGAAGGGAAAGCAAAGAGAGAAAAAAGACTCACCTTTTCGATCGGCATTCAACTTGCTAACCATAACATCGGCCGGATGACTGACCACAGCGCAGAAAATACCGGCAATGTAACCACCCAGGAAACTCACCCCTGTCTGGGTCACCTGGTTATAGCTCTCCTTGGGCTTACCCATGGTCTTGTAGATCAACTTGACCGTTTCCTCAAAGGTAGCAAACTTGGTCATGGTGTAAGGAATCTGACGCGCCCACAGCGGGTAAAGACCCTTGTAAAGACCACTGAATCCCTCCTTGGCGACAATGCGGCTCCAGCCTTCGCGGAGGTTATTCGCATAGGGCGGCAGAGTGGTCTGCATGCGGACCTTGATGGCCTCCATCGGACACAGCGCCATGTCGGCGAAGAATTCGGCGGACGCACTGGCGCCTAGGAAGACTAGGGTGCGATTGGTTTCTGGGAATAGCTGGTCGCCGTATAGGTACTTGAAGTACTCATAAAGTCCATACTTGCCGGCGCCCTGGAACGGTATCCTATGAAGGTGGGCGACCATCCGAAAAAGACACCGCGGAGGCCCTCCTTGGCGAAGATTGATCGCCATGCGGATATGTTGGAGGTGTAGATCTTGGGATCGACTTGGCGACGGCACTTGACCAGGTCGAGGGGAGTGACTGAGGTGTGAGTCGGTCCTATAGGGAGTTAGAGCATGTCAATTTCAAAGAAAATAAAATATTTCCTTTGAGAATAGGTCAAGGAAGGGTCCGCATACCACAAGCTGCGATGGAAGAAGAGATTAGCTGGTGCACGATCTGGGGGAGGGGCTACTATCATAGCCTACCGATGATGCCGCCGAACATGCAGCTATAGAAATACTTGGCAGAGTTCGGCTCGATCTTCCCAAAGGGGAGCTTGCGCTCGGGTTGGACTTTGGCCATGATGAAGAGTAGAGAGGTTGTGAAGATGAACAAACAGAAGAGAAAGCTGACGGCAGAAAGAAAGCAAGAATCGAAGGCCATGGCGTCACACTCATGCATCCCAATTTCAGGGCGGTGCCGTTCAGACCGACGCGAACGGCTAGCCCGGCACACTTACTGATTGGGCCTATGGGATCCCATGGTGCCCAGATGCCTTATCGGCCCTAAATCTGTGCGTACTGTGCATACTGTGCATACTGTACATAATTTGTGGTCGCGGATCGCATAACTGGCAGTCTAGTCCAGTCCCGTCCTACATGTCCAGAGTGCTACGAATGGAGTGATATCCCCCGTCTATAAAAACAATGATGACGTCATGGCAGCTACAGCTCACAAGAAGCAGGCGAAACCAATCAACGAGTTAATTACGTGCCAGTTTAGTGTACTACAAATATTGAGGACCGGGAAATAGTAGTTACAGCTTGAGAGTTATATTGTACAATTCATGCAATCCCGGAAGCTCCAGGTCCTACCCATCTGTAATCGCTAGTAATTGCTGCGCCCGCTAGAGGATCTTTATCTCTATGCATCAGATGAAGTTGATAGTTGACACCCCATCCATTGGGTTTTATGTTCCCGATAATCTCACTAAGAGCTGAGTCCAGATTCAGGTGCAGACTCAGGTGCACCGCCGGAGCTGAGATCCCCTCGAATTCGCTCAGCCTCACGAGCAAGGGTCAACGCCAGCTTGATCCCAAGTTTAGATCCTACTCGTGATAACACAGTCCGAATTTGCGATACTTGTTCCGGCGTAGGCATCCCGGAGGAGAGGATATACCACATCGGCCAGAGTAGCCCGTACCCTTGACCAGCACGTATGGTCCAATTGCCATCTGTCGTCCGGATAGATCGGCCGAGGGTATCCACATCGCCCAAAGAGAAGGGGATACTCCGACAGACATCTGTTGTCATTTCCTGAATGATTGCGCGTAGGCTGTCCTCACTCAATGGGGACTGGGTGGACGCGGAGCCACCGCGCTTGCTCTTTTTCTTCATAATCGCGAGCAGACTTCGGTTCAAATTGAGCAGAAGCTGTTGGAGCATAACCCGTGCTGCTCGATAGTAGTTCCAGACCACGGTATTGGAGATGTGATTGTAGGTCAGCAGTGCATCACCCTGGGACGAGTATACAACCAGTGGCAGCCAGCGCTCGGTCAAATGTAATGTCCATTGTGAAAGCTCAAAATCACATTCACGCCCGAGGGAAATCCAAGATTCCACGGTCGCTTGATCCGGTGGTTTAGAAGACGATTGTATTGCCAGCATCAGTGTGCTGATTTTGGACGCAGCGAGCATGAGTCGCTCGATTGGGTCGTTGCTGTCCAGAAAAGACAACACCCAGTTAATATCGTATCTTGGTTTATCTCCCAAGGCGAGGATTTCAACAAACTGGAGCAAAAAGAAATCAATACCATGCTTCTGGAAAATATGGGCTGTGAAGAGACATACAGTATGTGTAAAGGCGAAGTTGAACATATCACGACCCATCTGGGATTCCAGTTGGCCCTCGCCCCGGACTTTCATCAAGAATTCGAACCCCGCTGTATGTGAGCTATACAGCCCATTTCGTTCGCCACTTATATCTTCGAAAAGCGAGAGGAGCACCACCGCCGCAAAAGTCTCGTCTTGAACCGCCGTAGAAGGCTCTGCCAAAGCATCTCGTAAGCTGCGCAGGGCCTTCCCATACCCCTGACGAGCCTTCATGACAAATTGCGGCGCGTTTGAAATATTGCCAAAAGTCATCAGAGAGGTTGCGTCCACTGCATGGCGAAGGCACGAGGACGATGCCTTCCAGTCGTTCCGCTCAACAGCGCGTGCATATAAATTAGGCACATATTCGAGATGGCTCATACCATCTTCGAATTCGGCAGATATTGTATATTGGTCAAAGAAATAACATATTGCGCGGTGTTCCCATGTGGAATCCGCGATTTGAATCGTCGTTAACGAATGCTCTCGAGTCTGGTTTCCGCGACGGATGTCAATGACTCCAGAGTGATCAGCCGGGGTACTCGGCGTGGTAGTATTTTGACTGTCGCTATCACTTGACGATGAGCTCGCATCTTTCCTCACCAATCGTTCAGTCTTCCTGGTCTCATTGCGAAAGACCGCATCTGGTCGGTATCCCGGACAAGGCCGGCCATAAACACCACAGTTACGACATCCGGGGCGACCTTCATCACACTAAGGAGCGTCAGCTAAAGGTTTTCTTTTCTCATTCGGTAGAGGCGTCAGGAATCAAGGCAAACAATCATTGGAAAAATGTAGCGTGACTCCATCCATGGTGCTTTACCTTTATCTTGCGTTTACGACACAGGTGACATCCAGTGCTTGGCTTACCGCCATACACCATTTTTCACCCCCCAGAACTCCGTCGGAACAAAAAAAGGGCCCAGGACTCGGACAATCGGCGGGGGGTTGAAAAGGCTCCGCTCTTCGACTGGGACGAACTGGAGGGTTCCACAGACCACGGGGGAGGGGCCGCTTATCGTCGATGGTGCGCAAGTCGGCTCGGCTATCTGATCCGAGTGAAGCGCCCCTATGCACATAGTACCTAGACCGGGATGTGCGAACTAACTCTCCGGATTGAAAGGGTCAACACGAACAAAAACAAAAACAACCTCGCTGGCCTCGACACAGGAGAGAGTGAGACACACGTTTTGGCAAGAGTCGCGTGCGTACGTGGAAGAAGACGGATACAAAGAAGATTAGTCATTAGTCAGCTCTACTGTCCGGGGCCCCGAGCAGGTGAAATTGCGATCTAGGGTTGAACAAGCTTATGAACGGTTCTGATTCGATTAGAAGAAAATGGGAATATGGAAGATTCTTTTATAGTCAGCGTGCATTATGTGACTCATTCTACATTGATTGCGTTGCAATGCGTGGTCTTGCTTCTTCTGATGATCCTATCAATACTAACTAACTAACTAGTATGCGGGAAGTACATCAGTCTATCGGTTCCCAAAAAGGAACCCGTCATCAAAGCCTTTGGGAGAGCCACGAAATCAAAATCAGCCAGTCAACAAAGTTGAAAACAGAGAAAATGACGAAAAATGTGCATCTTGTATTGGGGTATTAGTTGAAACTGAGTAAGGTGGTGTTAACCCGCCAAGATGGCTCACCTGGTCAGAGGCAAAGACGACGCGCATACACCTGCCCGTACATCCTGTAGTACCTCGTGTACAGATAGACAGGTCCTCTTGGTCGAAACCAGCCTCCGTCAGGTTTCCGGGTTGCCGAGGTTGCGCGATTTCCCCCTCCAACGGTTCAACCAGGCTACGTTTGTTAAAGGGCGCCTTCGGGCCTGTAAGAGAGGAACCCTCCCCATGAGAGGCCTGAACGTGCTGGTACTTCGAGATATGAGGCCTGGCTCAAACAGAGCATACGTTTTCTCTCTTTTTTTCTTTCTTTTTGATTTGGGGAGATCATCTGCCTTCCCCCCTTCCCTCAACTCACCCACCAGTATCTACTGGTACTTGTCGTTCTTCTGTCTCGTCCACGTTCTTCCCTATGATTGCTACTTTCGTCGAAGGCTTCCTTACTATATAGTGATCCCTTCGTATCTGAGCACCTCACATTTTATAATATACCTCGTTAATAACCAAGTGTCACTTTTCCTGCTATTCTTTAAAATATCATACAGGAAACAATTCAACAATGCCACTAGCACTTTCTACCGTTGTTCTCGCAGAATAAACCCCTCGCTCGTCTTCCAAAGGGCTAGCTTGGTCTCGAGGGGGAATCTTCGGTTCGGTCAACAGTCACATTTGTCGTCACTCGAATCTCGTCTGAGGGTTGCGAGCTGATATCTTCTTTCGAGTCATTCTGTGTTGTCCCAGTCTCCCTTTTTGCCCGCTTGGCACAAACAAGCTTGCTACTATGTGCTATCTCCACGTGGGATTGCCTCCAAGATCGAGAAGCCTCTCGTGGAGTCTCCCGCCGGTCAGATAAATTATAAGTTTCATGGTTTGGAAGATAGCTTTGGTTACTAGAAAGACCTAGCAATGATCGAAGATTGGGGAACTGGAAAGTTACCAGCGCTTTAAAAGAGGGCACGCAGGAGATGAAAACACCCACTCCCAGCTCTGCAGATGACCAATTGAGGGTCTGAACGAGCGACCCTATGATATTCTGTTAGCCATATATTGACCCCCACATGACTGTTTCAACTTACAAGTATGGTCGGTTGAAAAGTTACTTAGATAGGTCCCTCGAATGATACTGGCCACCGTCACCCTAGAAAATCCATTAGCTAAGGAATGATGTGATAAACAATGGAAGCACTCACAAGCCACCAAGTCCAAACATTACCATCAGCCCCGCTTTTTTCCCAATCGACGTCTTGAGTCGTAAAAGTTTGGGAACGGGAAGGGTGATGAGAGCCACATCAGTCACTAACCGGACCGCAAACGAGACATAATAGAAAGTCAGTAGATCCAGACAATGCCCCTCCTGGGCACCGGCGGCGTCCCAGGCTCTTGCAACCGGCCAACATTGGAAGATAACAATGAAGAATCCAGCGATGGACTCGCCCACAATGACTGCTAAAACGCAGCAACAAAGTATCCTAAACAATTTGCCAGGGAAGATCTTGAGATAGAAAAGGCAAAAAGAAGCCTTGATTGCACAAATGGCAACGACATATGCCAGTTCTGAGACGAAGTCCAGCTGGGCGATTACTGGGGTCAATTGCAGGATCAATTCAAGTGGCAGAATCAATGCTCACTTTAAGAAACATCCCTATCTTACGCTCATCGTGAATTGTGTCAATGTGATGCCCGTACCCGTATCGAGTCACTAGAAGGTCGAGTATAAGTAAGGCAACACACGGACCCCTGGTTTCTTTCTTGCAACTTACTGAGGACACACATGAGACACTCCACAGACGTCCCTACCTACAATCAAGAGGCCGTTGTCAGTACTGGATCTCGTAAGTTGGACGGAAATCCTTACCCATCCGATCACGCAAAAATAGTCATCCCATCCGATGCTCACATATCGCATTCGTACATAGAGACGAACACATACAGCAAATGTGGAAGCGACAATGAGTAGTATGTTGCAGATTAGGATTGATGAGACCCGGGATTCATCTGTGTCGACTGGTGAAGTCCCCATACTGCCATTGAAGGAACCCAGGCATTTGTTGTCCCTTCACTAAGGTTGACGGTTGAAAAGTCTTTTCCTTCGGGGCAAGAACCGATTGGAGTGAGTCGGTGGATACACGTGCCTGGGCGAGGTGCAAGGGGTTGGAACTATGTATTCAATTCCTGCAAGATAAGAGCGTGGTACGGGTAACCTCAGGATTTGAAATAGCTTAAGACTCTACTTTCAATATTGGGGCTCGGTAGCCACAATGTCTTCTTTCGAAGGAATAAAATGGTGAACCTGAAAATAAATGGCTACAATTTTATGGAATATTTCTGTGAGCTCCCCGGACTGGAATGTTTACCAGGGGCTGGGGAAATGGGGCGCGTTACATGCGGCTACGCCTTGCATACACTGCTAGTAGTACGGAGTAAAGTATTGGATAATGTTGTAGCAACTCTTGGCGCTCCTCCATTCTAGTGCCAGTTGTCTCGACTGTGGATGCTGCCACTTTTTCACCTTAAACGCCTAGAGGTAATCCATAAAAGGATTTAAAGTGTCCTAATGATGATGCCCACGAAAACCAACAAAAAATGACTTCGTGGGCGCAACTGAATTATCCATCTTATCTGCCGGGGGTGGCATTACATCCATTACACAAATCTGGTAGATCCACTACTTTCGGCAGCAATACCTGCCAGTCACATGACAGTCACTAAATATCGTTTTAACGAAAAAAAAAAAGATGAATTAGAATTTAGGCTATAGCATCCAAAGGTCATTTTGATCCTTCGTGTTTATCAAAAAATTGGGAGGTTTGAAGGGGGTTGAACTTAAAAATCTTAGGGTCATCTTAAACTCGGTTAGCTGGGTGCCCCGCAACACCTTCTTCGATCAATTCAAAGTCAAAAGAAACCAGATAAAATACCAAAAAATAAATTAAAAGAAGACTTATGTAGATCTCATAGGGTAATTATTTTGGCTAGCCTTGTTTTCAGTGCTGCCACGACTTAAGCATTGGAGATACGCAAAAGATAGACATTAGGTGATCAAAAAGTAGTGGATGTACCAGATTCGTGAAGTGGATGTACTGCCACCCTATCTGTCCACCGAAATTAAAAGAAATACCGCTAGGCCAAAAGAATGCCAAAAGCATTAATCCGGTACTAGTCGCGTATTTTCCTTATTCCGAAACTATCATATCCCACTCCCCGCACCCGCATATAAAACTCGATTGTGATAAACAAGTCGTTATCAAACCATCAACCTGCTCTATCATTCAACAACCATGTCTCGTCCAATTGTCTTTTTCGACATCGCAGTCAACGGCAGTAAGAATCATTTCAGAACTATCTAGATGACTGCCTTTACTGATACCTAGGACACGGTAGCCCCTCAGGGCCGCATCGTTTTCGAGCTCTTCGCTGACGTCACACCCCGGACGGCTGAGAACTTCCGCGCCCTTTGCACCGGTGAACGTGGATTTGGATATAAGGGAAGCAGCTTCCACCGCGTGATTCCCCAGTTTATGCTCCAGGGTGGTGATTTCACCCGTGGCGATGTAAGTTTAGTATATTAAATATTGGATGATGATTGATCTTAATTAATATTCAAAGGGCACCGGTGGACGCTCCATCTACGGCGAGACATTCCCCGACGAGAACTTCCAGCTGAAGCACGAAATCCCTGGTCTTCTCTCTATGGCTAACGCCGGCCCCGGCACGTAAGTTGTCGCATTGTTTTTTTTATGTCCTTGTGGATGATGCTGATATGGCCACTAGTAACGGCTCTCAATTCTTCATCACCACCGTCGTTACTGATTGGCTCGATGGTGCCCACGTTGTCTTTGGACGTGTGATCGAGAACATGCAGTTGGTTAAGAGCATTGAATCTCTTGGATCTAACTCGGGTCAACCCCGCGCACCTGTCCAGATTATCGAGTGTGGTCAGCTTCAGTAAGCGGATTATAATGGTGTGAGGGGTTGGCATTGACTATGTATCCAATACTATAGTCGGTAGATATTCACTCATGAAAAGCTAAGGGGAGTGCTAAATTGAACCCCCTAGGATATACCAATTCCCAACTTGGAGGTGACCTTTTGCTTTTCAAAAATTAAATATTAGACATCTCTTCAACAAAACCACATCAGAACCAGCGATGTGCTAGCTTCTCCCTTGCGCCATTTTAATGCCTTGACCGCTTCTTCTATGGCCTGCAGTATGCATGACACTAGAACTGGGGCTGACTGGAGTTGAGATGGCCCATGAGTTAGATTCCAGCCTAGAATGGATAGTCCGCGTGGACAGTCCGCACCGGGCAGTCCCTCTTGCATTACGTGAATCGAACATCGGTTCATATTTGTGTGAGTTATATTCTCAATAATACCATATGTGACATGTTACATACCAGACTGCAAGCATTTGCATGAATAGTGTAATCGAGGTGTGATATAGTAAGAAAGGGGAATCCGTTCCCATGAACAAGTATTTCCGGTCGAGAATGTCTGCCTTGCATTTTACCCTTGTCCATATTCATATCGACACAAATTTGACATTCCCTGAGAATAAGCAGCCCAAATACGTACTTTTTAATCATGACACCGAATCAGAATCGACATGCCATTGTATTTGGCTGTACAGGAATCAGTGGCTGGGCACTGGTAAATCAGCTGCTTTCCGGCTATCCTGCGATTGACACATTTGAAAAAGTCACAGCGATTTCCAATCGACCATTTGACCTCGATGATGCCCAATGGCCTTGTGAAGATGACGATACTCGGCTGCAGATAGTATCGGGCCTTGATCTGCTGGCAGAAGACGACATATCCTTGCAACGCATCCTTTCAGAAAAGGTCTCATCGGTGAGAACAGTCAGCCATATTTATTTCGCTGGTATAGGTTCTTCAACAAGCCACCATGTTTGCTTTACACTAAAAAAATATTAGCCTACCGTGAAAGCCATGATGGCCCAGAAGAATGCCGCATGAATAAACAAATGCTTAGCGTTTCGGTACAAACGATCGAGAAGCTTTCTTCGAATTTTCAATCTGTGACTTTGATCACTGGTACTAAGGTATAAGACAACCCCATACTTTTGGTCGAGTCTATCTGTCATATGTTGGTCTACTGACTTCATTTACAGGCGTATGGCGTTTTACTAGGGGACAAATTTCCCTTTCGAGGACAGGCTCCTCTGAAAGAATCATTCCCACGCATTCCAGAGGAGTTCGCCAAGGATCTCTTCTACTACCATCAAAAGGATCTTCTCAAGGAGTTGTCCGCAGGCAAAACATGGTCATGGTGCGAAGTCCGGCCTGATATTATTGTACGCGAAAATTCATTTTCATCATGCCTGTCTTTTTTGTGAGGCTGACCTTCCTACAGATAGGCATCGCTCCGTTTGGAAATGCCAACTGCATTGCCCAATCCACCGGAACTTACCTATCCTTCTACCGGGAAATGGAGGGTCCTGGAGCCCGTGTTCCCTTCATGGGTTCCGAGACTGGCTGGTCCCTGCTGTCAACTGATAGTAACCAAGATCTAATCGCTCAACTTTGTATCTTTGCTTCCCTCCAACCGAAAGATAAAGTGCACGGCCAAACGTTTAATGTCGGCGACAACTCAATTCCGCTATCATGGTCGACTCGCTGGCCACTTATCGCCGCCTACTTTGGACTCGAAGGAACTGGGCCGAGCAAGGATAGTTTAACTCCAGCCCAGTATATCGATCACCACTGGAACGAGTTTCAAAATCTATGTCATGAACGTGGTCTTCGCGAAGATGTCGTATATAGGGGGGATTCGCAATACTGGGTCAAAGGGCAAGACGAGTGTAATGGACTTTGACCGCCATCTGGATCTGGGAAGAGTAAAGGCTCTTGGCTTCAAAGGGGAATTAAGCAGCAAGGACTCCTGGTATATGGCATTCGATCGACTACGCAATGCAAGACTTCTGTTTTAGCCACGTATGGTTTCGTCGAGATGTAAATCGAGAACCTATTAAACTCTTGGTCACATTATTTCCCATATTTGAATGGTTAGAAGGTTGGAATAAGATTGGGGATCTATACCTCCTGAAATTATCTTAAAGTTCGTCGCACAAAAAATCCAAATCCGAATCTTAGTGTATCACTATCCATATAGGACTTCCTAAGGTTCCCTTCTGCAACCGCACTAATAAATCATTAAAAGATATAGAGATAACTGGAGTATAGTCATTGCATAATATACTGTCTTATTTATCAAATCGAGTATGTTCCGGCGACTCGTAGTATTGGTTCAAGTTGTGGCAGTTGCCGAACGAGAGAAGCTTCGTCGCGGACAAAGCTAACCACAATCTTCCAATTTATAGAAAGAGGGGCCGCTTATTGGCCTTGAAATGACATCATGGAGAACTGACAACTATGTACAAACTGCACCATGATTACCCCCACAGAAGACAACAGAAGAAATGCATTATTCAGCGACTCCTCGATCCATCTCCATATGCTTCCGCCCTTCTCATTCTCACCGGATCAATTCATTATTCCATATTCACCACAGCCCAGCACTAACCGACAAAAATTACTCCACCGAGTGTAGATTCCAAGATGGCACTCCAAGGAAAGGTTGCGCTTCTGGTGTGTGCAAAGACAGGACCCCATCTGAAATATACGCGCTAATACTATGAGATGCATAGACAGGAGCTTCCATGGGTATTGGGGAGGCGATTGCCTCATCCTTGGTTGAGGCTGGCGCAAATGTTATTCTCTTTTCTCGATCAGAGGTCAGTCCATATCGGTAGTGCATCAATTGTGATTTGACTAATTTCTGTGGGCAAAAAAAAGGACAAACTTCGACAGTTGAAAGAACAACTATCTGTCAAGAGCGATGTGAAAATCACCTATCGTGCAGTGGATGTTGGTAACTACGAAGAAGTTGATGCCGCAGTATCATCCTCCATCAAAGAGATAGGAGAAATCGACATCCTGATTAACAATGTATCAAATCCCGCCATTCACAACGTCAAAGAGTACAAGTACCGACAGCATAACTAATCAATTCTTCCAGGCGGGCCTAGCAATCGGCGCACCTAGTATATTCTCCGACCTAAAACCAACCGACATAATGACAATGAACAACACCAACATAAACGGCTACATGTTCATGGCCCACTCCGTCCTGAACCGCTCTATGATGACCCGAAAAGCAGGCACAATCTTAAACATTACTTCAATCACCGGGCTAGAAGTGCCCCCATTCCCAGGCGAAGCAGTCTACCACGCGAACAAAGCCTGTCAAGAGGCCTTCACGAATGCCCTGCGAAATGAACTAAGTGGCACGGATATCCGGGTCTTAGCTCTCCGACCAGGTGTTGTTGCTACGAATTTCCACTCGCTTCGCGTGGGTCATGATAAGAAGATGTATGATGAGTTTATTGAGGGTTATGAGTGAGTTTTTGCTATTCGGATTATTCTTATCGAGGACTCGCCTTGGCGCCTCTGACAGATCGTATACAGGCCACTCCTGGCTCAGGATATTGCGCAGGGCGCTATTTATATGCTTCAGCAGCCGTTGAATATCTCGGTTAAGGCATTGGATATTGTTCCTTCTGGTATGACGCCTTGGATCTCCGAGTCCCCAATGTATTGCGCTTCAGCAGTTTGCTTACTCTATAAATTAGCGCAACGTTCAATCAATGTTTTTGACCGAACCTGGAATGAACGAAAGGAGTGATCGTAGGAATCAACCCAAAGCGGGCCACTTGCAGGAAGAATCTAGCCCTGGAGCTTATCCACGGTATACTGGTATAGCAGTAGCCCTAGGCCAGCACCTTTGCTCGTACGAGGAATCAAAATACATACTTGTTGAATCATTCTTCATTCATCAATCTAGACGAGCTCATTCCACGGCGCTGCCAGACTCTGCGTCATGACAGTCCAATGGAAGAGCTCACTCCAACAGAACCGGTCTTGACCAGACCGATAATATGACTGAGTAAATTAAAAATAACTAAAACAAATCCCAAGGTATGAATCTGAATCCGGTATATCTCTCCGAAATGATCCAGCCGAATGACGGTGGATGTAAACAACTGCATGAGCCGACCTCCCCCGACGAACTCCAGAGACATTGATAATGATGAGTCTCTCCAGGGCAACTCCCGCGCAACTTAAAATCCAACAAAAGTTGAGATATCAAAAATTATGATCAAAAAGGGAAATCAATGGGGCGAAAAAAAAAATTGGATGGGATGTGCAACACCATATATGCAACTGCTCGGACACTGGAAAGAATCTGCCATTCATTTCCAAGAACAAGATATGCTTAAAACGATATAAAGAAAGGATGGTAGTAAAGAATACTCGGCGCTGAAGACAAAAACAATGGATATCCGTGGTCGTAAGATGGCACGCTATATTCGAACAAAAGATTTGCTGCATGGATGGAAGGGTCAGGGTCAGGAGGGTGCATCGGTCATTGGTTGATCGGCATCACTGCTGGGGATGGTTGGCGGGGGATCTGAGAAGAGGGTACGACGGCGTGGGTTGATGCTCAAGTCGGTGTCATCGACAGAGCCAATGCCCGGTGTGCTGGAAGCGCTTTCGATCGCTACCCAGTCATCAAAGTCATCTGGCGGAGGCGCAAATGACCAAACCTAGACTATAATCAGTCATCTGCGCGACAAGGAACAAGGGTGCTAGAATAATATAACACATATTCCGAGCTTACCTCCATAACAGTGCGACCTGATCGACTCGCCATGATCACGGCCTTTTCGTCCTCAAAAGCAACCCTCCAAACGGCTTCTGCTGGGGTCGAGAGTTCGCGGAGTAGTTGACCAGACTGCAAATTCCAAACCTTGACCCGGCCATCACTGCCACCGCTAACGATCCGAGTATTGTCAAACTGAAGACTGGTGACACTGTTGTCATGGGCCGCGAGCCGGTGAATGGGGGCGTTCTTAGTCAGGGACCACACGCGTACCGAGCCGTCCGAGCCGCCGGTTACCAGTGTATCCCCACGCATCTGCAGCTGTCCTACTAGGGAAGTATGACCTTGGAGGATAGCGTGACACTGGCCTGAATTAGGATCCCAGATCCGAACACTCGTATCTAAGCTTCCGGTTGCGATACGTCGGCCATCAAAAGCGATCGCGTAAATCTGGCTAAAATGACCCGACAGGGTTCGAAGACACCGGCCCTGAGATATACTCCATATCCGGGCCGTGGTGTCGTAGCTACCCGAGACAACCAGGTCGCCATGGATTGCGAGACATCGAACACTAGCCTGGTGCCCAACAAGGACATTGCGACAGGTCCCGGTGGCCAGATCCCAGATGCGCAGGGTCGTGTCTCGGGACCCTGAAATGGCGGTATTGCGATCAGACATTTTTAAGCATCTGACCGTCGATGTGTGACCCCGAAGTAAGTGAATTCCCGCCTAAAACCACCGCTTGTTAGCCCCTTGACATTTTTCTTTGGCTTGCTTTCGGTGTCGGTGAGACCCAATCACTTACCCGGTTGCCATATTCCATACGCGGACTTCGCGATCGCATCCGCCGCTTACCAAGATGTCGTCCCAGGGAACCATGGCCCAGACACCCATCACGTGCCCTTGAAGGGTCTTTTGATTATCGCCGTTAGTATCGTAGACATGGATCTTGGCGTTGTCGAGAGCGACGACGATGTACTTCGGGGTGAGATGGAGACTTGTCACCACACCCTGGTCCGGGGTGATATGGCGCTGGGTGCAGCGACCACCCTTGTTCCACGCGGACTCGACCATGTATTTTTGTTTAAACTGAGATCGGTAAGAGACCGGACGAGTTCTACGTCTGCGAGTTGAGAAACTGGTTGGTGGAGGAAGCCACTCTCCGGACAAAGTGCGGGGAAGCCCCGGGGCGCTTTCCATCGACGGCTCATTTGAGGCGGTCAGCCGCCGATTCAGCGCGTGAGAGTCGGGCTTCAAGTTCAAATCCACGGAGCGGGGTGTAGATGGCTCCATCTCGTCTTCGTCGGAGATTCGTCGTACGGAGTAGGCGTGCTTTTCACATAGGTTCTTCCACGTAATATCGTCGTTGAGCAGTTCCCGCCAGCGTCTAGACACTTGCGACGCTCGGGCAAGCGTTTTCGGGTCATCGATAAAGGAGAGCACCTGTTTTCACCACCCCTGTTAGCATCTCCACGGCTGATCTGATATAAATGGGACCCGCTGGAGACATCTTACCCGCAAGCATAGTTCATTCGGAAAAACGAGAAAAGGGTCCTTGCGTAACCGGGGACCAACGTAACTGGAGACAAAGCTGAGTTGTTGACTGTCGCATACATCTAAGAGTCCCTCGAGGAGTTTCTGTTTGCGGCCGTTGGATAGAGTACTGAAGTGGATGCGAAGGTTGAGCAGGAATGTATTTTCTTCATCATCGGATGAGAGCCAGTTCGGGGGCCGTTGATGAGGCGTCGGACTTGGGGCGGGTGTCGGAGGAGAGGCGGGCGCTGAGGGGAGTAGATTGGCAGGGAGGGAGGTGACGTTCTTCTTGGTGATACTGAGGGATCGAGTGGGAGTACTGGTGAAACTGGAAATAGAGTCGCGATTTGAGGGTTGAGGATGAGACTCCAGCTGATCGGAGAGTGTCGACGACATCGAGTCGTCCATGCCGTCCAGGCCGAGTCCTGTATCAGAGTCCATTATATGACAGCGGCGAAAGGGCTCGGGTTATAAGCACTTTGAGAAAGCCGTTTGTCGCAACCGGGGCCTGGGCATAAGAGCAAGAGCAAATGGCAAATGCTGGACCTGGACCTGGAGCTGGAGGTGGGAGAAAGGTAGGCGGTAGGAGGGGTGTTGTAGTAGTATCGCGGGTGCGGATGCGGATCGGGGGCTGGCAAATGGCAAAAGGGAGTCGGAAATCCCCCCGGGGGGTCTGGACTCGGGTCCTTTTTTATTTCTTTATAGGTGTTTTTCTTTTTCTTCTTTTCGTTTGATGTTGCAGCAAGGGCTGAACCACGTTTTGGTGTGCCTTATTTTTTTTGTGGAAAATAATATTTTCCCGAAAAAGAGAGAGAGGGCCAGGAATCATAGGAATTATCTGACCAAAGGCAACCCGTGATCTCTGATGTTGAGTGTCGTGACCGCCACTGACTAACGCCGCCAAGCTCCCCCCCATTGAACTCCACTTCTGAAACGATAGTCCTCGTTGTTCATGTTTCTCCACAGGTGGACCACCACACATGGGAGAGGCAACGAGGCAATGCCGTGATGGCCACCCGGAGAAGCCTGCTTTGTTATACAATCAATGAGATTTCCCCAACTTCACCCCTTGTTAGGCATCTGACTTGCGCGGCGGACGCCGGACTTCGCGATCGTCCCTGCAAGCGCCCTTCCAGAATGGAATGGCGCGCTACTCCCGACGGCCCCACGCCGTCCAATCTCTCTCGTCTCAGATCTCAGATCTATAAACGGAGCCCCGAGTCCGTGGATGCCCGGTCGGCACGTTGCCGCCGACCATGGAACGACCCGTCGGGCAAGGATGATTCAGACTGACGAGACTGACGAAACCTTTCATCACCAACCGACATGGAGGGTCATCATTCAAAGGTGATCAAGGAATCACCTCCACCCTCGCGGGAGAGGGCTGGCCCGCCCTTTATAGATAGAGGAGGGGTTACGCACAACGTCACGCTACGTCGATGTGATCGTGGAATCTACTATGCAAAGCCATCATGGAATCGTTCGTCACACGGCCGAGCCCCGGTGGCAGGGGTCCGTTGAAAACGCTGTTGGATTTGCCGGAATTCCTTCGTGACTTCATCTCTTCCCAGTACAGACGCTGAGTATTGGGCCCTCGGGCTCTTTTCATGCGTCCAAAGCTACTCAATCGCCCCTCATGATCTACCACGATAGTCACGATTCAAAGGTGAGCGAGACATCGCCTCGCCGATCATGAGAATGGTTGGCCCGGCCTTGGTGAACAGGTTATGCACAACGTCATGCTACTTTATTATCAATATCCCCCTTCACCCAATTCACTGAGATATGTATCCAGCGAGAGTGGCCCTGGTATTTTCTGAGCTTCTTGAGCTGAGAACTGACACCAAAATGCCGATATTTCGCTATGGCCTAAGGGCTTCAGTGTGGTTACAGAGCACATTGGTCCAAGCACTCGAAAGCAAGCATGCGATCATGGACTTTACAATGCACAGGGCGATTAAATCATGCAATGATGACCAACACGCATCTCCGATTATACAAGTCTAGTGATAGTGACACATTCGAATCCTCCGCAATCCGGCCGAGCGCTCATGCCCTCCGTAGTAAAGCCAGTCTCTTCCAGAGGTATATCTCTCAACAGATGCCAAACAAGGGTATATGCTCTCCAGACGTCCATCCTGCCGCGTAAAATAGATAAAAAGGGACGAATCGCAAAAAGAGAATGAGAAAATGAGAAAATAAGAATGAGAAATAAGGGCGCTTCAGCAAATCGTTGGGTACTTAATCGCACCTCTCCGGTTAGATCAACTCGGATCAATGAGTCGACGATCTATAACCGGTTGAAGTAGACGATGTATATGCCGCATGGCAGCGGTAGAAGCAAAAAAAAAGAAGCAAAGTGGAATCTCTAGTGGGCATGTCCGATCTGCAAGAACAGCGGCAAGATCATGCCAAGCACCGAAGCAATCAAATCTCGCATCGACTTGTCTTCTCCGCCCTGCTCTCTAGAATCACCGTAGCCATTCACAGGAAGCGTCCGCGAAGACGATCCAGGGCCGTTCTCTTGCATGGTGTGCATCGCAACATACCTAAATACACATGGTTAGATCGGTCCGTTTTCCAAGGAAGGGGGAAAACATGTAACTTACAAAAAGGTACCACCCGAGAAAAGCAAAAGCATACCAGTCCGCCAGTGAGCAGCAGCCTCGTCGCCGTTGGATGATCCCATCATTTGCGCAAAGAGGAAAGTAGCCAATGCACCAACGGGAGCCGCCAAGCTAAAAACTAGCAAATGCGCCCTCGCAGTCCGGCTGGACAGTCCCTGCTTGAGCAGAATTGACGTTAAACCAAAGGAAGCCGGGGCTTTATGGACCATAATAGCCAAGAAGATGATAAAGCTGAGTCCAGTATCCGAGCTCGAAGCGCCCAGGGCGATACCATCAGCCGCGGCGTGGATCACCAAGCCCGTTGTGGTTGCAAAGCTGTGGCCACGACGGGAGCTTTGTCCTGCATCCAAAAGGCCTCCGTCGCGGATGGGCGAGGAGTTGCGTCGCAGTCCAGAACCGAGGTTATCAAGAGAGATGTGGTAGGGCTGTCGTTCGGGCTTGGTCGGAGATGCAAATTCGGGCAACTTGTCGATAAGGTACATCAAAATGAAGCCACTAACCAGGGCGATACCGATCCAGGCATGCGGGGAACTCTCATGCTCATGCTCCTCCTCTTCCTGGCTTGACTTGTCGCTCGATGATTCTTCCTTGCGGATTCGGAGTACTTCTGAGTCGGCGGAAGCCTGGTCTCGGTTGACCAGGGGTGTTTCATGGTCCGCATTATCGAGTGATAGGAAAGAAACGGGGGTGGTGGAGGACGAAGAAACGTCGTCGTCGTTTAGCGTCGGAATACCGGCCACGGGGAGGTTGCGAGCCTGCCATTCAACGGTAGTCGCTCGGGCATTGAGGCTTTGTTTGCGAATAGTTTTGGCGCTGTAGAGGGTTTCGATACCCTCTGGAATAATAACAATTAAGGATGTGCCTACCAGCACACCCATGCCGATGGAGGATATCAGCCGTAGTTGAGAGGGGGACAATGTAAACGCGAGAGGTAATGAGCCGACGACAAAGGATCTGCGGGAGAAAGCGAACTCATATTAGCAGCTGGACTGGAATTGATGTAATATGCCTCATCGAAATCAAGCGACAGGCTTAGCTCACGTAATTGCCATCACAATGCTCAGAACGAGCAAAGTGAAGAGTCCCTCCATGGTGGCCTCTTTTGCGAAAGAGCTTTGCACGTGCGCGGGCTTTATAGGGCGTCAATCATGGTGTTAAATCGGGCAAACAGGACGAGCAGATCCAACTCGAGTCTTTCCTTTCGGCGATCAAGAGAGGAAGAAAGTAGGTTGCAGGGCGTGGATTGAAAGGGAGGCGAAACGACGAGTTCTTGGCGGGCGTTCTCCGACTTGGGAGACCCACGCGGGTCAGGCACCGCCCGCTACATTCGGACCAAAACATGCCATGTCCATGGATACCACGGATACCCTGGATACCATGGATACCATTGCCAATGCTATGGGGGTCGAGTACATCGAGTACCGAGTACATCCTACATCCTCTGTTCCTGAATATAAAGTATGGAGTACAGACATTGGGTCCGGCTGATCTAGAACACGCTGTCCAAACCGTGACGATGTGATGCAACGCGGTGCTCCACTGAACGGAAGATATTGGGAGATATTGAGAAGTCGAGAAATAGAGCAACACTGGGCTACAGTACCGACAAGCAGCATTCGCTTGTCTTAAAGGGTCGGATCTATGGCCCCAATTCTGTGTCTAACAAATGTTCAAACGGTTTCCTCCAATCCGTGTCTATTTTTAGCAAAGACCCGCTTGATCAGATTTGATAATCACTTCTAGATCGACAGATCGATTCTACTTCAAGTTGATTAGATCTATCAAAAGCCCCTGGAACGATGAACCTGGTTTTATTGAACAGGCATCCCATTTCTGCTCATCTCAGTACAGAACAGTATTAGAGTTACAGATGTTTTCGTTGGTTAATGCGAGTAGCCTGGCACTGTACGGCGCACAGATCATTCCCATGACACTCACAGTCGGGGTTGGAAAGGAAGGCTAAGCAAAGAAAGAAACATTGGAGATCCAGTCCCCGTGATATCAGAAGCCTATTTTGTTCGTCATCAAATACAGAAAATGCAAAGTCAACATGACTCAAAACTCGGAAAAATGAAAATGAATTGAATAGAATGGTAAAGTTCTGGCACGGTATCAGGAAGAACAGTTAAAAGTTAAAACAATATGGCTCCAAAAGCCTTTATTGGCAACCGCAAAGCACATATTAAAAGAAAATTGAATACTCCGTATAGCACTAGCGAGCGTCCTTGGGAAGACGGAACCCGAGATACGGCAAATACTTGCCAGGGTGCCAGTAGATGTAAAGAGCGACACATGGATAAATAACCAGTGCATCAAAAACGTACATGGTCCACTCGTGGGTATTAAGGTAACCAGTTGTGCCCTCCGTAAACTCAACTAGTCGATAGACTGAACGAACCTAGTTGAGGAAAGGTTAGCTTATACTATCCCCCCCCCCCTTGTCAGATGCTATCAGGTATTAGTACTTACCAAAATCAACAAGGTGGTGAAGTTGACAACACGCAGTAAGGCTGGCCAGTGTTTCTTCCTCACAAGACCATCAATAATATATGACTTTTCTCCTGAACTCTCGTATCTCTCAGAAATGGATTTGGTGAACCGCTTCGAAGTGAAGTTGAAGCGAACGGCAGCGACGGAGAACATGCCGAATGCGACCAGCTGAATGATGACGCCTGCTTGGGCAATAGACTTTCCTCTATTCAATTTCTGAGCTGCATCTGTATCACCTGCGCTAACAGATGAAATCATTACAGCTCCTACTAACTGAAGAAATAGAGCAACAATGTCGAAACCGACGAAGAGTGGAGTGATGAATCGAGGAGGAACCCAGCAGAGTTTGAATGTTCGAGATTCGCGAGGGACAACAAGGAAAATAATTCGGCCAAACAAGACATAGCAGCAGGCTGCCATGAGGACCGGGGCAAGAATGACGAGCGCGAACTGGAGAACATAAACGGATTTTTCAGTGACGTTTTGAGTCGAAATGCATCGGGCAATATAACCAACTGCTTCCACTGGTGCTCGTTTAGTACATTTGAGACTCTCAGGCACAGATATTAGAAGCTTACTCGCAGCTGCGACCACCATAGTTAGCCAGACCCATGATTTGTATCGAATCCACTGAATCAAGGTGAGAAGAAATGCGATGCCATAAAGAACGGCTGCCACTATTGCAACTGCCAATGAGGGGTCATAGCTATAGTGAGACTCTTCTCCTGTATCTTGCACAGACCGTATCGCAAGGGTCATGGTTGAATGTCGGTAAGGGTCCAGTGATAGATTTTCGTCGGGAAGAATTATAAAACTCGAGATTCAGAACAGTCCTCTGCGAAGAGACTGGGTACTTATAAGATTTAACATTTCAAGCTTAAGTCGCATATAGGACCCCGTTCTTGGATCCAATTTTACTGGTCTAAGTCAGGCAGCCTCATTCCATAAAAGGATAGGAGTTCGGGATTCAAGTAGGGCTGGACGGTGAGATCGGGGCTATCGGTCCCGCTATGTACCGATCCCGGGCATTTTTTGAGGCAATGGCTGATCTGGTTAATATGGGTGCTTACGACAACACTTTAGCCAAGTCTTTAAACGATATTCTGACACCGGTGGAAATGATGTGTAGCGCTGCCGAGACCACCCATGGACCGACCCCACAGACGCAACAGTTACTCCATTAGGTTAGCGGATCTGCCGATCCATCAACGGCTCACCAGCCGATGGGCTGTGCTTCAACGACGCTGCTTAAGCACTCTGCAGCTTTCTACGATTCTTTTACCCCTTTTGACCCCGGAGCACCTCAGAGAAGTCGCTTAATTTTACTACACAATCTCGAAAGGTTATGCCTTTCTACGGCCGTCCGAGCAAGAATTGTGAGAGCTGTCGGATCAGGAGAATCAAGGTATGTGTGACGCTGCAATAGATCTATAAGTTATAACTTATATCCATAGTTGATCAAGCTAACTCGGTTGACCTGATAAAAAGTGTGATCGTATAGAACCGGTCTGTTCGCAGTGCAAGAGAGCGGGGAAGCCTTGTGGTGGCTACCGCGATATCCCGGCTCTTCTGTTCCGTGACGAGAATGACAAAACGGTTCAACGGTCTGTCGTGGCCAAATCTAAATCAGAGGCCCGCCGTAAACTGCTAGATGAATTTGCAGAGGTGAATTATGACAGGCCAGTGCATATGTCAAAGTCATCCCGATTGGGGCTTATAGTTCGGAGAGATCCAGAGGTGTTCTGGATATCTGCGATACCGGCAGTGATGCCTTCCAGCCTGGAGGATCAAGGGTTGAAATTCTTCTTTAATCGGTTCGCAACATCGATACAGAAGGCAACAAAGAACCCCATCTCCCTAGAGATGCCTGAGCTAGAGATGTCGCCACTAATGGCAACCATTCCAAATGAGTTACCTCTTCGAGATGCTGTGATGGCAGTGGGACTAGCTGCCATGTCAAATGTGACCCATGACCATTCGCTCTTACAAGCCGCGAGAGTGAAATACCTGGCAGCCCTGAATATTGTTCGTGCTGCAGTGGAGAATCCACAGCGGGCCAATCCCGTATTGATATTTAAATTAATACTGATGCTTAGCCTGTTCGAGGTGTGTCTTGCCTGTGCTTCCTTCTACACCTTTGTCCTTTTTAAGTAATGACAGACATGAACTAACTTCTTTTGGCTAGATGGTCTGTTGTCCATCCAGACAAGTTGACTCTTGGGTGGTACATCTGGACGGCATGGCGGCTCTGCTTAAACAAGCCAGTTTTAGCAAGGCTCTCAACGCCGATACCCGCCCACAGTTACAATACCTTTTTATTTCTATTGTCCGATACTTTATGGTACAGGGGGATCTTCCCTCCGTTCTCATCACCTGGTCCCCTGATAGAATTTCTACTGTCACACCCTTCGAAGAGCCCGCTGTCGACCTGGTGGATATTCTAATTCGCTTTGCGAAACTACATTATACTGCTCGCAACGATCCAGATCTCGATCATGGAGCTATAGCTAGCTCTGCGGCTTCATTTGACACAGAGCTAGACGAATGGGAGAAAAATCTCCCCGACAAATGGGCTTTCACCCTCAGCGAGTCGAAAGACCACCAGCACACATTCAATGGCAAATATCTCATTTATAATGATGTGTGGGCCTCAAGAATTCTGAACAACTATTTCTGGGGTAGACTAGTTGTGAATGAAATAATATTGAAGCATTTAGCTAGTCACCCTTCTCCAACGCGAAGAACCCTACAGCAACGGCAGCGAGCGTTGGAGACGAGCTCACGCCTATCGATTAACGTCTGTGCCGGCGCCGCCAGCCACATGGGCGCCTTTGGCAATATGACCCCAGCCACTGGAGATGCAAGATTACCACCATTGAATGGTGCATTCACGCTGCTGTTCCCCTTGACAATGGCTGGCGGTGCAGCTGGTGCTCCCGACGAGGCATACGAATGGGTGATTCAAACACTTCAAAGAATCGGGGAGACTATGGGAATTCAACGAGCCCTACAACTTATACCGGCATTGAAAGAAATACGTGAAAAGAGAAGAGATCAAAATTTGGAAGCAGACGAAGTATTCGCAAGGCTTGGATAGATTCGGACGGCTAAATGGCCAGTTAGTGGATGTATCATGTATATGAATGGGACTTATAGTATTTTAGGCATACACTATTTGTGCTGTTCACGATACGACACCGTTCCCGCATATCCCATCCTATAGCAGTACTACCTTAGTAGTACGCCGACATGTTAGTAAGGTACCTTCCCTACCAACCCTACCAACCCTACCTTAGGAAGGTACCTTCCTAGGTTGGCTACCCTTGAATACGTCAGGGACCGTGGTTACCTTACATCGCAATCTTGCGATATCGTGAACAGCACTCAATTATGTTTTCATAGCACCTTCGCGCTCTTTGGGCTGGCCCAAGCCAGTACTAAGATTGGATTCGGGTGTTATACCAAGCATATCGAAGAACATCCGATCAAAAAGCAAGGCAATCCCATCGCAATCGGCGCATTTTCGGCTATTCGAGATCAGCAATACCAACTACGCAATCTCAATCCGCCTTCTCTACCCCTCGCTTGGCATCGGAGATACAGCGAGAGTCCGTAACAAAACAACGGCCAGTAGGTAAGTGGCTTCATTGAATACATTCCTCTCATCGACTCCGAGTAAACCACTAACCAGATACTACAGATGGGTGATAATATCGCAGTATGGTACGGATATCTATATCCTGATCGGCGAAGTTCATCCGGAGTACTTCGAGTGTTTGGTGCAAGGTCTCTTGATGCCGAATCCCCGAGACCGAAAATCCTTCCTTTTCTTCACCTACACGGGCCATTTAGCATATTTATGAAGAAGGACATGGAGGTGTTTGGGTTTATTGTCGTCGCATTGACCATACTAAGCCATCGCGACTGGGTAAAGGAAGAGCAAGTTGAAGAAGAGACAGACGAAGATGACTGGGAAGAAGAAGCAATGGTTCTGCATTTTCCTATTCTGTATTTTCACATTCGTGCTTCCTCACTTCAAGTCTTTTCCCCATTTCAATCGATCAATTACAAGCATAATATTATTTCCGTTGGGGACTCTTACAGTGGCGTTGCAAAAGTTTGAAACCCCGTATTGCCCACCATGATTTGCCACCTACTAATAGGAAAAACTAGTAGCTACTAGTCCACGATTAGAAGGGGGAGACAAGCACAGTCAACATGGGGTTTCAAACTTTTGCGACACCACTGTATACTTCGGACATGACACTAGTCCACATTAGGTAATACGAGCTCCAGACGCGTTCGCGCCGCTCGGCTCGGGCATGGGCACCCTTGTCTTCCCAGCTCATATCTGCATCACTTCCTCACATCTATCCAACATGGCGGTTGGCGAAGACTGTAAGTTGATCCCGCATTTCCTGTTCTCGATCTCTTCCGTAACGCGACGACTAATTGATCCAGGGTCGTGCGACGCAAACGATGCGCTTCATATCACGGTCGTGCAGCCTGGCGACACCAAACCTAAGACCCTGTCAACCTTCCATCCACAATTCACCTATCCGATCTTCGGTGACGATGAACAAATCTTCGGTTACAAAGGCCTAGTCATACGCTTGCGATTCGCCGCTCACGATCTCCGCCCTCATGTCCACATATCCTATGACGACAGATTCAAGGCAGTCGATGACACGGCCGCGACGGATCTGCTAGGTACTCTTAAGCCGTTCATCCCCGAAGGTTAGTATCTTCTACTCTGTGCGCCATCGATTCGGGAACTAACAACACGTCGCAGAGGCGTTGATCAATCTTCCGGAATACGAGAAGAATGTCCAGGAGGACCCCGGCGCAAAGGACTTCTCTCCGCCCGGAAAGTTAGTCTACAGTTATGATGTGAATGAGAGGAATTACGAGATCTGGGCAGGTTCTCTCGCGAACCCCGCCGTTCAAAAGATTCTGGATCGCGCACAGGTCCTGGTTTCTCTTTTCATCGAAGCCGGCACTCCCTTGGATACGGATGACCCCGAATGGAGCTTGGAGCGATGGACGGTATTCTTTGTGTAAGCCTCGATCTTGATCTTCATTTAAAATCTTCCAAATTCTAACTATTGCAGCTATGAAAAGGTGAAGCCAACCACGCCAACCGCATCCTCATACTCCATCGTCGGATATGCTACAACCTACCGATACTGGATGTACCAGCGAGATCGTTCAGAGACCCCAGTCGTAAAGGATGTCGCATTCCCTTTGCCGGAGCTCAAGATCTCCGAACTCCCAGCCCGACTTCGCATCGCCCAGTTCCTCATCCTTCCATCCCACCACCGATCGGGCCACGGCACCCATCTTTACACAACAATCCATGCCTTTTGCCTGGCGGACCCCACAATCACGGAATTGACTGTCGAGGATCCCAACGAAGCGTTCGATGCTCTCCGGGACTCCGCTGACTTTTGCCTGCTGCGCCCCGAATTTCTCAAGCACAACGTGAATCTTAACCCCGACCCGAATGGGATTTACTCTGGCAAGAAGCGCCCGACAGTGGTTCCTACCAATGCGCTTATCCCTACCCAGACCCTTCGCGAAGTGCGCACCGCCTTCAAGATCGAAGCAACTCAGTTTGCACACATCCTGGAGATGTACCTACTGAGCCAGATCCCCAAGAGTCATCGCTTGGCCGGTGGTACCAATCTTGCACGATTATTGATTAAGAAGTCCAAGGCTGATAACCCCGATGACCGACGGTACTACTGGTGGCGCATGCTCACCAAACAACGCCTTTACAAGAAGCACCGAGAGTTGCTTGATGAATTGGATCTGACCGACCGGGTAGAGAAGCTGGATGACACTGTTCGAAATGTCGAGGAAGGTTATGAAATTACACTCGGAGCTCTCGAGGGACGCTTGCCCGAGCCTGAGGATGAGCCAACAGAAGCTTCTAGCAGTGGACGGGGTAAGCGCAAGCTTGCCGTCTCTGACGATGAAGATGAGGAAGAAAATGGAGCGGAGGCAGCTAAGCGCCCTAAAGTCTAGGCTTGCCAATAGGTGTCTTTGGTCCTTGTGGGCTTCGCACTATGTAATCTATCAACTGGGATTTGGATCTGGATCTGGATCTGCTGGAATGGCTTTAGTTCTTTTTTAAACGGTCAATCAAACGCTGAAATGAGAACTTTGAAAACCGAAACAAATAAAATCAACCTAGTAAACCTTGTGTAATTGAAATAAAAATGAACAAGTAAAGTGATCCACCAGAGGATTAACCACCTTCGTTATGGCGGCGCAAGGAACCAGGCTAGCTGATCTCGGCACATCCTTTTTTCCGGGTTCAGGCTTCGTCACAGCAGCTGATGCGGAACTCGATTACACCCATTGATCCCGCCAACAACCCTTTCGAATTCAACGAGACCCCCTGCTGGTCATCTACCACCCTTCACTTCCATCGGTCGGGCTGAAAATTGGCGCATTGCCACCTGCCCGCACAGATTATCGCCCGCACACCACTGCGCACACCCTCCCCTCTTTGCGACACCCGCCTCTTATCAACCGCATTTCACCATGGTATGCTTCATCTCGACCTCATAAAGCCTGTTGGAATTTGAAGCTAATACTTCTCCCTCACAGCTTCCTCTCGGCCTTTTGACGGCCGCACAGGGCCACCCCATGCTGGTGGAGCTCAAGAACGGCGAGACCTTGAACGGCCACCTCGTTACCTGCGACAACTGGATGAACTTGATTCTGCGTGAAGTGGTGCAGACCAGCCCCGAGGGTGACAAGTTCTTCCGCCTGCCCGAAGTTTACATCCGTGGTAACAATGTGAGTTTATATCTACACCGCTGCGCACAATCGTATCGTATCCATATCTCTAACCACTTCCTCCAGATCAAATACCTCCGCGTCCCCGAAGAGATCATCGAGCTCGTAAAGGAGCAGCAACAGAACCAACCACAAAACCGCGGTCACCGTGGACGAGATGGCGAGCGTGGCCGCGGCCGCGGCGGTGGTCGTGGCGGGCGCGGCGGCCGGGGCGGTCGGGGACGTGGTGGCCACGCCGTATGAGACAGTCTACACATTACCTTGCATGTCTAGGATGAAATTGAAACACGAGATACCCTGAACAAGGCGGAGCGTTTAAGGTCGCTTTGGGGAGAAGAGGTCCGATTGAACTGGACAGTTTTGGTCGAGCATGGCCACGGCGCATATCTGGCTCTGTATTTTACCGTGGGATCTGGGCTATTGGGGTTGGATTAACGACCTACAAATACAACGAATTATAAACCCCCAAAATCGTATTGTACTATCTGTGTAGTTTAACGCAAATCGTCATCTATTATGGTATGCTATGCTATTCTCGACGCGGCCTCGGAGACTCACCGTTATCAGTCACGTGTTATCGCATTATTTCGTGCAGGCGGCGAATCCGCAACGTTCAAGGTGACTGCATCGCCAACGAAAGCTAACGGACATGTCTCGGCGTGCCTTGGTCCTGGATGGGCTTTGGTATTCATTATGTCCTTCATTTGTCCCCAGGGCACTCAGTCGCCCTTGCCACTCCAACAAACGAAGAAGCGAAGCTCAAGACCATTTGCGCCAGCAAGTACTTGCACGGCAGGAAGCTCGCCACGAAGATACTATACAAACGGAAATAAGGCCAGTCACAAAATTACCGGCTATATTAGCTCGCACACCCCCGAAGCCTCTCCCACCCACGATGAATCACTCGCCGAGACCGAGTCTTTGCCCACGGACGACCTCGAACATTACCCTTCAACCACCGATATGCTCGACGACCGAAGAGAGAAGGAATTACAACTTTTATATAATATGGCCAAGAATCCCAGGGCGCACGAGTTAGACTACATCCCAACCTCGTTTTTGGAAAGGAAACTGCAGGAGGATATGGCCATAAAGCCCAAGATCAAAGACGCGGAGCGTGTCTTCCGAGCTTTAATGCGAGACCGTCAGATCCGACCGACTGCCCGGCACTACAAGGAATTGATATTGGCCAATTGCGATTGGCAATTTGGGTCATCATTAGCTGTGCAAAGGCTGCTGGATGAGATGGATCTCAATAATATTGCGATGGATTCGGGCACGCTCCATGCTGCTCTTCAGGTACGTATATAAGTGAAGAACCGTCTTTATCAAGGTGCTTCGCTAATCAGCATGCCGAAAATCACAGGCAGTGGCAGTACATCCCGACTATATCCTTCGTCAACAACTACTTGATCGACTTCGAGATCGGTGGCTTCCCCTCAGTCCGGCGGGCTGGCACTCTGTAGTAGCGGGCTTGATGCGAGAGAATCAGTTTGAAAAGGCACTCGAGCAACTTGAAGCTATGGAGCGGAAGAACATCCCTGTTGAGAATTGGTTGCACAGTTTGATCATCTATATCCTGTGTGACTACAAAGAATTTGAAGAAATAAGCCGTCTCGTTCGACGAAGGGTCGAGCAAGGCCACGACCTGACCCCACAGCTTTTATCTCATGTGCTTGAAAGGGCAAGTGAGGACCGACACCATGGGCTGACTCACTACATATGGGAAAGAAAAGTGAATCTGGGCTACCTTCGTCCTTCAGAGGATACCTGCTCGCGAACACTAAGTACGGCAGCGAAGTACGGCGATCCTCAACTGGCCCAGGCTGTGTTTCATTATATGCGCAAGGTTCGCCTCGCGCCGAAGCCCGATGACTATCACCAGCTCGTCAGATCTCATCTGATCAGCGGATCCGAAGGGGATCTTCTTGGCGGGTTCCAGGAGCTCTGCACAGTACACGAAGCCGGACTCACGCCCCTGCACAGTACTATGAAGGCATTATATCAACATTTTATCAAATGGAAAATCGATGGCTGGGAAGCGTGGCAGATGCTCAAACGACTCAAAGATTCCGAGCGATCCATTCCCATCGAAGCTGTTGAGCTTATTCTCCAGTCCTGGAAAAATGACGCCAAGCACAATCCATCCGTCGCAGATGATGCCCTGCAACTCTACCGTGAACTCTACACAGTCTGTCCTGACGGCTCAAACCTTTCCATCTACAATTCATTGATCAACATTTGTCGACGTGCCCAAAGAGTCGACTTGGGAATGTATATGCTGAAAGAAATGGCATCTTTCGGCATAATTCCGAGTAGTAAGACCTTTGAACTTGTTATTCGGATGTGCCTCGACGCCGGAAGTTTCAAATCTGCGTGGATGTATCTTCAAGACATGCAGGAACGCGAACTCCCTCTTACACTGACGACACAAGAGTTAATTCAAGAGATCTGCCCGAAGTCTGTGGATCCTTATGCCCTACGGTTGAAATATCATCCCAGTGCTCAACTGCCGGTCAACCCGCCGGTTGCTGCTGAACCAGCCAAACCGGACAGGCCAGGGAAGGTGGTTTGGAACAAGGACCCAAAGCCTTCTCAGGCCACGCGCAGGAGACGGAGACGTCAACGTGAAGCTCGCATTGCGGAGATGGAGGAGCGTCATGAAGACACCGTCGTCTCGGAGAAATAGCGAGCCACTCCATAAATAGGTTTCCTTGTCAGAGAAAAGCTCCGTGGACGATCGGGTCCACAATCCAATCTATCGGGTCTCAAGGGGAATGGATGCAGTGTCGGATGCATGAGGCCCGCAGGCTCGCACAGTATCTATTCTCCATTTGTACGTTCTAGCCCGGACGGGACCGGGAGGCTGTGGCAAGATGCAAGATGCAAGATGCATGATGCACCAGGCACCAAAGTATATGCCGTGGCACGAAGGAAGATCTGGTGCGACCAACCGTCGCCTGATTGATACCCTGTATATTACTATATTATCACTTTGTACGAGTACATATGTCATCAACAAAAATTTTCTTCAAGGTTTCTTGAACGCATACCCCGGCCATTTAGCCGGTCTTCGGGGGACGTGTGATGGTTCGGCCGTTGCGGAATGGTTTATCCGCACCAACCCAGTTCCTGCATGGAATCAAGTCCTCCACCCTCAAACCAGTGGTTCCCTTCGAGGGTCTCCGCCACTCAAAATTAGTACCGGATATCTGAAACACGCCTAGGCGGCGATCTTGCATTCGACTTGTCAGACAGTGAGACTGGGGTCAGAACATCAGACAACGAGTGCTTTCAGTACAGTATGGATTGTGAATACTGGGGAACTATTGGCGTGCGTTGCCGATCGATATCCCCTGAAAGGATCGGCAGTTCTGTGGAGCCAACAAAGAGGAACGGAAGAGTTGAATCAAAGTTGAACCGAGGGGGGGGGAGGTTGAACTAAGGAAATGGGATGGCCGGAGTGGTTGCGAGTGGAGACTTCACTGGGTCGCCAAGGACTATCCTCGTCAGCCCGTTGGACCCTTCCCTGCCTTTCCCTTCCCCCCCTCGTACAATCTGCACTTCTCGTAACTTACTTATCCTTTCCAGCCTTGCCTCTCTCCCTTTCTCTTTTATCCTTCATCCTTCCTATTCACCTTTCAATTGTACTATACTTTTGCCCTTCCCTGATATAATCCATAATATCACCATCACCATCATCATGCAACTTACCTCCATCCTCCCTGTCTTGCTCTCTACTCTGAGCCTGGCCACCGCCGCTACCCAAGGTGCCGTTCCCGTCTTCAGATCCAACAATCTCGACATCGGCAGCTCTCCCGGTGGCGTCGCTTGGCGATTCAATGTCACTGCCCTTCGTGGGGACGAATCCCCCCGCGTTCAACACATTCTGTGAAGGAACCTCCTACAACGCCACCCCGTGCGCCAATCCAAATATCGTCGCGCAGCTCACCCCATTGGGAAACCCCAATTTCAACCTCACGGTGCAGCAACACTGGGTCAAATATGTGGATTCTGCCCGCCAGGACTTTTGGCAAGAAGGCACAGCCAAGGTCAACGAGTCTAGTACAAGCTTCAATATCGTCCCTGACACCTTCTACGGAGTGGCGTAAAGAATCCGTTTGATCGGATCTCTATCGTGTTCAGTGTGTCGGTGATTCAGTGGCTCAGTGTTCTTTGTCTCTTCGCAGATGGCACTGGCAAACAGATATGGCCCTGTCCATTTCTGATGTAATGGCTGTGAATTTCTTGTTTCTTCTTGTTCTTTTTTCTTTCTATTCCTCTTATGACCCTGCGGAACAAGGACCGCATGACTCTCCTTAATGACCGGCGTTTTGGGTTGGGCAGGATATCTTTGGTTTGACACATTCCCGACGCTCCTTGGAAGCCCTGGTAACTGGGGTCTAATGCTTGGTTGGAATATTGCACATGCACATACTGGCATTATTCTGTACAATAAACAAAAAATCAATCACTTCTCATCTACACACTTACCACGAAGTATTCAATCTCCATCTCTTGCATTACTGGTACACTATGACTATACTACTCGTAGTCCTAGAATGCAGACTAGAAGTATACTAAGTATCAGAATAAGAATAAGAATAAGAATAAGAATGTGCCAGGATCCCCACTGGGGGCGAGCTAAAAAGGTGAGGCGCTTTCTTAGCGGCGACGGGTGACATGATGTCATTGGCCCGACTGCGCCTCCTGCGATAAACAAGTTCCCCTCCACCGTCAGCCAAGCTATACTGAGATCTTTTAAGTCTTGTCTTTCTTCATGTCCTGATATCTATATGACAACTGCGAGTTGAGTATCTCGCAGAATGGTATGGTTCCCGACTCTCCAGACCATGGTTACACGCGCTAACTCCGCACCCCCAGACTTCAATCCTCCGCCAAATTGTCGCGGGGCCGAGACAACAGCACCCGGAAGCTGGACTAGATCTCTGCTATGTAACCGATAATGGTATATTGTCTCTACGCGACCGTGCATTGCAATTGCAACCCCCTCCAGCCAAGCTAACCCTGCTGTGTGATCCTAGTCATCGCCACCTCAGGCCCCTCCGGAAACTACCCTCAACGCGCATACCGCAACCCACTCGACGCTCTGGTCAACTTTCTCGACTCGAAACATGGTGCAAATTGGTGCATCTGGGAATTCCGCGCCGAAGGCACAGGGTATCCCGACTCGGAAGTATACGGGCGCATTCACCATTTCCCCTGGCCAGACCACCACCCACCGCCCTTCGCATTGATCCCGAATATCATGGGCAGCATGCGGAACTGGCTGAACAACCTTGACGATAAAGATAAGAAGGAAGGGGAGGAAGGACCCTCGAAGCGAGTCGCGGTCGTACATTGCAAGGCGGGCAAAGGGCGCAGCGGCACCGTCGCAACGGCATATTTAATCAGCCAAGAAGGGTGGAAGAAGGAGGATGCTTTGCAGCGATTCACCGATCGACGCATGCGAGTCGGTTTCGGTAATGGTGTGAGCATCCCCAGTCAACTACGATACGTCGACTATATCGATCGATGGGCGAACAAGCTCGACAAGCAATACGTGGAGCGACCAGTCGAGATCCTCGAGGTACATATCTGGGGCCTGCGAGATGGAGTCAAGGTCGCAGTTCAAGGATACGAGGATGAAGGGAAGAAGATCAAGTGCTGCCACCTTTTCCACCGCAGCGAACGCACTGTCATTGAGGGCATTGCTGCAGGAGCAGGAGCTGGGAATACCACACCAAAACAGGATGATATCAAGGATAAATCTCCTCAGAGTTCTACGCCATCATCATCAACAACATGGTCACCCATGACCTCTCAATCAGATACCTCCACGCCTAAACCTAGCCTCTCACGTCGATCAACCACAACCGGCGCTTTATCGGCAGTGATTTTTAAACCCAAGAAAGCTATCATCGTTCCAGGTTCTGACGTCAATATTGATCTCGAGCGACGCAGCAAGGCCTCATATACCGGTTTTACCATGGTTACATCAGTTGCGCACGTCTGGTGGAATGCCTACTTCGAAGGCGGCAAGGATCATGACTCTGGTGTTTTCGAGATAGAATGGGACGCAATGGACGGAATCAAAGGCAGCGCGAAGAAAGGGATCCGCGCATTCGAAAAACTCAAGGTGGTTTGGCGATACCCTTCGCCGGACGAGGATATCAAGAAAGACGCCGCTCCCGTGAGTGGCAGACCGATCAGCGAGCCGAAGCCCGGGGAGCCCATCCATGAAAGTTCAGCGGCTGATTGGCGGGGCGAGGAGACAGAGACAGAGCAGAAACAGGAGAATGTAGCGCCCGAGAAAGAGAAGAAGAAGAAGCAAGATGTCAAAGAAGAAAGCTCTGGTTTCCCGGGGTCTGGATTGTTGGCCGTCGGAGCGGGCTCTTTGCATGAGCTTCAGCGACAACTAGGGTTGCGCAAGCAGACGGACGAAAGTAAAGATGTGAGTTTGGCTGGAACGGATGACGAGGCGCGGTCGACAACGGATGATGAAGGGCGGGTGTTGAAGGACAAGGCTGCAAATGCAAAGAAAGATGACAGTGGGGACTCTGACGGCGAGGGGGTAAGACCTTATTTTGGTAAGGATGGGAATGATGACTCTGGGAATGAACAGAAGGTGGATAGCAAAGAAAAGACATCTGGGTAAGAGTTGCGCGTGAATGTATAGCTACACAGATTATCTTGATGCATGACTGTTGGCGTTACTAGTATCTTCATAACTTGGGCTACTCTACGATATACACTGAAACATCATGAAAGGAAATAGGAAATCCCCAAGCCTGGGGTGACAGTGTATCTGTATCTGTATCTGTATCTACATCTATATGACTGACTAGAGTTAACAATAAGACAAAAGAGAGAGAAAAAACCAAATATCGAAAAATTTAACACTTCGAACGCCAACCGATATGATCCTCAGAGAAGGTCTTTCTTTATTAGAGAGGCACAAATCCCTCCAGCTGCTTCCGCGCATCCTCTTGTTCCTTCCGTAGTCGATCACTCTTCTTCCGCTCATAAACCGCCCGAACAACACGACGAACTTGCTCCTTGCCCTGGCTGAAATTAGCCCTAGCCAATCCAACCACCGAGTCAATCTGTTCAGGTGTGTAGATGAAGTTCCACGTAGATAGGAAATCATCAACCTCGGGGTCAATTGAGTTCGGATGGGGGGGCTAGAGGTAGTTCAGGGTCCTTAGCACTGGGTTCATTCTGCTTCTGCTTAATGGATTCCACAGCAGACAGGGGGCGTGTCTTCTGAGCAGGGGGCAGATCCGGCGCCTCGGGATTTGGGATCAGAGGGAAGTAGACGACGGCAATTCCGGCTTCCGGCTGCATGAGATGAAATTCGGACTCGGTGTGATCTTCGGTTTGTTCGGGATGGAAGAGGCGCTTCGATGGGGGAGGTTCTTTCTCGCTGATTCGTTCCTCTTTCGTTCCAACCCAGACATTACAGTAGCTCAAATCCGAGTCTGCCGCCTTGTTGGAGTCCTTTGAGTGGGAGAGACTGTGGCTCTGGGCATCCGCCATTTTCTCATTCGCTTTTTGTTCCGACGCGTGCTGTGATTCATGGAGAGCTTGCTTGGTCTCTTCTAGGCTCGAACTTTCTTTGGGCCATCCAGCACCGACTGGCCAACCCTTGATACCACGTTGTCGGGCGTATCCGTCGACAACGGAGAGCCAGTTCTCTTGTTTAATGTCTGCGGATGCGTCGAAAGCAACGATCACATCGACATCTCTGCCGGGGCGAATAAGCGGATAGATGGGCAGATTATTGCTCATACCGGCATCCATCAGACGCAAATGACTGCTGCGAAAGACAGACTCGGGGCAAGAGGCCGGTAGTTGGCCTTTCATGCCCATCACGTAGTTAGGAATAGCAGCAGGATCGATAGGGTGCACCCGGATAAGGTCTTGGTTCTTGCCCTGGATCAGAGAATCGATGCCACCGAACCCAGCGAGGCTCTTGACTAAGGGTCGGGCCTCTTTGTAGTAGTGCGATAGTGTCGCGCAGAAGGCGCTGCCCCAGATACCCATTAATTCGGGAACTCTGAGCTCCGGGATAGGGTAGTTCCTATCAGGAAGCTGATTAGTACCGCCGTTGAAATGTCTTCCTAGGGCCCAGGTCGGGATTCCAGCATTGAGTTCCTCGCAGAAGAATTCATACGGAGTGAATTCGAACCACTGGAACCAGGACTCCTTTTCGGCTTCACGCATAAGGTCCTCGGGCAAAGGCTTGGGGCCATCGGCACCCTCCACAATTCCTGGGATTTCATGTCGAACTGCTGTATAGATAGGGAGCGGGTGTGCTCCATTTAGTAAATTCTCCTTCTGGTTGGAGATTTTAAAATCCAGACCCGAGACTCCAAGCTCACCACGCGGAACTAGAAGTCTGGCGGCGAGTAATAGTCCGTAAATATCCACCAATCCAAAGTCCGCACCAGGGTCTCCCTTCAATTTCTCCACGATGCCACTGAGAAGAAACTTGTTGGTCGGTGCGGTAGTAAGGAGATCCAATGCCGTGGGCGGGAAAGCAATGTGAACGCCAAGACGGCTTTTCAGGTGGTCAACGAGTTTATGGAAGCTGCGGTCCGTGATTGACGAATGATACAGAGTCTGGAGCCAGCAGCTCCCACTGACTCCGGCCGTGTAGGTCACGCAATCCCATAGGCCTTCCTCCTGCGCAGCCAGGTATGAGCCTGTCCCCGCGACCAAGGCACGCAGTCCACCTCCCGAGCCACACATGGCAATGACCGGCACATCATCGGGGTGAATGTCCTCTACCGGAATGTCAAGATAGGAAGCCAGCGCTTTCGCCGCGTGCTTTTGTCGTTGCTTTCTGAACTCAAGCTCCTCTGCGCAGAGCTTATCGCTGACTCGCACCTTGGCATCCTGCAAAATTTCCGGGTTGATGTCAGGATCTTGGGACTCCTTCCATATGTCGTCGGCTAGCGAGCCAGGGGCCAAAGATAGCTCGCGTTGCAGCTTTTGGGCCGTAGCAGGTAGCAATCGCGCCCAGTCGGGGACGATCAGGTTCGTAATGTTGCCGCGAAGATCCCCCCACTCTCCCGGAACAACATTGTGCTTGATATTTTCGAACTTGTGAACAATATTCAGCCAAATTGAGGCCTGGTCGCCGTGTTGCTCGTCAATTTCCCCAGTCGGGGTCGAAGAGGGGCTTCGTGGGTCAGAATTGGAATCCTGGTGGACCGAGGCATTGGTGAAGTGGGCTTTCTGCAAGTGCCTGTTAGAGTGAGCCCACTCCCCGTTCCATAGGCAGCCAAGGCCGCTGGTGGTACAGTCCAGCGCAAACGTGAGACCCTTGTGGCCATTGTTATGGTAGAGGGGGAGGATAGCTGCGACTGTGTCTTGCATGCAGCCAACAGTGAGCTTAAACCTGGCATTGGCACGGACCCTGGCAGCTCGCCGCGGGGATGACGTCGAGACGTGTCACGTGTTAATGACCCACCATGTCTGCATGCTTGCCGTTTTGGGAATCTATGGCAATAGGACATGCCTTGAGTATCCAGTGAGATCCAGGCTTACGCTGTGAGTAATGGCTCAAAACAATACCTATATTGTTCTCTCAAGGAACATAATCACCCTGATTTAGCAATGATGGTTCCTCTTTTGGGCTAAGTATACCCTTCTCAAGCTGGGAAACCATGGATGCGGACCATGAGTCCGCGGATCTACCTACTGAGATAAAATTGAATTTACATTAGTACTAGTAGTCGTGAGTTGTGATCAATTACCTGGATTTTTTTTAAAAAACAAAAAAGTTCTTCTTTGCCTTACTTTCTTCTTGACATCTACCTACAAAACCTCTACAGTCTACTCATTTTCTCCTCACAACTACAATACCCACTCCTTCAGCAAAATGTCTGAATATACCTCAATCTCCTGTCTGAGCCCTATATACAAGAATCGGCCAAGTCTATGCTAGCCAAGCTTCATGCCCAGCACTATTTATACAAACCTCAAGATCAGCAGCCTGGCCAGCTTAAGCGAACAGCACGAAGAAAGGTTCTCCCAAAATTCTTCGAACGCCTAGCCTCACAGCCCATGAAACTTGACAGAATATTCTGCAAGTACATAAAAAGGGGACGGGATGAAATAAGCTTTCAGGATGAGCTTGTGGCAGAATATCGGCCCCGGCATCCTACAAAAGATCAACTTTGGTGCCCTATACTTGGCAAATGGGTGAGCGATGGAGGGCTCGAGGGTGTGCATATATTTGACTCAATGCATGGGGAAGACACCTTGAACACTATCTTTGGTAACTCCCACTGGTGCTTTGATCTACACTCCGCTCGAAATGACCTTCTTATGCACCATCGAATTGCAGAAGCATTTGACTCGGGCAAGTTTGTCATTGTTCCTGATAATACACAGCAATCAAGGAGTTGTACAGACATTGGACAGATATGTGCGAAACCCCAGGAATACAAGCTACAGATCATCGATCCGACATGGAATCAGCTGGATGAGAGAATTCAGCTCGACATCGATATCACCTGGCGAGACTTGGATGGAAAGCGACTGAGATTCATCTCGGGGTATCGTCCCAAAATTCAATACGTCTATTTCCACTACTGTCTCCAACTTCTGCGTCGGGTTTGGCAATATAAGGGTCTATCCACCATTGTACTGGATGAAGAGCTTGATAAGAACTTATGGAAACTCCCGGGTTCGTTTCTTCCAAAGAACATGCTTCTGACATTCGTGAAGGAACTTGGGCCTGGTTACGAAAATCTTTTGCAAGGCTCCAATAAGAGAATCGGTCATTCTGAGGATCCATTCATGCTGCTCAATGTCTGTGCATGGCAGATATTTGGCTGGCAATGCAGGTCGCTTTCAAGCGATAGTGACGAAGGTATATCCTTGGAAAATATGTGAAAGGGCCGTTTCAATCAACTTCAAGATCGCATTCACATTTTCTGCCCCTCTCGCTCATGAGTCATAATTTAATAGAACTTTGCTAGGCACTCTGATTCATGCCATTCTGTATACTTCACCGGAACATAGACGGGCCGCTACCTAATCGGGGATGGTTCCTCGAAGGAACACCCCCGGCGATAAGCTCCGCCCGGCCATCCCATCCCTCGTGGACCCCACACCCCGAGACCCAGACATGACGCCTGGCGACACGGTCTTCTCGGTTCGTCGTCTGTGATCGACACCATGGTGGCCCCCAGGAACACAGCTTATGCTGAGGAGAGCGCGGAGGTGGAGGTGCTCTATGCCAACCTCGAAAAGCTCAACCGTCTCACCAAGAAGATCCAAGGCTCCCTTGTGCGCTTGGAAACAAGTGGCAAGGTGGTCAAGGAGGCCATTGGTCCCATCTACAGCAACACTCAGTCTCTCCAAATCACAAATAGCAACATCGACAAGGTCAACGATGCCATCGACCGCCTCCGACAGCCCCTCGACGCTAAGAGCCGCGAGGAAGGCATCATCCGCGCAGGGTAAGTCGAGCTTCAAAGGAGCATTTCAACAGGGCATATCCTTACTGATCCGTTCCCTATATAGGCCGCAAAGCTCCGGTCTCTCTCAATACCTCTCGGCGATGAAACGTGTTGAAAAAGCGCTGGTCGACCTCAACTCAACGAACCTTCGATCCAACCAGAACGCGATTACAGACTTCAACTCGCTACTAGGCACCGGCAGCAACAAGCTTCAAGATATGCTTCGATCCGAGTTACAGCAACACATCACACCGATCGAGCCGCTACATTATCTTACCAAAGGTGCGTGGCGAACTGACCATAAGGAGCATACAATCCAAAACGAGCTAACAACATGGACTCCGTAGAGCTCCCTTTCCCATCCATCCCCGAGGAAACCATATCACAACTCGCTCCATTATGCGCGGTAATTGGGTCTGCATCCGTCCACGGATCACAGCGCAATAAAGGGGAGAACCCTGCTCTGAGAATTTATGCCGATGTGCGCGGGCCGTATATCACCTCAGGCCTACAGAACCTCGCGATCGCATCCGTCAACACTGTGAAACGAAAGCCTACCGACGGCCCATATAAACAAGGCACAAACGGTATCGGAATTTACTCGAATGCGTTGGAAGCCTTTATCATCACTGAGCATGGCATCGTTACGCAAGTCTTCACCGGGGACCAGCAAGGATTGGCATTGCAGGCTACGTTCATGTCGCCGATGGCAGAGTACTCGAAAACTTTGCGCGAACTGAATCAATATATTAGAATGAACTTGATGACGGACTGCTTCCTGGCATTCGAGATCATTGAGATCGTGACGGCAATGTCTTATCGCATTGATTCCAAGGCGGCGGAGTTGAAGAGCCTCCTCATCGAAGCATTGCGACCCGTTCGCGAAACCGCCAAGTCCTCGCTGTCGGAGCTTATCGAGGAGACAAAACGCAAGGCTGCTAATTCTCCACTTCCCCCAGACGGTGGGCCTGTGCCCTTGGTGGAGGAGGTGATGAGCTCTCTTATCACCTTGACCGGCTATTCGGGCCCCTTGGCTTCTATCTTGACATCTCTGGGTGATGGAAACTGGCGCTCCAAGTCGAGCACCGCAGGTTCGGCCCCATTGGACGTGGGTCCGGACAGCGGTACTCTATTCTCTCATTTTATTCTCGATATGATTGAAGCTCTCATGACGGCACTGACTGATCGTGGCTCTCAATTCCATCGCTCAAAAGCTACACTTGGTGTATTCTTATCCAATGTTTTCTGCGTTGTCGACCGGTCTATTCGGAAGAACCCGGAACTAGCGCGATATCTCGGTGCCCCCGACAGCATCTCCCGAATCGATAACTTCCGGAAACGTGCGACCTCGACGTATCTCGATGCATGGAGAGAAGTGTCCCAGACCTTGCTCGATGTCCAATATACCTCTCGGTCCGGGGCGCGGCCAAACTCTGGAGGCGCAGTGGACTCCAGTGCCATTGTCAAGAATCTTTCCTCAAAAGACCGGGACGCCATCAAGGAAAAGTTCAAGGCATTCAATGCAAGCTTCGACAATATGGTCGCTCAACACAAATCCCTTCACATGGAACGCGAGGTTCGATCAGTTCTGGGCCGGGAGCTGCAAGCTGTTCTCGAACCACTCTACTCTCGGTTCTACGATCGCTATGTGGAGATCGACAAGGGCCGTGGCAAATACATCAAATACGACAAATCCAACCTGTCGGTACAGCTGGCGCAGCTCTGCTGAGCTCTGCTGGGCAACAGGTTGCAGCATTATGTGCATAGGGTTCTTACATAGCAAATGCCTAATATCATTCAATTCAATTAGTATCTTCCATTCCACTAAAGCGTGGCACCACTAGAAGTATAACATGGGACACGTGACTCTGTCGATCCCGATAACGTGATAAGCCCCGCTAAAATCGGCCGCGCAACAAAATTTACCAGATCACACACTGCCTTGTTAACGCCCTTTTGGTCTGTTCCTGTCGGTCAATTCGTTCGAGTGTTCTCGAAAATCATCGCCAGAATGTCTGCCAGCAACGATGTCTACCAAACCCCCCTCAACTCGCGCTACTCGAGTAAGCTATCACCCTCCCGTCCCGCCAATGAGGGGCAAAATCTGGGGGAGTTTCCAGACGAACGAACCATTGCTAACTGATATTAACTGATCAGGCGATGAGATGAAATATCTCTTCTCGCCTCGGATGCGCTTTTCGACCTGGCGCAACCTGTGGATCTGGCTCGCCGAGTCCCAGAAAGGTACGAACATGGAATTGGATATAGATGGGTGATCCGACATCGGAATCCCATGGGAATTGCAATGGCAAAAGAAAACATTCAATTGACTGGGTCATTGCTTCTAGAGCTTGGACTTCCTATCACCGATGAGGCCATTCAGCAGATGAAGTCTCATGCCACCATCCAGGACGACGAGTTCAAGGTCGCCGCCGAGGAGGAGAAGCGCCGCCGTCACGATGTCATGGCCCACGTCCACGCCTTCGGCCTCGTTGCCCCTGCCGCCGCCGGTATCATCCACTGGGGTGCCACCTCCTGCTACTGTACCGATAATGCCGACCTGATCCTGCTCCGTGATGGTCTCGATATCCTCATCCCCAAGCTGGCCGTTGTCGTCGACAAGCTTTCCCAGTTCGCCCAGGAGTACAAGGACCTTCCCTGCCTGGGTTTCACCCACGGCCAGCCCGCCCAGCTCGTCACCGTCGGTAAGCGTGCTTGTCTGTGGATTCAGGATCTGCTGATGGATCTGCGCAACCTTGAGCGCGCCCGTGATGACCTGCGCTTCCGTGGTGTCAAGGGTACCACCGGTACTCAGGCCTCTTTCCTCCAGATCTTCGAAGGAGATCACTCCAAGGTTGAGAAGCTCGATGAGCTCGTTACCGAGAAGGCTGGCTTCAGCTCTGCTTTCATTATTTCCAGTCAAACCTACTCCCGTAAGATCGATGTTGATGTCGGCAACGCCCTCGGCTCCTTCGGTGCCACCTGCGAGCGTATCGGTATCGATATCCGTCACCTGGCCATGCTGAAGGAAGTTGAGGAGCCCTTTGAGAAGGACCAGATTGGCAGCAGTGCCATGGTGAGTTCATAATGATCCGATTGGTCGCATGGACAGCCACTAATATGATCAACAGGCTTACAAGCGTAATCCCATGCGCTCCGAGCGTCTGTGCTCTCTCGGACGCCACCTTCAGAACCTCCCCAAGGACGCTCTGGACACCTACTCGGCTCAGTGGTTTGAGCGCTCGCTGGTAAGTTTGTCTTTTAGTATACGAGTTAAACCTTTTATTCTTCGGTTATTAACTTTTTGCTCCAGGACGACAGCGCCATTCGCCGTATCAGTATTCCTGAGCTCTACCTGTCTGCTGACGCCTGTCTCATCCTTCTAAGTATGTCCTCTTTTTTTTGCCAGTGGGTTGTCTTTTTTTGGGAATTTTACTTTTGCTAACACTGTCTCCCAGACAACGTCACCTCCGGCTTCGTCGTCTACCCCGAGGTCATCAAGCGCCGTGTCAATGACGAGCTTCCTTTCATGGCCACGTAAGCTTTTTGCCATCCTCTTTATACTTTGATGCAGCACAAGCTCACACTTTCATCCAGCGAGAACATCATCATGGCCTGCGTGAAGAAGGGTCTGTCCCGTCAAGACGCCCACGAGGAGATCCGTAAGTTATCAAATTTCCGCAACGAAGTCCTTCTCATTTATTTACTGCCGAACCCCGTCTAACACTATCTCTTCTCTAGGCGTTCTCTCCCACCAAGCCGCCGACAACGTCAAGAAGCAGGGCAAGGACAACGACCTTCTCGACCGTATCCGCCGCACCGCATTCTTCAACCCCATCATCCCCGAGCTGGACGCCCTCCTCGACGCCCGCACCTTCGTCGGCCGTGCCCCCGAGCAAGTCCAGAAGTTCACCACGACCGAAGTTGCCGCCGCTCTCAAGCCTTATGCCGCACAAGTCGCCAAGGCCGAGACCTCCGCTCTGCACGTCTAAATTGCTCCGACTAAAGGCATGAAGACAGTATTACCCACTCGCAAAATGATTTATTGGCAGTAGGGTTTACATTGAAGAAAAAAGTTTACACATGTGTCTGAGTCTGGAAGAAATGTGATATAGAGGTCAGGAGTTGTTTATATTGACCGGTTTCTACGTGCTATGAAATGAAAATGTATACCTTTGGGTCTGGGTCTTCAACGTATGAAGGGATACTAAGTACTAATAAGTCGATCGGTCGCGAGTAGAGTTCAAGGCCTTGATTATATTCAAGTTATACCAGTAATTACATATGAGTCGTCGCCGGAACGATAATCGAACAGTACTATGATCACACGACAACTGCCCGGATAAAGAGAAGATTTGACCACTTCAGGTTGGATTTTGGGGGTCGAGGCGAAGGCGGGGAAAGTCGGTGGACTGGACAATATAAAGTAGAGCGATCGAGATTGGTAGATTAGTCTGGTGAGGATAGAGTGAATCCAATCCAATCCAATCCAATCGATTGTTGATCTGACGATGATTCTAATAACAACTCAGGAAACCATATGAATGCATGAGAGATAGAGAAAAGGAGAGAGAAGAAAAAAAGAAATGATGATATAGATAAGAGAAATGAGAGACCTTGGAAACGCTAGCATGATGTATGCAGGAAAACAAGGAAACGTATGCATAGGAGCCGTAAGACGCTAGATGCAATGAAACGCCATGGCAAAAAGAAACAAGGTCATGCATGCCCAGGTGCAAAGAAAAGAGGCAAAAAGAAAGGCCATGAAATATTCACAATTGAAAGAGGACTATTGAAAGAGGACTTTTTTCAACGGCGAAACATACCAATAAGAAAAAAGAATAGGTCTAATGTCTCGCTCACATTTTGCCAGTTAGGAGGGGTGGATGGATGGTGGGGGGGATCAATGGGGGGGTTTGTTGGGTTAGAAAGCAATGAAAAAGATGCATGCATATATATGCCACTGGGAAAACAGCAGTTAAGCTGGACGGGACTGAGCTGAACCGAACGACTGATGGAAATCGCGAGAGGCACGGCGATAATCAAAATGAAGTTGATTTCATTTGCGTCTTTGCGTACAGGGAAGCGTCGGAGGCAAATTGGATGAGTGGGTGGATGATATAGCCGAGCACGACAGGCACGAGGCAAGGCGAGAGCATGTTGCCGCGCGGGAATGTAAATGATATGCCCGTTGGAAGAAAAGCGTGTAACATGACATGCCCGATTTCACCAAGGACCCGACGGCAGCACTGGTCAGAATTCCCCGAGCCAATTGCATCGCGGTCGCGATGTGGAATCAACGGGGTAAAGCAATGCCACGATGGATGGCAAATAAATAGTGGTTGAGTCGGCCACTTAGGCCAAACCAGATCATGTCATGCCACGCCGATTTCAGCAGAGATTCCAACATCGCCTCCCTTTCCCCACACACTTCGGTGAGTGAGTGTGTACGTGTGCATGTCCGAGCCCGACAAAGGGGGGGCCATGTCATGCGGATATACAACTCCCCTCCCCGATCCGAGCGGGTTCCATCAAAATGTAAGAAGAAAAAGATTTATTCGGCAGGGATGGGGGGGTATAGAGTCGGATGGATTGAATGGGAGGTAGAATAGATCCCGAATCAACCAGAGAATGTAGAGAACACCCAAAACCCACAACGAGGCCATGAGTTTGTAGGTCGAGGAGCGCCAGGTGACGCGCCGGATCAAGCGTCGGCCATTGGGACCTTCGATGGGTCCGCGACGCGGGGTCGAGGGGGAGGTCGAGGTACTGCCGTTGGAGAATGGGTAGGCCGGTGCTTCGTTCATCGGCTCGCTATGGGAGGTTCTGCGACGAGCCATGATCGACCGTTTGGAACGGAGGAGAGAAAAAGGAGGTGAGGTGTGAGAAAGAAAAAGAGAAGAACAAATTGGTTGAAGTTGGGTGGACAACAGGCTGATTTGTTATTTTCGTTATTTTTTAAAAAATATTTTTTTTATTTGCTCACAAGCGAACCCAGAAAATTGAACCACGGTGCTGGGTAATTAAAGCGGTGAAAAAGGGTGTGTATGTTTTTTTTTTGTATTTTTGGAGGCGAAGGGGGGGGAAGTGAAAGCCACGAGAATAGCGAGCCGAGTAGATGAGGATGGCTACTGGAAATAAATACACGAGACCCTATCACCTGGGCCAGCTGGGAGTGAACGCACAAATCGAACAAAGAGAGAACACGAAGCGAGAGGAGAGACAGGAAAAGAGAGGAGAAAGAGACCCGCCCAAGAGCCAGCAGCACCACCTTGAGGAAGCAAGAGATCCAAAGAGGAAATCATGACTCCACGGGGGCAGTCCTTGGGGGCCATTCGATGCCCTCAGATGGGAGGGGAAGACCGAATGGAGGAGTGGATATACTCCCGGGGGACCAAGGAAGGGGATTAGGGTTCACGTTTGACATATCCCATATACTCGGAGTGGTTAGCAGAGCATCACCATCCTCCAAGCCCTATTGCAGAACACAGAACAGAGGAACGGAACCGAGCGTGGGACAAAAGTACGAAAAGTACAATGACGACCGAGTGGAGTCCAATCTCGGGCGGAGAGGAATCCGGGCGATGTAGTTGGGAGTAGCAGTAGCAGTAGCAGTAGCAGTACGAAGTATTGCTGAGTGCTGACTTATAGCACTGCTCTAGTAGTTAGTGACTGGTACCTCGTCAACTTGAAGTACCGTGACTTGTATACAGTACAGCACAGTGATACTACTCTATAGAGATCTATACTATAGTAAATAGAGCATACTATCCATACTATCTATCCCATCTCTCTACACCATCTCTATCTGTCCTCCCCCGGAATTACTCATTCCCCTCGGGCTAGACAATTTACCCCCGGAGTCGGCACTTCTGGCGGGCGATTTCGCTGTTCAAGCTATCTCCTTCTTCCTTCCTTCTTTTTCGAAACATCTTTTTTTCTATTTTCTCCATTTCCACCTCTTTTACCTCCCATTGACTCAATTCCCCCCTCCATCATTTCAACGAATGGTCCGAGCCGCCCTTTTACAGCTGGGGCGATTCCTCCGACGCCGGAACGTGACACCGGGAGGGCTTGACCTCGGCAATGCGAATCTCCCCGAGCGTCCGCCTTCGTCTCCGTCACCACCATCACTGTCACACGCGACACTCCCTCATTCCTCCACCTCCGCCATCCACGACATCGACGACGGTTTTTATCGCCCTTTCTCTTACAAGGCCTGGTGGCCCGAATTCGACACCATGTGGAAGCCGTCAGAGCGCCTGATGGAAACCATCAGGCACTATGCCAGCTTCCCCGCAACCGGAGTCTCGTTGAGGCAGATGGTCCAGTTTGGTGACCGTCCCTCCACTGGTGAGTCCTGAGTCCCCTAGATGCCCTCATCTTCTCACCCAGGCCAACCGGCCAACTTGGTCGTGTCTCAATTTCTGACTCTGCCAGGCACTCTCTTCCGCGCATCCCAATTCCTCTCCGAGGAGCTTCCTATTCGTCTCGCCCACCGAGTCCAGGACTTGGGCGAACTGCCCGATGGTCTCAGCGAGATGCCATCTATTAAAAAGGTTCAGGACTGGTATGCGCAATCTTTCGAGGTAAGAATTACCCCCTATCCTACTGCGCGCGTGTGACCTTTTTTTTTTCTTTTTCTTTTTCCCTCCCTCTATCTTTCCTCTTCACCGGTGACTCACCCCGGACACTTCAGGAAATCATCAACCTACCTCGCCCTACCCTGACTCAGGAAGTCAAGGCCCGTCTACTGCGACCAGGTCGCATGAACGGCAGTACCTCCAAAATTATCTGCGAGGCGACGCAAAATCCCAGCATCAAGGAGGGTCAGTACCGCTCCTTACCGACCACCAACGGAAACGGACACGGCGTCGGCAAAGCCGCCGCCGCCGGGCGCCGATACTTCTTCCCCGCAGACGACCACGGAGACTGGCCACCAGAACTCAACGATTACAACCAGCGATTCGCCAAAACTCTACAGCAGATCAAGCGCCGCCACGATGGTGTCGTTACCACCGTTGCCCAGGGTATCCTGGAGTGGAAACGGGTGCGGCAACGCATGCAAATCGACTCCACCATCCAATCCTTTCTCGATCGCTTCTACATGTCTCGTATCGGTATTCGAATGTTAATCGGTCAGCACATCGCACTCACGGAACAAACGCATATCAAGCACGCCAATTATGTCGGAATCATCTGCACCAAGACCAATGTTAAGGACATTGCGCTTGAGGCGATCGACAATGCTCGCTTCGTTTGTGAGGATTACTACGGTCTGTTCGAAGCGCCCAAGGTGCAGCTGGTCTGCAAGGACGATCTGAATTTCATGTACGTGCCCGGTCACCTGTCGCACATGCTCTTCGAGACCCTGAAGAACTCGCTGCGCGCGGTGGTCGAGCAGCACGGCGCCGACCGAGAGCAATTCCCGTCACCAAGGTGATTGTCGCCGAAGGCAAGGAAGACATCACAATCAAGATTTCGGACGAGGGAGGCGGTATCCCACGATCAAGCATTCCCTTGGTGTGGACCTACATGTACACCACCGTGGAACAAACCCCCAGCCTCGACCCGGACTTTGACAAGAGTGATTTCAAGGCCCCTATGGCGGGCTTTGGCTACGGATTGCCGATCAGTCGATTATACGCCCGGTACTTTGGAGGTGATCTCAAGCTGATCAGTATGGAAGGGTAAGTGCCAATTACTCCGGCGACGCACAGCTTGAGTTGACTTTAGCTAACCAAAACTCCAGGTACGGAACCGATGTCTACCTCCATCTGAACCGTCTCTCTTCAAGCTCGGAGCCCCTGCAATGACAATTACCTGTCATGAGAGACGGCCGGACCCGGTTCACCACTTCGCACCGCCTGCACCCCATTTACATCGAACCGGTACCCAAATTTTCGTCTCGAGGACTGACACCCATGAATGCTCAGGCGCATCGCAAGCGCCTACAGAGTCGGGAGGTTTCGGAGCGAAAACAGGTCGGAGATGCGGAGAGTCTTTTCCACGCGAAGGAGCGTCGCCGCGAGGAAGCGGAGGAAGAGCTATGAGCTCGTCCGCTTGACCGCTCCTCGTCGGATGTATCCGCGATGACTATGACTACATATCCCATCCCGCCTGGTTTCAACTAGTACTTAGCATGACGAGGGAGAAGCACCCAACCCCAGCCCCAACCCCACACCACACAGCAGCTCCGAAATCTGTCGATCTTCGGCCTGTCTGTAAATTCGAGATACCCATTCCTCCTATCACCTCTATCCTCGCCTCACCTTACCTACCTTCTCCCTCCTTCCGACGCCCGCTTCTTCCCTCTCTCATGCTGGATATGATATCATTGGGTTGGACTGGTTCTTTGTACAGTACTTTATTACTTTAGCGAACATATACGGTATAGTTGCGAAACGCAGCCATTAACAATTGATCCAAAGTAGACGTGATTAGTAAATAACACTCCATAACTTCAAACACACCAACACAAACCAACCCTATACCGAACAATAATCAGTCATCCCACTAAACCTCTAATCCAACCCCCTCGACGCAGCCCTAGAACCACCCCTAGAAACAACCCTCGAACTAGCCCCAGACCCAGAAGCCGACCGTGAAACAGACCGACTCCCAGCAGCAACAAGACTCTTCCTCTTCCTCCCAGACCCCCCAGAGCCCCCAACAACCTGTCTCGCCCTCCCCTCCGGCCACCAAGAATCCTCTTCATGACTAACAACCTCCTTCCAAGCCCCCGGTACCAAAAACGCAGTCCCACTCCCCAACCCAGTCGTAACCTGCTTCACACCACGCCGACCCGGCGCCGTAACCGCAGGAACAAGCTCAGTCTGCATTTCCGGGACCGTGAAGCGCGCGCCGTAGAGATCTTCTTCCAAACGCGGATTTGTCGGGGCTAGCATCTTTGCTTGGAAACGTCGTCTTGTTTGGGGGATTGTCTGGTAGATAGCGGTTAGCTTGGTTTTTTTTTGTTCGTTATAGATCAAATTGAATGTGCAAATGTGTAAACCATACCCGTCTAGAATTGAGCGCATGCGTCATTGTAAGTTCCCAATCATCCAACACGCAAAGCGCAGCATGTTCCTCCTCCCGAGTCCGCGTGCGAGCCCGATGGCGCGCAATATCGCTGGCGATGGCGGCAGGCAAACCCGGATTCATCTGGACAGGACGGCTATCTGGATGCGGAGCAGTTGTGAGAAAGTCTCTTCCTATAATGAATTGATCAGTTTAGTTCCGGTTATATTTGTGAATAATCCATGCGAGGGAGTGGAGATCAAACGCACCATCGCCCATGCCCTCGGCGCCGTAGTCGATGAAGTCTATCTCGCCGCCTGCGAGTTGGAGGAAGGAGCCTTGGTCGGAGTCGTCCTCTTCTTCTTCCGCTGGGGAATCGAGTTGCATGCTGTCTTCTTCTTCTAGGGGGATGCCGATGCCGCCGTCCTCGGAGTCGGGTTCGGAGTCTGTTTCGTCGATTTGGATTGCGTGGGATCGGTTTGTGCCGGTTGGGGGTGCCATATTGGGGGATGGGGCAGAAGTATTGATTAGGGGTTTTTAGTTGGTCTGCGCCTTTTGATTGTCAAGAGCTGGATAGAACAGCGATATGGTGTTCGGCTTGTGCTTGTGCTTTTGACGTGGGATGGTTGGATCGCTACCCCGCCAGGAACTTGAAAGTAGGGATGGCAGGGTGATGGTTTGTTGCAGATTATATCTCGGCGATATTTATTTTTCCAGTTATTTTCTGCTGGAGATTCGTTGTTCGCCGCTGGGAGGAAAATCTCCAGACTACTATGGTTGTTATTGATGCAATAAATGGACCAGCCAGTCTTGCTTAAGGTATCTGATTCCAAGTCAGTTCACATGATCGGATATGTCAGGGAGTGCTAGGACTGTTTATCTCACTACTTCAATGATGAGCCTGAATTTAATCTCAGGGTTGTCGGTTACTTGTAGTTTTATGCGAGTTGAAGAGATCTTGTCTCGGATACATTTAGAGCTGGGAAGTGATGTCGCGCTGGCGGGGATGCTGAGTAATCTGCCAATCACCGTGAGCACTGAATCTATACGGAGTGCCCTAGGATACTTGATTGGGGAAAAAGATATATCTATGCGCATATCGATTTTTATATTAATTAAATAAGATAAAGGTTTACTACCTAGTTATTTTTATTGCGCTTGAGTAGTGTAGGTGGCAGTACTCCCGGTCTGGCCGAAACATGAACTTGAAAGTGACTACCTAGGTATACTAGTATATATATTCAACTTCCTAGGTTCAAGTTGTTATCTAGAACTTCGAATATGCACTGGCGCCCGAGCGAGTTTCGAAGTTGAACTAGGAGCTTGTTCACTACTGACTAGTAATAGGTACAATATCCATACACGTCCTATCTAGTAGATAGGACGCCTAGACATTCTAGGAGTATTGTTTCCAACTTGAAGATTCACATCCATGAACAATAAAGCGTTGTATTATTCCATACGATTTCAGCGGCCATATTCAAGTTGAAACCTCGATTCTATAGAAAATAGAGAACAGAGCGAAGCAAAAGAAGATTGAAAAAATAGGAGTTAAAATATAATATCAGGTATAGAATGGATAATGCCTAACCCCCAACGCCAAAACACAATGCCGCTAAACGACGCAGGAACAAAATACACCCTAACTTGGACATTCGTGCATGTAGCTGTTCTTGGGCCAGTGGTACCCAGCAGCCTCCCTGTAAAAAGAGTAAGTAAAGTCTCGCGGGACGAGTGGATTAGAATGGGAAAGTAGAAAACATACCAAGTAGTCAGGTTCGCATCTTTATACGCCTTCTCGTGTTGACGAATATATTCTGTAGTCTCATAGCCTGGTGGGTCGCAGGTAATACTCTCCTCATCCGGATCCTGGTAGATTCGGATATAATCAACACGCAGGTACGCGGGCATATAGTGCTTGATGGAGTGATTCTGCGGCGCAAAGTTGTCCGCCATACCCAAGTTGAAAACCACGGACATGGGCTCCAGGGGGATCATTCGTTGACCGATGTTTCCGTTCGGTCCAATGGCCCGACCGTCCAAGGTCCAGGTTTTGTCTTCACCGATAAACCAAGTGACATTGCCGACCGCACCGGGAGAGTATTCGAAGGCAAAGTTTTGGTATTCGGTGCCGTTATACCAGCGAGAGTTGAGATTTGAAAGGCCAGACATTGCCTGCTGGTACACACCACCACGGTAGGCGTTGATCTGAGTGATACGAGGGTCATAGACGGCGGCGTAGTCTATTACGTGAAAAGATGTTAGAAAATATTGGATCAGAAGAGGACGGTGGAGTATATCTTACCATAATCTGGCATGTACCAGATGTCAAAGGGCGCTGTCTGGAGACTTTGAGAGGCACTACCGATGAACGGTCCATCGCCATTGAGTGCTGCTGTGCTTCCTTCGATGACGTCGATTTCAGGCGCACTACGCGCTTTTCCGGGAGAAGGGTGGTCGGAGTTCGGACAGGCGCAGCCTGGAAGACGCATTCCGGGCAAAAAGTTGATGCCATCTGGTGAGCTTTGGTTTGGGGTGATTCCTGCATCGCAGCCATCGTGATAACTGTAGGGCCACAGGCCATCTGTGGTAGATGCGTAACCAGGACGCGCCAGGTTACCCATAGCCCAGAAGCCGGGCCAGAAACCTTGGATGTGACCATCTCCGGGGAGTGAGAGACTGGCTTCGAGACGACCACCCTTGAAGCAGAGTTTGTTCCAGCTTTGAAGCATTCCGGAGCGATATGCCACGTCGTGGTTCTTGAAGTTGTCGAAGCGGATTTCGAGAGTACCTTCGTTTGTTGTCACGGCATCGGGGTCATACCACTATAGCGGGAGTTAGAGACGAGTACGCTGGTTTTATTTGGAAGTTTCTCACCTCTTTATCCATGGTCACACCATACCACAAGTCGACGGCTTGAAAAAAGGGATCATCTTCATCGAAAAAAGTACGGCCAGGCATATTGAACTCATCGGAAAACTGTTGATGTGAGTAGATTATTCATCCGTTTGGAATCGTAGATACTAACCACGAGCTTCCAATCCTTGCCATCCGAATTCTTCTTCCACATCGCGTCCTCAGGGGTATCAGGGTCGATCAAACCCCTTCGTATATTATCCAAAAGTGCACGCGGTCCAACGTCAAGACACGTATTATCTCCTGCGGGACAGAGAGGTGTCGGTTTTAGAACGCCTTCAACCCAGGTACTGTTTCGAAGTTAGCCAGAATATCTAGCGTTGTTATACTTTCCCAACTCACATGATAGGGTATCCAATGAAGAGAACCAGAATACCCAGTGTCAACAAAACCAATCCACCGACATTCAAGACACCTCGTCGATTGCATATATCACATTCGCCCTCTTTATCGGCAGGATCCGGGTTGTGTAGGTAGTCGTCTTTCTCCACGTCTTCAGGGAAAAGAAGGAGCCCGTCCGTCGGCATAATGTTAAACTTCTCTGACACGGTTTGAGTGTTCACATCATACTCATCACTCCCAGAGCGAGTCGACGGTGCCCGCGAATCCTCAAACGGATCCATATGGTGACGACTCTCGCGGCTCATCGAGCTGATACTCGACCGGGCTTGAGACCAGCGGTCAGGCGATCCAGATCGATCCCCATCGTCACGGGGAGTAGGTCGTAGTCGGGGAGGTAACAAGAATTCCGAAGATTCTGGTGCCTGCGATATCCCATAGGGTGACATCCCTTGGACACCGAGTGAAACAGGTACCATATCAGGACCAGGTGTCAAGGGTCGAGGAGCAGCCCGCGAATTGGACCGGGATTCCAAGCGCGAGCCTGCTCGCGATAATTGTATCGAGTCGGCTCGAGACTGTGACCGAGATACTTGCGATTCGGCTCGCGATTGGGATCGCGATACATACGAGTCAGCTCGCGAGTCAGGCCGCGTCTCTAGTGGGACATAGCCCTCGTTGGTCTCAATGAATGGGTCCTGGCGGCCCGAATTCAAGCGGATGTGAGGCATTTCGAGTCTCGAGGGGATGGAGCCCTGGTTCGACATCTGGTTAAGACAACTCTCTCAAAAAAATTTGTAGCGAAGAGACCGTTCCAGCCGTCAGTCCTCCGTCTCAACGCTCAGCTCTTTCCCGGTCAATCCACGTCGAGGGATCTCAGCATGCGTATGGGTCGGAACTGGCGATGTTCTTGTCGTTGGCAAAGGACCTTCCCTTTTGTTCTCCAATTCTTCCTGTTGAGATTCTCCAATTCCAGCCGACAGATGCACAGTCGTCAAGTGCTATAGATCTGAATGAGTGGACAGGACCACTTGGACAGCATCCAACGTCCCAAGCGAAGTAATTGAACAGGCGTAGAGGCACAGGTGAAAGAGAAAGAAACACGAGACCCGTGAAAGAAAAGAAGAGCCTAGATTGGTTCGAGGGATTGTTGTTTGGCTACACGAGGGGAGCGGAATGATAGAGGGTCCAAGGGGGCAACGGTGGTATGTGTATACCTTTCTCGCCCACTAGAAGTAGAAGCCGCCAAAGAGGTAGAAGATCATAATAGAATACTGCAGTGTACTCAGACGCGAGATCAAATAGCTATATTCGTTTTGCTCTTGCGTTGCTATAAACTTAATCACCAAGAAGTCAGACGTTGACGACAGAGCTTGCGCCTCTCCCGGTGCTGTCGCAGGGGACACTGAGGGGCGACTGGAGGGTGAGACGCATTCCCGTTGCCCCCCAGGGCAGCGAGGAATGGACCGGCATGAATGCTAGCCAGGAATCTGGGGATCAACATCAAGCTTGGTACATCGGGGTTGAAGCCAATGGTAATAGTTATTTGGCTTGTCTTCTCGTGCTCTTGTTCTGTGTGGTAGTTGGTAAGAGTAAGTTGCAGCAGATGCACCACCAACCCTTGGCTGGCCGAGGGTACCCCTTTACCGATACACCAAACTGAACACGTACTGGTGCTAGTAGTCTCTTTCTCAATTAATTTGATTATTGTGCTCAAACAGAGCAATTCTCTTATGCGAGATGTCCTGTACTAATCCAACATCACGGTCATTCCCAAACACGCGTCTGGTCCTTGAGCCACCCTAAAACCGGAATGCTACGCAGTTCAAAAGCAAGAAACTGTCAAAATGGCCCTGGTGGCCAACTAAGAGTTTTCCTCCGATTATCCATTCTCAATTCCACCCCGAGCATACAATTAATAGAATCTGCCACGCGGGATGCGGCCCACGGGATACCCTACACCTGATCAAGGTATGGTCATCCCATACCTTCGGCTTTCCTAATCAGATCACCACACTACACAGCCTACTTGAGATATCCATGTCGATCCAACGGAAAATAGCGCTGCATTTTATCATCGTCCTATAGCGAATAACCCTCATCCTATAGCTTTTTTCTCTCTTAACCCCATTTAGGACTCAACAGCCTTGGCCCGAAGTCCGACAACACGACCCTCAGGAACATCCAGTGCCAACACCCAATACTCAAGCTTGGTGCTGCTCAGCTCAACCCGATAGACCTTCACCTCAACGGCAGACTGGTCGGCATTCTCATCACGCTCCACCGCCGCAGAGCGCACAGCGCGCAAGGCAGATGTATATTGGTTCTTAGGGTCGAATGACGAGGGTGTCAGAGTCGAGATCGCCTCGCTGAGGTCGGTATTCGGGGAGATCAGGTCCGAGAGTTGATCTAGATTATAGACACAAGGCGATTAGCATAATCCATATTAAGGTACATGCACATGCACAGGCACAGGCACAAGGACACAACACCCCATCAAGGGACATGGCACTTCCATAGGGCGTAGATATGTAGGGTGAAGGGAGAACAAGAGGGAGAGCCGTACCGGGATTAGGCCATACGCCTTGCTTAGCACCCTTCCATAGTAGTGCAACAGGCTCGAATGGCTCGTCTGTATCGGAGATGTAGTAGCTGTCGACGTACTGGAGGGGAGTCGGGATCTGGGTCGTGGCATCGACAGTCTCGGTACGCGTGGTGTCGGTCCCTTGCTGCGAGGCGCGACCGGCGTTTAGATCTGCGTTGGCTTTGTCCAGGAAGGACATGTAGGCGTCGTCGGAGGACATGACGGAGGTTTTTGTGGAGAAGCGTGAGGTTTGAGGGTGGGAGTGGGAGTGGGATGGAGCTTGTTGTGATCGTGTTGAAGCTGTGGGGGGATTGAGAAATAGGTTGCGCACGATTCAGCACTTGCTTTCTGCTTGGCTGGGTGTTGTATGAAAGTGATTGATGGAGCGGGGTGTGTTGGTAGGTGTCGAAGGTTGTAAGTAAAGAGCGGGCGTGGCGAGCTCGTGTTCCTTGAAGTGGCTTGGTTGTCGGCGAAAGAAGTGAGATGACGCAATGTATCCTGGTTGACGGCCGCATCCTGATTGCAGCACCAATCATCACCAGCAGAAGTGGACAGGGGAGGTAGGAATAGATTGTGATATAAGAGTTGTAAGAAGAGAGATGATGTCTAACTGGATTCGAGAAGCCGCCAGCTGCCGGGAAAAATTAGAGTGTTCTCAGCTACTACTAGTATCATGTGTTCAAACTTGAATCAGTCACCCTTTACAGGACAGGAATACTACTAGTATACCACGGCAGCCAGAGGTTTTAAAAACATACTACTCATGTATACTGCTAGTAGCGGTCAAATATCAAACTTCGACTGATGTGCTACTATCAAGAGCCGAATATACATCCACAGCAAATTTACAGATAGAGATTACTTGGGAACGGTTGAAAAGGTATTGTCCGCTTTTTTTATTGAACAAGAAAATACGTTGCACTCCACCAGCCAAAAACAGAAAATCCCTTAAACGGTCTGGATAAGGTCCTTCTTGAGGGTACCCAGGAAAGCACGCTTCTCCTCGGCGGTCTGGAAAGCACCGTGACCGAACTTGGAGGAGGTATCGATCCACTTGAGGTCGACCTTCTCGGTAGCGCGGCGGCTGGTCTGGGGGTACAGAGTCTTGCGCAGGGTCATGACGCGCTTCTTGACACCGGGAACAGAGCCCTTGAGCAGGACGTAGTCGTTCTTGACCTCACCGTAGTGGACGAAACCACCAAGACTAGAGAAATGTTAGCAAGAAAGAAATGAAAGTAACCAATTCAAGTAGGACAAAACGTACGGAGTGATCTGCTTCTTGGAGATATCGAACTCGGTGGAGGCGTTGCCCTCATCGGAGCCCTTGCCGATACGGAAGACCTTGTGGTTGCAAGAGGTACGGTGGTGGTAACCGTCCTGACCGGCACGGGCAACAGTCCACTGGACGTGGTTAGGGTGCCAAGCACCAATACAGGCGACCTTACGCAGACCCTTGTGAGTCTTGCGGGGCAGCTTGGTGGTACCCCAACGGGAGGTGACACCGGAGAAACCGTGACCCTTGGTGACGGCAATGACGTCGATCATCTCGTCCTTCTCGAAGATAGAGTCGATGTCGATGGTCTTCTCGAACAGGTTGCGGGAGAAGTCGACCTTGTCGGCGATGGAGCCACCGTTGACCTGGATCTCCATAAGGTGGGCCTTCTTCTGCTTGATGGGGGTCTGGCGGATCTGGGTGTGGGCGAGGACACGGACGACAGTGCAGTACTTCTTGATGCGCTCAAGCTCGCGGGAGACAGCGGCACCGCTGTTGTCGGCGTGCTGCTTGGTGTACTTGGTGAAGGCCTTCTTCTTGGACTTGTACCAGTTCTTGTAGAAGCGGCGCTTGACCTCGTCGCTCAGGTGCTCAGCCCAGACGGTGGTGAGAGAGCGGAGACCACGGGGAGTCTCGATGTAACCGACAACACCGACGGCAACGAGAGGAGGGGTCTCGATGACGGTAGCGGCCTCGACAACCTCCTTCTTGTGCATCTTGGCACCGGGACGGTCAAGGTCACGGACGATGGTGGTCATACCGGCCTTGTAGCCCATGGAGGCAGTCAGGTGGACGGGCTTCTTGGCGTCATCCTTGGGGAAGCTGGTGAAAGGCGAAAAAGTCTTAGTATACCACTCTGCGCGCAAATTTTTCTCCAATTCGATTCAGACCAACGATGGCACCAAGGGGACTCACCTCTTAACCTTTCCGCGGTGGCGGGCAGCGCGCTTGCGGGGGAGGTAGGCCAGAGAGCCTGTTGAATGAAGTATCAGTAAAATTGCACACTTGATGTCGAATTTCGTCGCAAAAGGAAAAAGTTGATCACGAACCGTGGCGAGGCGCTTCGAACTTCCGGTGACTCCTAAATAAGAAATTCAGGTCAGCAATTGATCTTAGGAATGTGTTGAGATATTGTTGGAAGTCTTTGACTCACATCTTGACCCTGTGTTGTCGTTAGTTCGAGGTGGTGGGAGTGACGATCGAGAGATGGAGATAAATCTGGGTGCATTTTGCACCGCTGTGGGCTAAGCGAGCGTGGCTTCCCGTTTGGGACAAGCCCTGAAAATATGACTAATCCACCAAAAGGCGGAGTGGATGCTGGTCACGTGTCTGCAAAACACAACTGGTCCGAGTCCCCAGTTTTCCATCACAACTAGAACTCTATTTTTTTCTACAAGACTTCTACTAGTACTAGTATGTATACTATACGGGGACTGGTGAAGTTTGAGAATGGCTGAATTGGCTATCACAAAAAAGATGCCGAGGCATCGAAAGATTTCGAAGAAGATAGACGGAGGAAATTCATAAAGTAACAGAAAAGGGAACGAATACACAGGTCTGATCAAAACCCAGTGTCTCGGCTGCATGGAGCAGATCAACGTAACAGACACATTCATAGCCTACATCGCGCAAGTGGAAAGGGGTTTAAAAGGACATAACAGAGAAGGAGAGCGACGAGGATGTCCATAGTCAAGTGAAGGGAAATAATAAAGTAGAGATTTGATCAACCCCGGCTTTTCATGCGGAGGTTTCGGCCTTTGAAGGCGTACCTGGGCGACCGTTGCTGGTGCCGTTGGCCGCATTCTCGCCGTTAGGGCTACCCTTTGGGGCCGCGGCGGCCTTCTTCTCCTCGTCTGCATCATCATCATAGTCCTCATCAACGTCCATTTTCCGAGCTGGAGGCTCGTGAGATGCGGGCGCCTCTGGGCGAGGAGCCTCTTCCTTGACGGGGGTGTTGGTGTTGGCCGAAGGAGGACCTGAGGGGGGTCCGTTAGAGGCGGGAGCAGCGGCCTCGGTCATGGGAGGAAGGCTGGGACCACTGGAAGCATGGGGAGGCATGTTTTGAATCGAGGGCAGGGTGGGAGGGTGATGGGCTGCCTCAGATGGGTGATAGTTTTCGTTGGCACGACGGGCATCCTCGCGTCGAGCTTCCGAGGAGCTGCGCCGTTGCATCTCGCTAGGGGATGGTAAGTGTGCAGGTGGACTGGGGCGACGGCTGTTCTGATCGTCTAGACGGGCCCGGTTCTCATCGCTGGCCAGCTTCTTCACTGGTCCAGACTCACCCTCCCATTCGCGGCCACGTTTCATGGCCGAGGCGGGACGGTCTTCACCACGCTCACGAGCAGCTGCCTCAGCGGCAGCCGCAGCAGCCGCAGCAGATGCAGGAGCAGGAGCACCCGAAGCAATGCCTGTTGAATTGGGAGCCGGGGGTGCAGGGGCCGTGGGCCCATGGTGATACTGCTGGTGAGGGTAGCCCGAGCCGGGTGAAGAGGGTCGCTCTTCCCGAATAGGGCGGATCTCAGTGGGGGGAGTGAATGGGCGGTGATAAGCAGGAGGTGCCCCAGCGGCACCAGGAGCAGCAGGAGGAGGGGGGAGGAGGGCCGCCATTGGGACCCGGAGGAGGAGCAGCGGCAGCAGGGGGAGCAGGAGGTAGAGGCCCACGAGCCACTGGGGGGAAACCCACCGCTGGGTGCACGCTCATGGCCCGAGGGAGGAGCATTTGCAATTTGAGGCAGGTGTGGTGGGGGATACGCAGAGGGACCGCCCAGTTTGGGCGAGTGACCTGGGCCACGAGCAGGGTCGGGGAAAGCACGGCCGGGCTCCTGTCGAGGGCTTGCCTGAGGAATAGGGCCAGGGGCACGGATTGGGTCTCGCTGGTCAAGGCCGTTGGCGGGGGAGCAGGCCCTTGAGACGCCAGATCATTGATTCCGCGATTCCAATCGGCAATCTGTCTCGGGGGCGCAGGTGCCTGGGCTGGTGGACCGACTGGGGCAGGGGCGCCCCATTGGGGAGCGGGCGGCTGACCGACACCAGGAGCCTGGTATGCCTGGGGGTGGACGTCTTGGGGCTGAGGTGCGGGAGCGTTTGGCTGTTGGGCATTGCCACCCTGGAGTTGGCTTTGAAGCAATTGCAGGCGGGCCTTGATGTGGACATTGGCAGGGTCCAGATCAGCAGCGCGCCCGTAGGCATCCAGCGCATCGGCAATCTGGTTGTTGCATGATTCGTACAAAGTGCCCAGATCATACCAGACCTCAGAGATATATGGGTTCAGGCGGATCGCACGAGAGTAAGCATCGAGTGCGTCGCGGTACTGATTGATCTGGTAGTAGAGAACACCGATGGAGCACCAGAAAGTAGGGTTGCGACCGTCGCGATACACGGCTTGTTGGTAGGCTTCGTAGGCCTTGGGGTACTTCGCCTGCGACATGTAACAGCGACCAAGAAGGTACCAGCTCTGCGCGTCATTGTTGTCCGCGCTAACCGATTTCTCGAGGAACTCGATGGCCTTCTCTTGGCTTGAGAAGCTACCACTTTGTTGGTGGTAAAGCCATCCGAGTTGTTGCAGGACCTTGGCATGGTTCGGGTCGCGGTCGAGAACTCGGCGGTAGGCCGCTTGAGCGGAGTCGAACTAGAGAACAATGGTGTTAGAAAACTTTCAACTCAAGCATGTGACTTTGCGAGAACTTACGTCTTTCTGTTGCTCGTGAACGTGACCGATCTGGAACCAAATATCTTCCTCGGTCAGTGGGCGAGGCGGGTCATTAACAATGTACTTAAAGCACTGGACTACAAGTTAGTAATTGAATCTCTTGGGGGTGGTTAATGGAAGTCACATACCTCCAGACTCTGGCTGAACTTCTGCTGTTGCTTGTAAATTATTCCCAGGCGGAAATAAATCTCATTGGCCTTCTCGAACTCGGGAGCCATGCGCATAACTTGAGAAAATGCTTCTTCGGCGTGGTCGAGGGATCCGTAACGGTCGTAAAGAATACCAATTCCATACCAGAGCTTGGGTTCCTAAGTGGGAATTAATTTTTGCTGTTCTTGTTTTGTTGGGGTTTGGGGGCGGAAAACAAAAGCGACTCACCTTCGGGTCGCGCAGATGGTACAGAGCTTGTTGGTAAGAGGTGTAGGCCTCTTGAAGGTTATCCATCATCAAATGACAGTGTCCCAGGCTGCCCCAAGTTTCTCCGCTGGTTGGATCCAGCTTCAAGATATTCTGAAGATACTCGATGGCCTTGGGGAATTGCTCCTTAGTGCGGAGGATGCAAGAGATGGCGTTCATGGCCGGAATGGACCATTGATTGTGACGCAAAGCCTGCTCATACGCATTCATAGCGCCATCGAGATCCCCCATAAGCTCAGTCAAACTGCCTACAAGATGAGACCCATCGTCAGTATTTAATCGCGTGTTGTCACTGTGGAGGGGAAAGAAACACGGTTCGCATTCTTACCAATTGACAGCCAGACTTGCTCGTTGAGCGCAGCAATCTTTTGGGCAGTGGTGAGAGGAACCCCCTTTTGGCCTTGCGCGGGAATAGCGGGCATGTGTCCGTTGACCTGGGCGTGAGCGGCCATGTGCGCCGCGGCGTGGTGGGGAGCCACACCCGCGGTGGGTGAGGGCTGAGTATGAGACATAATTCCGAGAGAAAATTCGAATCTCGATATAATTCAACGATGTCGCAATCCAAAGTCGATGGGCCTTGCGACACGATGATGCAATGTACCGAGTCGATGGATGACCGCCGGGCGCGAATTATTGAAGCCGACGATGAGTAGAAACAAGTAGAATTTGATGATTTAGTGTTGCAGGGTGAGTGGATATGCGACACGGAATCGCCCTAATGGAAAAGGGTCGATCGGGAAAGGCGGATGGTTGGGTGTGGTGTGATGCCTCTCCCGAGGATGGAATCGGGGGCGGGAAAGGAGCGCGCGTGGAGAAAATCCGGAGAGAGCTAGCTTTCCACGGGGTCCAAAAATAGGGAAAGCGAGGGAAGAGGAATGGCAGAGAAAGGAAAGACGAGGAGGATGAGAAATCAACCGCGTCCCAAGGGGAGGGGGAAAGAGAAGGGGAAGAAGAGGTGGATAGAAGGATGAGGATGAAGCCCAAAGGAAGGAGGGAAGAGAGAGTCGAGGGGCTGGCAAGAAAGGTGTGAAATTGGCCAAGGGACGCTAGTGGTTGCGTAGCTCAGCGGCCGTCACCACCGCGCAAAAAAAGCTGACGACCTAAAGTGGGTTAGCGTGGTGGAGCCGATCTGGGGTTCGTACTTGCTGAGATGGTATACTAGCATGGTGTATATTGGGGAGTAGTATTGTATTGAAGATATATATAATTGACATCTCTTAACTGTATACACTCCAATTCAAGCACATCACCCTATCAATATCTCTCAACTTCAGAATTCCCATTCATAACACTAGTCTATCACGATCTGGTACATCCAAGGATCCACACCGTTAAGCCCCCGGTTGGGCCGAGTGGCGCCTTGGTGGGGCCTCGGGGTGGGCTCCCCCGTGGTCGCTGGTACTAAAGGTCTTAGTGCCACTGGTCTCCGTCTCCGTGCCACTCCGACTACTTTAGCCTTCTCCGTCACAGCTAACCCTAACAAAAAAAGCACAGTGGTCTGTGCGGGCCAGATCCCTGTGTGCCTTTTCCCTGTCGGGGTGGGTGCATTAGGCGCAGTAGCTGCGCTAGGTGCAGCACCACTCTGTAACCCCCCTGGTCGCCTGCTCGTTGTCTGCTCCCAGCTTCTGTCCCGGCATTGTGCAGCCCTGAACCTGCCATGTCCTCTCCCCCCCCCCCCACAATAGACCAATACCTCATCTTGCATCTGAGAGCATATATCCACACGTATAGAGCTTGTCAACTGCACACCATCTATATACCCTGTCGATATCCCCACCATTCCTTATACAAGTAGTACTCCGTATGTAGTACTTTCGTTTTATTCGGCTATACTGCTGCTGCCTCTTTCCTTTGTGGACACCTCAAAATCTACCCCCCTCTCCTCTCATTTGTCTGTATTCTCCGCGCCTGCAGGGTTCCCTGACTTGCATTCCTCCAGCCGCTAGTGCATTTCCTAAACGGTTCGCCCCCCTTCCGTCATTATTCCCGCTCCCAGTCACTTACTTCCTTAGGCCTAGTGTCTTTCCTTTGTAGGATTTCTTTTTTTCTTTTTTCTTTGGATTTTTTCTTTTTACTTTCTGGGGCTTTTTTTCTCCCCTTTTATTATTTATGCCTATTGTAACTTTGTGATTTTCTAATTCGATTATTCGGCTCTTCTTCAGCCACAGCGCCACAGATGATCTTTATACTTGACTCTGACCCAGTGGATCCCAAATGTGACAATACACACGCGCCCCCCCCTTTTTATTTCAGCAGTCCTCAGCCCGTTCAGTCCACAGCAATCCACACCTCCCCCTCCCCGAAATAAGAGGTCCCCCCGTCTCCCTCCTAACCCACCCACTACCTGATCCTTGTTTGAGTCCACCATATCCCTACCGCATCTAGCAGAACCTTCGATCGCCCCATGGCGTCATGAGGAACTGTAGTGGGTTCAGAGGCTCCACTGGAAATGGACACACATCCTTCACTCTCCAACCCCCCATTCCGTGTGTGCAGGGTTTGGCTAGCCGAGCCGCTGCTCTTGCGTAGTAGTCTATAGGTCAGTTGTGAAACACTGGCAAACGGACAGGGGCTGTCAACGCACATTCCCTCCGCCAGTGGCCTCGGGTACCCGATGATGAACCAAATCGTTGTCTGGCAGACGCAGATCTCCCCTGGGTTACACAGCCGCTGGGATGGGGGCGAAAGTCAGAATGGGTCGCGTTTGGGAGATGTGGGACTCACCGGCATTCGCTGATCCTTGTCCAAAAGTCCGTCACATTCCCATTTCCCCGGATGAGACAATCCGAGCCTTCGAACGCCCATTTATGTCCCTCCAATCGTCCATGTACCTGTGTGCATGCTATCGGGGCGGATCTGGCGTACCCCCCTTCGGACCCCTACAGCCGGGCCAGATGATGCACCCAGGGAATTTCCTCGGGACTTGTGCCCTACGCTCCACGTAAGAAATCAGCCGCGCGCATACTAGAGCCCACTGTGGAGACTTCCGGCTCCGAGTCATTACCTAAGGCCGTGGGAGCCTCTTCCGGAAAGGAAATGGGGGAGGAATACATAGGCCTGTGGTAGAGGAAAACGATGACCCACTGCACGATGCTTCAGACATAACTTCAACATGGGGATGGGACTGTGCAACCTGCCAAACTCACGATTCGTCCAGGCTATCGCAAGGTGTCGCATATTCAACCTCCTCGGTTGAAGAGGGGCGCATCATCGCAATGCTTGGCCCTGTGACTCGATGTGTCCTCGAACAAACCATTTCCCCTCTACTCACTCCGTATTTGAGATAAAGCCCGCGTTTGAACATATCGGGAGATATATCATGTATGTCTAGCATTGCAATCGCTCTTCTTCTTGTACATACTGATCCAGGCTCGATCAAAGCAAGCGATTGCAGATCCGCCTAGTCGGAACGGTTGATGTACGACCCAGCGCCGCCAAGCGGAGAAACATGAATCATAAATGCAAAGCATGAATATATCAAGTCCCGAATCGGAAAAATATTGCGTAGATTCCCGTCCTAGCTCAAGGATCACCATATCACCACATTCGATATTGATCGCGCTCTGTTCGACTTTAATCGGTCCGTGCGGGAGACTACCGTGGCAGACACCACAAGGCTGTATCGTACCTACAGAGTCCGTATACGTAAAATAAATAAAAAACCATAGGTCTCAGGTACAGCCATGTGACAATCAGATCGAGGCCATGCACTTTCGGATTAAACTAGAATGGCTGGCTACACCAATACGCCGGGGAACACGAAGGAGCTCCGGCATGGATTACCCCGGACACAATCCCAGCCCCTTCCTGTGTGTCCCAGCAGCATGGCAGATAAGAGCACCGGTCTAGCCCGGCTGGTTGGCTTTCCAATGAAGCTCGACATCGGATCAACCAGTGCGCCATGGCGGCGACCGTGCTGCAGCCACAGATTAGGCAGCCCGGGATGGATAGACTCGATAATGCGGTTTGATCGAGTACCACAGCAACGGTGATCGACTGGCTCTTCCCACTTGTCGTTGGCTCTTTTTCTTGTTTTATTCAGGCACTTTATCTACCTGCGATCAGCTTGCTTTCCTTGCATCTATCTGCTTCTGAAAGTCAATGAAAACGTTGGTGTCTTAGTAGTTCACAAATGACCCGGGCCATGGTTGCCTTTTGCTTTAGGTATGCCTGGAGCTCTGGACTGCGCCAACTGAGAATTATACTGGTACTTGAAGCCACGCCTGGTACTCCGTACACATGAAGTGATCGAGGGTAATGATTGGGCTCGGCTTTTTACTCAGGAGATTACATATATGCATCCATGGATGTAACTTCAAATTGCTTTTTTCGGAGTTTGGAATGTGTGCTCGCACAAACAGAGTTCAGCACCTACCTAGGAGGTGGGCTATATATTTTGGGTGCTCGTGCGGCTGAGGTTCACCCCTGGAACTTCAAATTGCCCACTGGCAGGTGGTTGATTGCAATTTACGTAGTCGAAACCGATCGTTCTCTGACGAGAGTCTTTTTTTTTAAAACATGAGATCTACTCTATGACATCCTAGAATATATGTTCTGGTTGGCATGAACTGCTATCGGGATCAAACGCGAATTTTTGACGGGCCGCAGATCGAGAGCCTGGACTGGCCCCACACCTTATAGGTTTTCAAGACATCTGAGTCCCATCCACGAACAGTCAAGGAAAAATTTGAAAATGAAAATACCATGAGGATTTCTGATCGACAAAGCATAAAACCCACCGAACTCTATGTACTGCATACTACTTTGTACATAGTACAGTATGTAGCACACTGATTCCTCTTCGGACCGGCAATGCGCCTTCCCGAGATTCGCGCCATTTGACTTTTTCCCTTGAGAAACAGCGCTCAGGTCAGCCCTAGACCAGGGAGTCTGATCTTGTTCTCCACAAGCGTAGAAATGCTTGACAGGAAGCAGGGGACGAGCTGATCTTCCACATCATGCGTGCCCGGCGCCCTGCGGCTGATCATCCCTTGCAGTATGCAGCGTACTGCGGATAGGCTTGATCTATCGCTGCACCTCAATCATATCTCGATGCAGTACGGAGTACATACGGAGTACTCTGTACGAAATGCCGATGCATGATTGCAGTCGCAAGGCTATGCAGATCACTGTAAACAGTGACCTATGCACACCTATGTACACATGTCTCGTTGCCATTGGATTGCTAAAGGGGCCAGCAGCGTTTGCCTGGACTAATAGTAGGTCTGTTGAATCCATTGGAATGGAAGAGTGCAAGAATGCCTAAATTGTTTCTCTTCTTAGCATATGGTATGCAAACAATTGATCTCACTTTGTTCTCTCCAAAGGGCTCTCATATATGCATACTGCTACCATGCGGTGGTAAACAGTTTTGTGTCACTAAGGGGGCTAACCGCCGCCTGCATTCTTGTTTGAACATGTAAGCTGATTGCAGAATAAGTGAAGCACCAGGAAACAAAACAAAGAAAAGCCCCCAAGCTTCCTCTCCAGAGAGATCATTGACTACGAGACCAAAATTCAGCCGTTAGACGAAATGTGGAGTGAAGAAGATTGAAAACGAGTCGGTGTCGGAGAGAAGACCCACAAACAACCCACATGGAGTGAGGAAAAATCTCCCATCCGTCGGTTCATATTGTTGTCAATTTTTTGCAGGGTCGGACTTTGGAATATGCACCGATGGCACCGACCAATCCAAGCTTCTGCAATTAACAGTCGATTGACACCCACCCGATTGGTAGAGCGGATCCCCTCGAAACCATCGGTGTCGGATTAATGCGCATGAACCTCCGGGGGCGTTCTTTGACATTGTACTCCTTACGGAGCACGGAGGACATATCTGGAGTCCCGGCCACAGTGGGGTGGGATGCACGGCCACGGGAGGGAAACTTGGAAGATGTGAAGGATCTACACCCACCCATCCTGTCGTGGTGTGGTGACAGCTCATGATCGACTTACAGATGATCAGCCGAAGTACTCTCCGAGCTCGGCACAGCTGATACGATAAACAGAGTCGATGTCAACCCGAAACGAGATCATCCTCCCGTCATCTACGGAGCACATACGACACAGGGGAAGTTCCTATTACTACTGGACGTGCCCGCATTATGTTTTTCTTTGATACTGTTGCCTCCAGCGCCCCAATGTGACTGCAACAGAAAATATCAGGCAACTCTGGGCAGTTTCAGGTTCGGGCTTTCAGGGTTCACGACCACAAGAAGCGCGGCCCAGTGGCAAGGAGGAGGAAGAAAGCCCAGGCCAGGGCCACGCAACACCCCGTATCTGACCGCCCAGCCAAGCGCGGCTCGCGAGATTTCTGCAGCATGTGGGAGCTGCCGAGCCAATCTGGGCGAGTGAGCCAAGAGATGAGCACTTGACGAAACAAAGACGAGCGAGACAGGGCGGGTGCAACAACCCGCCGCTGATTTGTGATTAGTCTTGGTTTTCGAGTCATCGGACTGATGGAATGAGAGGGAGGAAGCCAAGTCTCCCAGACTACTAGGGACGAGGGGCGAAATGCAGTATCAAGGCATGGCATCATTTTTCGAAGGACGGGACGATCGTACAGAGCACACACAGATCACACATGTCTGAGCCCAAGTCCGTGTCCAAGATCAAGGCCAAGCCTAAGTAGGGTAGGTACTGGCGTGTGCGGTCTGGCGATCATGGGGGATGTGCATCTTCGTGCCCAGGAACCTAAGTGCAGACTATTGAGGGGGGTTACCTAATAAATATTGAAATGAAAGCACACTTAAAACCTGCACTGTACAGTAAAATCTGGCTTTTATTTTGGTTCCCCCCCCCCTTCCATTTTTCATTCAGAGCAATTGAAATTTGCCAAATCTCTCGGCGTCTGGGCAGGCTCGGCACGCGGGTCACCGAGGCTATGTGGCTGGACGGACAGTTGTTATAATCCGGCGAGCGGTGTATCGGAGGAAGCTGGCCGTAAGTATACTTATTATTGTATACTGGTATATCGAACGGTAAGTATTTAACCTTGTAGATATTGGATGTTTGTAATTTAATACTAGTACGGAGTACACTGGCAGTAGCGTGGCATAACCTGAAAGTCTTCACTGGATCACGTGAAATACCAGATGAATGCCAAGGCGCCCCACTACGCGATGTTGCACCAATCAATCGCCGCATTCGGTGGCTCATCATCTAGTCTGCATCTTGGCATCTTGGCGATTGGTAAAACATCGTGAATTGATGCGTGGGACAGGCCTTGTCCAACCTATCTTCAGCACCATTCCACGAGGGACAAAATGAAGAAAGGTATCAAGATGCTTATACTCAACATCTGCCCGACTGAGTATTCCCCATGGAATCACAATTAATGAGGGTATCGTGGTGGAGGCCTCGAGCCTCGAAAGGATGCCAAGGGCTCGGCATCTGGGCGCCTTGGCAAGAGAACCTGCAAACAGTTGCGTCCTCCTCCGCTGCCATGGCTTTCCCTGGCCCTTCCGCTGTGTCTCGGTCTTATAAGACTGCGTTTCCGCCCTAGCTCTTTCCCTCACTGTGTTCCGTGGTGGGAAAAAGTTGGCTCGTCTTTCGTCTTCCGCCCTTTTCCTCTTACCCCAATCGCCCCGCCCCCTTATAAGGCCCCGAATCGTGCCCTTGGCTAGGGAAAACCATGCGCCGTGAGCTCTCTAGTCCGTAAGTCGCCCTCTGTGCGCTTTGTACAACCTTCGGCTGCTCGCCTTGTTCTTCGCCCGTACTCCGGCTCGCCATGCGGTCTCCGGAGATGTCATATACTCCAGCCTACCACCAAGGTCAGGGCAATATCGGCATGACGAACAATTCGATTCGAGCCCCTCCACCCCGTCGATCTCCAGATCATCCCGAGCCGAAGTATCCAAGTCCGATTCGTCCCTCCTTCGAGTCAAAATCTTACGACGTGAGCCCCCGCTCGTCTGGTCCGCGGGGATCTAACGCCTACTCCCCAGAGGCTTCTCGACGGGCATCCCGAGCGGAGGACGATCCAACTGTAACTCGGATTGTGGTGCCCACTAGTCCAACCCACAAGGAAGAACGCAGCCGCGGCAGCTGGGCTGACCAGCCCTCATTGATGTCGGGCGAGCAATCGAGTACCTCGCGCACTCATAAGCGCTCGTCCCCGGACGACAATCGTTCTGACGATGGCCAGGACGCACTGCTCATGCTGGTAGGTTTCTCTACTCCGTTGGATTTATGTTTAGATCGCAGCTCTTACTAAACTCATCTCTCTGTATAGTTCCGACTTTCTGTCCCTGTTCCAGTATACTCCTTTGCGGCCTGTCTATATACCTGCTGTGCACTCCTATTCGCCATATTGACGGCACCACTTCGCCTTTGCTCCCTATCAGAATATCTCAGCAAGACATCCTTCTCCTCGCACCTTTGTGACCTCCTCTCCCCAGTCCTTCACATCCATGAGCGTCTCGTCCACATGCGACCTCCCACATCAAACCGCTCTTCCTCAACACAATGGATCCACTCCGAGATCGACACCGACCCGTCAGAAATGGAGAGTTCGTGTAGAGATTATTCTGTTGGCATGTCCATCGGGGTCCTATTACTCTCTCCATTCTTCAGCATCGCTATCCTCTTGCTTGCATGGACTGCCGCCTTCTTCTGGGTCTTCACCATGATGATGGGAAACCCAGACGGAACCGAACGCAAAGACGACGGCCGCGCTGCTGTCATCGGCGTTTGCAAGTGGTGGAGAACCTGGTTGGCCAAAGCCCGGAACCCATCATGACCCCGGCGGGCCTTCTTCCCCTCCTCCACCTCTCACCTAACCTGAATATGAAAATCATCCCCACACGGGAAGAATGATTCCATCAGTCCTCATACCGGACCACAACAATAATTGTCTCTTTTGCATTGCATAGACTCATTTCTGCGTGGTAACCGGAGAAAGAGTGACACGCAGAAACGAACCCAACCTTCATCCCTTCTTCACCTGCCGATATTACTTACCCTTTTGTCTCCAAAAGAGAGACCTATGATTATACACTCATCTTCGCATCATATATGATGCAACCCGGAGTTTGGATTCGGAGTCTGCCTTTTTTGTTTAATGTTCCATGGCGTCTCTAGGAAGCAGGCGCATAAATACCTCCGTGACCTTATTTATCGTTGACTCGCTTCCCCCCAAACCTTACTACCCTGTCTATGTGATTTTTTCTTGGCGGGTCTTTTGCCTTTTTCTACCCCCCTTTTCTCTTGCTTTCTTGCAGATCATTGAGAAAGGCGCAGATTTTTTCTTCTGGGATACTGCGCCCGTCTGTACTTTTATGTCTGATGCTTTTTTATCTGCGAGAGAGCAGAGTGTATGCATGCCTGCTTGTCTGAACGCGAATTGATACCCGGTTTCTTTGGTTGAATTTGTCACTCTCAAAATTGAGTCTGTAAATCCACTCTTACCACGGTGTTGCCCGTATACCAGTATAACTTGAGATGTTCAAGTTTGGGAGACGTCTTGTTACTCTCGAGGCGGTAGGCGTAGGCATAAGTACTACTACTTAGCTCTACTCGGAATAGTTCTGGGAGATGTGTCAAGGTTTAAGCTTATTATAAAAACTTGAATTGAGTCGAATTGAACTAATCTGTAATAACAGAACCGCTTACAACATATTCAACCTTAAAAATCTCGAGAATAATCCATCCATCAGCTTACATTGTTCTCAGGGCTCTCGTGGCTCTTGACAACCTGGCTGATCTCCTGAGTAACAGGCTGGCTTACCACCTCGCTGCTTTTCTTCAACTTGCTCCGCACGCGGAACAGCCAGTAAAGCAAAATGGCAGCACAGACATTGAACATAATGTACGCAAAAAGTATCCCGAAGTCCCTCCAGACTTGGTACGGTTCAACGGAAACAGTGTGCAGAAAAGAGTTCGTGTCTGACATCGGACAGAAAGAACATGCACTCGTCGCCGATGGATTTTCCACATACCCTCCAGCATTCTGGATGAACTCTGCCATGTATTCCCCACAGGTCATATTGGCTGCGGGCTCAAAATGCAGAAACTCCACATCCGAGCAGGTGACCTTGGTATCTGACACAGAGGTAGCAATTAAGCCTGAAACCAGGTAATTGAAAGGTGAGATGCGGTACATCCAGAACCAGAAATGTGGGAAAACCGTGGGACCTGCGAGGACACCGCAAAACAGCAGGCTCATATTGATGCACAGATTGGCTATATTCCCTGCAGTCTCGGCATTTGGGATGGCTGAGATAGCGAAATGTGCAAAAGTACTTGAAAACGCTAGTAACTCTATGATGAGGAGGAAAGCCTGCGCGCCTCTCAGATGGACACTTTCTGTTGGTTCTGCGTTCTGATAGAGGCCAACAGGGTAGTACCAACAGAAAAAAAAGGATCACGGAGCTTAGTAGTGCCCAGGGAATTTCGACTAAGATACTAGAGAGCATAAACGCAACCCAAGAATAGACCTTGGATGGCCGCTCACGAGCCTCGTAAAGTGAACGCTGTGTGACAAACTGGGGCATCACTTGTTGAGCTAGCATGCCAAAATTGACCATAAGCATGAACAAGCTGAACATCTGATTTTGCAGGCCACGCTGTGAATTGGCTTCATTGTAAAATGAAAAGCCGATGAAGATTCCCTATAGCGAATATTAGAAAAGAGCAATCATTTCAAGGTTCAAAATGTACATACCGAGCCGCCTACGAGGCTGATCTTAGCGTAGATGTAACCTGGCGTTCTCCAGTATTGCTGGAAAATTCGTACCAACGTTTGCAATAGCTGAAACGGAAATGATGCCGCAAATTCAGTGTATGAGGTATTTCCCTGCAGTGTCAAAGGAGGTTCCTGGTTTGACAGAACATCCTTCCATTCCTCGAGCTGAGCCTTCACAGCAGCTCTTTCTGGCGACTGCCTCCAGACCTCGGGCCAGTTAATGTCTGTGTGAGAGCCAGGTGCAGCCCCGATAACCTCGAGCATATACTCGGCGGGGTTTGCATCGTCAGGGCATTGGTAACCTCCATTTCGCTCGAAGTACTCCAGTAGTGTTGATGCAGACGGACCGACCGGTCCAAAATATATTGTCTTACCACCCCCCGCAAGGAGGAGCAGTCTATCAAACTGCTGGAATAGCATGGCGGACGGCTGGTGGATCGTGCACAAAATTGCCTGTCCATGGTCTCTCAGTCTTCGTAGTAGCTTCAGGATTGACCACGATGTCTGGGAGTCAAGGCCTGAGGTCGGCTCATCTAGGGAAAGCAGTAGCTCCGGTTTGGCAGCCAGTTCCACTCCTATTGTGAGCCTTTTTCTTTGCTCGACATTCAATCCTGCGAGAGTATGAGTAAACAGTCGCACCATTGGACTTCCCGTGGAGTTATACTCATACCTTCTCCAGGAACTCCTACCACGGCATCTGCTATGTCTTCCATTTCCAATAGTTCAATGACTTGATCAACGTAGGCCAGCTTCTCGGAGCGTGAATAACGGCCGGGCTGTCGCAAAAGAGCACTAAAATTAAGAGCTTCTCTAACGGTGGAAGTCTCCAGGTGTAGATCCTGTTGCTGAGCGTAACCTGTCTTCCGCTGGAAAGAGTCATCTATTTGCTTCCCGTCGACAAGCACCGTGCCATATATGACACCCATGGTTACTCTACTAGCCAAAACGTCGAGGAGGGTTGTTTTCCCAGCCCCAGATACACCCACCAACGCTATGGGAATTTTTGTTAGAAAAGAGTCACTATGGAATGTCGAGCCATAGATACGAATCTCACCAGTTAATGTACCAGGACGGACCCATCCGTCAACACGATCAAGAATAAGGCGCGGCTTGCCTTTGATTTTGATCTCGTAGCTGACATCTTGCCATTGGAATGTCGCAGTCTGCCGCAAAATTCCGACCTCGAGGCCACCTGGAGGGTTTTCCGGAAGTCGTTTGGAGGTGATACCCTCATTATCACTTTTGTCTTGTCCGCTCTCGATATCGTTCGTCGCAAGCCTCAGATGCTGGGGTATCTTCCGTCGTGGAAAGACCAGAACCTCCCCTTCGGCTTTTTGGCGGGGATGAAATCCGTAGCCGCAAGGTAAATGGCAGTAAAAACAATCCAGAAGGCGATCAAAACTCCGATGTTACGCCACTTGTGGGAGTGACTGCATTGGAACGAGGATTCCAGGTAAGCATCACCACTAACCCATGTCTGTCCAGCAACCGAACCCACCGCTGAGCAAACACGGCTCGAAGAGTTTTGGCTATATCCTGGCCCCGTTGGGATGAAGGTTGAACAGTTAAAGTTGTGGTCATGAAACTCATTGATCATCGAAGCCTCAAATCCATATGCGATCGGGTCAACCCAGTTGATCCAACGAGCCCATCCATGCATATATGCTGTAGGCATAGGAAACCCGGAGTAGATGACTAGGCCTATTGTCGCGATGGTGCCCGGCGCTATTGCCTCATCCAGTGTGCGAGAGACGGAAGCTATCGTTCGAAACATGCTTGACATGACCAACATTGTGAGAAATGATGTCAAGAAAAAGAAGAAGAAAGCCCCCGGGGTCAATCTGAGGCCAGTCATGAAGTAGAGGATGATGTTGAACAGGATCGAATTGAGAAATTTAGAAGGCAGACCCGTCAACATTGATGCGAGCGCTTCGGCGGAGGGGCGATAGAGGGCATAACGTGCATGCTTCTCTACAATTGGTCGCTGGGCATAGAGGGACATCATCTCTAGCTGGCTGCTGAAAGCATTCGTAAGAGTGGCAAAGAAAACCAGCGACCCGCGAGAGAAGAAAGCGCCCGTATTCGGCTTCAATTGGAAATAAAGGCTACTGATTATGAGCATTGAGAGAGCTTGTCCGACAATTTGGGTAATTTGCAGCTCGGGATCTGCGCGGACGCGTTCGAAGCCTCTCCATAGACAAAGACGGACTTGCTGGGCGTAGGACATAATAAATGGAGACTTGGATGATTGGGAATTGGCCTTCTGGAGGCGTATCGATTTTCGGAAGTTTTCAAAATCGGGTCCTCCAAGGGGATGATCATTGTTGTATTCATCGATCTCTTTGAGAAGTTGTGTCCGCTCTGGACTTAACATCCAAGTCTGGGCAAACTCATCAGGGGTGCGAGGTACTCGATTCTCAAGTCCTGGGCGGACACGGCGTTCAGTCGGACTTGTCATGGAGGTCAGAAAATCCGGGGTTGTTTGGCGCTCGGGAGAATGAAACCCTAATCTCACGAAATAAGGACGGGCCCGAGCTGCAGGACCAAAGAATATCTGTCGGCCTTGATAAAGAACCAGTACCTTGTCGAATTGATTGTATGCTGTTTGGGGTGCCTGGTAGATCGCAACGGCCTCGGTCATCCCGACCAACCTGGAGGCCATTCTGAGGGTCTTGCAGAACTCAATTGCGTTGGCGCTATCCAACCCGCGGGTACTATTGTCCCAGCACTGAAATGGCGAGCCACCTAGAGCGGCTTCTGCAATGCTCACTCGCTTCCTCTCTCCACCACTGACGCCGCGCACGTATTCGTTCCCGACCTTGGTGTTGACGGTGTGACTAATTCCGAAGATTGCCATGTAGATATCCCGGATGTGCTTGGCCCAGGCCCGACGATCAATATTTCCAGGAGGGTGTCGGGGCGTCCTCGCAAGAGCTGCGAACTCCAGAGTGACGCCAACCGACAGCTGGGGGAAATGTACATCTTGCTCCGCGGTGTAGACGACTTCTCCTTGAAATTGCGAATGCATATCCTTGAAAGGGATTCCATGGTAGTTGAACTCGGAATTTGGATCAAGAGTGATGCCATGTGTTTCTCCGCAAATTGTTTTCAGGAAAGTACTGCATCCTGAGCCAGGTCGTCCCAGAACCACGAGAAGCTCGCCAGGACGGACCAATCCTTCAAGGTTGTGTAAGATGTGAACGCGATGGTTTCTTTTGTTAATCAATGATCTGATCTGGTCGAACAATCTCCAGACAATGCTGCTAACGGTAGCCTGTGTGTTCGTGATGGTACTCGAGCCGGACACGTTCAAGCGTTTGAAAGCCACACCTGTGACACGTACCGGGCATTCGTCCTTCGAAACCAACTGCAACATTGTCTTAACACATTTCTCTGGATTGAAAGAGTCCGAAGCAGGATTCAGATCCGAATCCTCATCGACCGTGTATGGGTTGAGCGGTATTTCTGGTGTCGTGGAGCCTGAATCCTTTTCCGTGGCAACCACAACCACAGCATCATGGTCAGTGTCAGTGTCAATGTTTTGGCTATCCATGGTAGCAGTTTGGGTGAAAGGTGAGGTGGGAGGAGATAGAGGGAGAAGAGGAGAAGAGGAGAGAGAGAGAGAGAGAGAGAGAGAGAGAGAGAGAGAGAGAGAGGGAGGGGGGGGGGGAGAGGGAAAAAGAGGAAGGGTGTTCACATTAGGCAAGTGCAGAGTGTTGTGACTCAAGGAAGGTGGAAATTTTCCTGGTGCAACTGTGCTAAGTTGCAAGTATGGAAGGCACGATGGTGAATCTCGTTAGTACCTACTAGGCTACAAGTAGTCGTAGTAGTATCCGGTTGCTGGTTGCCGTTTGCTGAATCCAATGAGCTTCTCTTCTCTTCCCTTCCAACCCCAACCACATCTATACCACCACCCACATCTATCATGCAAAACTCAGAAGCTTTCTATGGCTACTATTACCCCGTCCAAACCAGCGGCGGTGCAGTCTTTATGGCTGTCGTATTCCTCGTCCTCACTCTGGGTCATTTCTGGAAAGTCATCACCACCCAGAACTGGTTCGGTCTCGCCATCGTGAGTGGGGGAATCTGTACATCCAATAAGCGTCTCCCAATCCATATCTAGAGATCCGCATGCTAACTTTGACATTGTTCAATCATCTAGTCGAATTCGTGGGTCTCTCGGCACGAGCCTGCTCTCATAGCACACCCACCGTCAGAGCACCCTTCGACATTCAAGTCGTATTCATCTTCCTCGCACCCATATTCTTCGCCGCATCCATGCATTTATTCCTTGATCGAATGATCCTCGCCTCACGACACAAATTCCTCTCCCTTATCAAACCGATTTGGTTCCTCCCAATCTTTTGCGTCGGCGACCTGCTCTCGTCTATCCTCCAAGCTGTCGGTGTCGCCCACCTCGTGAAAGCAAGAACACGAAGCGCAGCCACCGTAGCAAGATACGTCATGCTCTCTGGACTCGCTATCCAGATTGCCTTTGTCTGCCTCCTCGTGTTATGTCTGATCGTCTTCTCACTCCGGGTGAACGCGCCCTATCTCGCGCTGTCGGTAGATCCCAACCTCCGACTCAATACAAATCTGCGGTGGTTGGGTGCATGCAGTCTCTTGATCGTTGTTCGGAATATCACGCGTATTGTTGAGTTTCAGGGCAGTCTTGTATCTTACTTTGACAGTCATGAATGGACGACGTATATTCTGGATGTCATTTTGATGATGCTCTTCATGGTTTTCACCGTGTCTTGGTATTCGTGTGATAGTGGGAGTCCTCGTCTCAGAAATAGCTATCCGTTGATGCCTCGGAGCCGCAATCTTTGAACCACCTGCATCCAAGTTGTCTTGGGCCATTTGGTACTGGACATGCTGACAAGGAGACATGGGCCGGAGTGTTCATAGCCTCGCACTAGAGGATGAGATTGAGAGGTCGGGCTTGCAGCTTTTGTCTTACATAACATCATCGAAGTATGAACAGTATTCTTCTTGAATTCGATTTCAATTTGATTGAGGGGGGTTATCGGGATAGATTTAAACTGCATCTCCCTTGTTCCCTCTTGATTGATTGATTGGTTGATTCATCCTAGCATCTGCTGGGGCTTAATCCTCAAATGCGGGTACGAATCAATCAATCAATCAATCAAGATGAAATAATGGAAATGCCGTTGAAAGGAGGTGGGTTTGTGGGGGAGAGTGGAGATCCAAATGATGATGATCACCCTTTTCAAGGCCTAGATTTAACCATAGCATGGTCAGAGAAGCATTTGATAGTCAAGTAAATAAACTGAAGAGGGTGTCATCACAGAGCCGAATACGATTTTGTAGTTGAAGCACCACGTTACTTTGCAAAATAATTCGTTTCGGTGCAAAGCGAACGCAATTTTTATATAGAGCAAAAAGGAATTCGTCGGAGGTGGAGTTAGTAGTTTGAGTGGGATCACCCGGTGTATGTGCTTATACTTCAACTATGTGCAATAGTAGATAAATACACCCCACCCATGGAGAGCAGAAAGAACCCCAATCATTATTTGTTCAAAAACGTCTCACCCGCTGCGCAGCCAAAGGTGAATCCGCAGCCTCCAGCTCCGCATCATCGTAATCATCATCATCGTACACCAAGTCGAATTCTTCATCCTCGTCAAAGGAGGGACTCACATGGACTGCAGGCGAGGAGACGGGACTCAACGCAATCCGCGGTCTCGATTTGAAAACACTCGCGTAATCCGCATCTTCTTGGAAGAGTTGATCCTGGGGGTGTCGACGCGCGGGAGGGAATACTAGCAGGCTGGGATATCTTCCGGGGCGTCTCGAATTGGTTGATTGGGAATGACGGGCGGGGACCGCGGCGTCGAGGTCGGGGGTTTTCGTGGGCAGGGAGGGGTGGAATGAGGGACATTGATTTGCGGGTTCTTTCGGCTAAGGTGTAGTTTTGTGGTGGCTGTTGTCGTTGCTTTAGGGGTTCAGGTTCTTGGTCCAAATCTAGTTGTTCCGTGGAGTGTTGGTCTGGAGAGAGGCGAACGATTGGAGGCGATGAGTGTAGATTCTCCTGGTAGTCACTTGTTTGAATATCTGGGGGACTGAAGGTTGGGAATGGGTTGATGGGGTTGGTCATCTCCAGAGGTGAGGGTGATATGTTTTGATCATTTGGTTCTTCTGACGAGACCGACGGTGGTGACTGTGAGGCTAGAGGTTCCGTATTCCGGACAGGGCGAGTTTCGAAGCGCTCTACCTTGACATTGATGCGTGCTATAGCTTCATTGACACTCGACATGAAGGACTGATCTGTTTCTTTCAGCGACCTTCCACGGTCACCAGGCCGCCGCACCGCTTTAGCTATACTGGCCACCGTCATAGCTTGGTGATCTCGAAACTGCATGCGAGGCTTGGATATAGTTCCAGCTGAATTAGGGTTATCGCCACGCTCACTCCGGAGCGAATCGTTAAATTCATGCCATCGGCGCAGGCGACTCCGTAGACGCACGACCCGTGCCTCCAAGTCAACGACCAGATCGGATTTGACACCTCCACCTAGACCATCCAAACTGGAATCTTTCGCGCGTGACCAAGCCTGCGAGAATGGAAGTTCCAAGAACCCATCTGTACTGCTGTGTGATCCACCATCGAGTAAAGTGATAGCCCACTCCTCGCTGCCCAGCCAATTCGCTTGAAGCTCTTGAGCCAGTCCCGCCGTTTTTACCCCTTCGTAGTTCGGAAGTTTTTCGGATTGAAGACTGGATCGCTGCGTAAGCTCTACCTTCTTGTTATCCAGAAGTTGCGAGAATTGGTCGTATGTCTCGTGCGCCTGTGCGCGGCGCGCCCCTGTTGCGCCAAGAGATACCTGGTGGGCGAGGACTAACGGCAGGAGATTCTGATAGTCCGTCGGGGATATACCTGCTGCAGTAGCGACCTTCAGGGCTGGATTCCAGGGTGTATCCAGTGCGGAAACAGCAAGAAGTTTGCGGAGGACGGCGGTCGAGAAGACAGCCAGTAGCTCATCAAACTTCTCCCCTTACAGTCATCCAGCATTGTCTTGCGGAGAATGGTTTCTCGACCCAGGTCGCCATTTTTCTTCAATTCGCCGAGCGAGCGGAACAGGGCGGCGCGGAGGTTCACAGATTGTAGGGGTTCTAGCGGTGGGAAGAATGGTCGGAGTTTCTAGTATATCGAAATTCGATCAAATTAGCAAGCTCCTCTGGCCAAAGCAAGGGGGATCCAATTTAGATTACGAACATTTTGAGCATATTCTGGATCCCAGATTGCGAATAGATAGTAGAGAGCCCATTCTACCAGGCGGATTCGCTGTCGTTGATTCTGGGATGACGGGGATAGTGCGCGGAGAGTGATGTCAGGCCAATCGTCGCGCTGGTCCAGCTGGAGGAGTTTGAGGTTTCGGATAAAGACAGTGAGAGGTGGAGGAGTCACCCAGTCTAGGGGTTTTGGCCGAGCGGGCCTCGATGCCATGAGGAGGAGGGGAGGAGGGGAAAGGGGGGGGAAGCACAAATTAATTAAAGGCGGGACCGGGGGAGGTGTGAGGCTAGTAGCAGGTCACTCCAGTTAGTGAAAGCGTGGTAAACAAAGCGATAAGCCCTTATCAGTCCCGCCTTTGGTTCCATGGTTCTTCAGGTCTCCCCTTGTCTTTCTTTTGATCTTCACCTCATTTTTAACCCAAGATCCCCTAATATAATCTTTCTACTCTCCTTCTCCTTTATTCCCGCAACCATGGGGTCCGACAATTCCTCCTGGACTCCTCACACCGGTAAGCCCATTCACACTCCCCCGAGTCCCCCCTCACCAATCTCTGCTTCTGACTCTCAATAGTCCTTTCGACTCTCCCCCACCCCCCAGAAGAGAACACCTCCTCGCCCATCCCCTTCTTCCACCTCCTCGAACGCCTCAAGACTACCAAGCGCGAAGGCTGGCGCCGCTTCGGAATCAATGGCGAATCCATCTCCGACCACATGTATCGCATGTCGATCATGACGATGTTTGCCCCGCCAGAATTGGCATCTAGACTGAATATCCCCCACTGCACCAAGATGGCTCTCGTCCACGATATGGCCGAGTCACTGGTCGGCGACATCACCCCGGTCGATGTGCACATCACCAAGGCTGAGAAGGCCAGCCGCGAGGCCGCCGTCATGGAATACATTACTACTTCCCTTCTGGGCCAGGTTCCCGGCGGCGCATTGTCGGCCCAGGAAATCAAGCGCGTTTTCGAGGAATACGAGGAGAATGTCACCCTGGAGGCACAGTTCGTGCACGATATCGATAAGATGGAATTGCTTTTGCAGATGGTCGAATACGAGCGCTCCAATGATGTCGATCTCACTGAGTTCACGCATGTCGCGGGCCGTGTCCAACTACCCGAGATCAAGCTCTGGGCCGAGCAGGTTGTCAAAGAGCGTCCGCAGCGCAAAGGAAAGGGTATCTCATCTTGACGATTGGCAGATTAATTGAACCTCTGCTCGCATATGGATTACCCAGGCGTTCCTTTCATTCCCCCCCCCCCTCCTTTCCTTTTGTTAGATCGGACTTTGGGATTCCCTAGATACCATAGAGAAACATGGCGAGAGTTGAGGAGGTGCTTTACGAAGGATGCATGACAATGAATGACTGCACAAGGCTTTTCGGGAATAATTGCGTTCTTGCCTTTATCAATACACTTATTTGCATATACCCTAAGGTACTTTCTATTTAATTGGAGCTGGGAAACACCCATCGGAAGCTTCGTTTATCTCTCTTCCTCCGTCGCCACCACCGCTTCAACCAACGGGCTCCTTCTCCATTTCTCGCGCCAGCATCTCAGCCTCAGCCTTCATATCCTCCGGCCCACGCGGTTTACGATCTTTATCATCGACAACAGGGAATCTCGTCCTGGTTTCCGCACGCTCCGAGCTAGAATTACCAGCCTCACGGAATACTTTGCCAACATCGCCTTCTTCTCCATCCAGCATATCGTAAATAGCATCCGTGCCACCGCGGTGATCTAAGTCTGCCGCCTTGCGCGGGATAATATGGCAGTGCACATGTGGCACGCTCTGTCCTGCATTCAGACCATCCTGCACGGCGATATTCAGAGCCGAAGCGCCGTGTATCCTTTCGACCATTCGTCCCACGCGCCGGACGGTTAGGAATAGATCGCTTGTTTCGGCGGCGGTTAGGTCTGAGACGCGGGGGACGACGCGGCGGGGTGAGACGAGGACATGGCCGGGTAAGATTGGTTTCAGGTTCACGAGGGCGTAGGTTAAGGGTGTTGTGTAGAAGACCTGCGGTAATTGGTGGTATTTAGTGACCTATTTATCATCTGGGGGGCTTGAGACGGGAATATGAATGCGGAGATCGAGGGTGAAGGTAAAGGTGGAGGTGCAGGTGGGGGACGGAAGGGTTCAAGCGTGACAAAGTACCTGTGGTGTAACTAGGAATGGACCAAAGTAGATTGGCGCAGCGGCGCCTTTCACCGCCGACATTTTCTCTGAGGAATCGGAGGACATGGGGTTGTTAACAGGTCGATCTTGTGGTCCAACGCCGGAGATGCGGCAGTCAATAGCTGTTGACTCCACCGTTTGCACTCACCGCCTACGTAGCCATCGGCCATGACTATAGAACCACAGAGCCATCTATATACATCTACTAGCTGGTCTTCAGTATGAAACCAAGCTCTTGATTATGAGTCGTACAGCACTTATCAGATCTAGATTAATTCATTTATGCGTGGCATGTAAGGTACAGGACAGAGTAGGACAGTAATAATCATACAATTGCACGAGCCCAGCTGGACATCAACAAAGCTTCAGGTGAAGGGTATCATTGACATTGACCATGAGAAACATTGACCATGAAAAACGTCCTGAGCTATATTACAAGAAATAAAATCACCCGTCGCAGCTAAGAAAGCACAAGAGGCCTCGATAAAGATAGGACATGAGAAGGAAAATTAATGTTTGAACAATGGAACCTGGAGAGGCCGCAGCCTGCTTCGCCTAGGATTCCGTCTTCGACTCGGCTTCGGCTGTAGCTTCGGCTGTAGCTTCAGCTGTAGCTTCAGCTTCAACTTCAGACTTGGCCTCAGTCTCGGCTTTCGTCTCTGGTTCTTCTTTGGCCTCCTGATCAACGGAAGGGGTCGTCACATCGTCGCCCTCGGGGGCCTTTTCGGTAGATTCTGGGGTTTCGGTCTCTTCGCTTTCTTGGATTTGCGGCTGCTCCGACTGCTCCGCATCTTTCTCTGGGCCATCTTCGTTGGATTGTTCGGTAGTTTGTTCCGTTTCTACGGGCGATTCCGTTGGTTCTTGGACCTCATTCTCATCAGCAGGGACAGACTCGGTCGCTTCAATGGGGGTCTCTGTTGTTTCTTCTGTCTCTTCGGCGGCGATTTCGGCCTCGATCTCGGCCTTGACGGGTGACTGGGGCCGGGGCTCGGGAGCGTCCCTCAAAGTGGGTCGCAAGAGAACGGAAGCTTGGGGAGAATCCTCGTTGTCCTCCGCAGCTTCGGTGATAGTTCCGACATGAGAACCGGTAGACGGACTGTGCTTGTGTCGCCGTGTGGTGGCGCCGGTATCGAGTGGGGGAGCCATGTTCTCTAGTGAGCCGAAAGGACTTTCACCATCCTTGCGCAAAATTGTTAGACGCTTGCTCTCAACCGGCTCGGTCACTGCTTGAGGCTCAGTAGCATCTAGCCCTTCTGCCTCGGCAGGAATGGTGTAATTATCCTCCGGAATAAGGTTGTACATGTCGCAAACGGTTTTGAAAAAGACATAAAGGCCATCATTGCCCTCAACCTCCCAGAAAACATTTCTGTGCTGAAACCAGGCGTGTGCGAAGATACGGTACAGACGGCGGAAGATATTGGTGAGATGCCTCATGCTTGCCTGTGGTCCGCCAGCGGTCTCGGAGCCTAATGTCAGTCGGCTGGGGAAGTTCTTTGGCGAAGTTAGGGTGTTTGTGGCCCAGTCGAGAGTATGGCAGCAGTAATCGATAGCGCAGCAGGACTTAGGAGGCTCGTGGACAGCGCAAAGATATTGCCACTCCGATGCGCGCATCTCCGGGCAGGTCTGCGCCGAGCAAGGCGGATCCTCGGCAAAAAACGCAATGAGCAGATTATTAACTTTCATCGTGAGGAATCGGCAAAGTTCGTAAAGCCAGAGGGACCGGTCGACTCCCTCTGGTGGTTCCGCGAGCTCGATCGCGACTTGGCGGTTAATCGGGACCACCGTGTCCGATCCTTCGGGTTTCGTAAAGTGGTGGTACAGGGCTTTCAGGTGCTCCTGAAGCTGGAAAGGGGAGTCGAGCTGAGGACGTTAGCTTTGGATGATTTCCGGCGATGCTTGATGCTTTTCACATACCTGCGACAATGGAATCAGTGGCGGACCGAATGCCATATTAACCGCTTTGCTGCCCGGTCGAATCCTGCGCGTCGAGGCATCATCCTGCGCCGGCACGCCTAAGATCTGATCCGCATCCTTTCCAAATGTCTCGCCAACAGAAGGCGACTGGGGCCCGATTTGGACTTCTGTAAAAGGAGGAGGGCTGGGGAGGCGTGGAGAGCTCAACGGGGAGACTCCGGTAGTCATGGCGCGCGTTGAGGAGTAAGAGGAGAGAAGAGAGAAGGAAGAGGCGCGCGAAGACCAAGGGAGAGAAACCGAAAGAAATAAAAGAGTGAAAGGTGACTCCGCGCCCTCAAGCGATCAGAAAGTGAGCATGTCCTTAAGGATTCAAGAGTGCTACTAAACGGGGCTGTTGTCTCCTTCCGGTCGAGGCCGTTGCGATAAGCAACAACAAATGACCGCCCAATGCCCTAAGCCCTACTTCCCCAATCCAGGTAGCCAACAACGTCATCTCCGCATCTCTACATGTTTTGCTACGCTGTACTAGCTACCCTAGTACGGACTTGCGGGCAACAGGACCGTTTTATTTAACAACAGCGGAAATATCTTGCATGATGTCTGCCAATTTCGAGGATGACGAGGCTCCACCAGATCTAGTCGATGTGTCGGCAATGCCCGCCGATCAGACAGACTCTATAGAGGAAGAGCCAACAGCTCGGGTCCCTATCACGCTGGTAACAGGTATGGCTTGAAGGGTACTCCACAGATATGTTATCAAGTGGCTACATAGGTACTAACCATGGGATTTTAAGGGTATCTGGGTGCGGGGAAGACCACCTTGTTAAACTATATCTTGACAGAGAAGCACGGCAAAAAGATCGCTGTCATCATGAATGGTTCGTCATTGTCAAGAACTAGAGTATTTAAAGTTTAAAGAATAGACTAACAAGACCTAGAATTCGGTGATTGTATGTCCAAAGTGAACTCGAATCTCTATGACGCCAATTCTCATTCTCCATCATAGCAACCGACATCGAAAAACCGTTGACCGTCAACGAAGGCGGCCAGGAAGTCACCGAGTGGATGGAAGTGGGCAATGGCTGCATCTGCTGCTCAGTCAAGTATCTACTACACGAACCTAAGACTCTGCTACATGATCCAAGTCCCTAACAATATCTCTAGAGACACAGGCGTAATGGCCCTCGAATCTCTCATGGAGCGCAAAGGGACGTTCGACTACATCCTCCTTGAGACAACAGGTCTCGCCGACCCGGGCAACATCGCCCCAGTATTCTGGATGGACGAAGGTCTCGGCAGTTCCATCTACCTAGATGGCATCGTTACACTCGTCGACGCAAAAAACATCCTACATCTGCTGGACGAACCAACGCCGGAGCAAAAAGCAGAGGCACATAACGCTGATCATGACCACGGCTCTGGCCCTGTGCTATCCATGGCACATATGCAGATTTCCCACGCTGATGTGATTATCCTTAACAAGACGGACTTGGTGACGCCACAAGAGCTAGAGGCCGTTAAGGACCGCGTTACGGCCATCAATAGTGTGGCCAAGATCAATGTGACAGATCATAGTCGAACACCACAGATTGAGGGGGTGGTATTGGATCTACATGCATATGATCACCTCGCAGATTTGGATTTCAGTAAGAAGGGACATAGTCATATGGACCCGGTATGTTTCTTTTTTTGATCGTCTTATTCCCTCGTATAACTGTGCTGACCATGTGATTATAGGCAATTTCTACAGTAGCTATCACCACGTCACCGATTACTGCCGACAAGGTCATACGGGTCGATGAGTGGCTACGCTCTGTTCTTTGGGAGTCAATTTACCCAGTACCCGCTAATTCCAACCCTGAAACCGCTCCTGCTAGCTTTGAGATTCATCGATTGAAGGGTATTCTTGTTCTTGAGGATGGTTCCACTCGGATTATCCAAGCCGTCCGGGATGTCTTTGAGATTAGGGATACAGAGCCCGCTAAGGATGATGGCAGCGGACCCGTTCAGTGCAAGATTGTGCTCATTGGTAGAGGCATAGGCTCAAGCGCTGACCCATGGAAGGCAAGCTTTGAGTCCTATGTCCGGGAAAGCTGAGAAAGCATCCCATATTTACTCAATTTACTACGAAGTCTAGACAGAATAGTCTTGAAAAGAAGAACTGGGCATGATATGGGCCAGAGTGCCCAGAATTCCAGAGTTCATCAGTGGTTGCATTGCAAGAAATCAATTGGAATAATACAGACATGTTAGCCAAAAAAAAAGAGAGCTAGTGATCAAATACATTCAAAGAGCCCTCATGAAACGCCAAATAGTCAAAGCCTCCAGTATGTAAAAAGTGGAACAAACAACCGATCAAATCGAGAACACACATAAGAGATGGCTAAAAAGGGGCAAAAAAAGACACAAAAAGTAGCATTAAAACAGTGTTCAGATCAAAGTCCGCCAGAAGAATGCAAAAAAGAATAACAAAGACTTTTGTTGGGACGCCAAATGTTCGCCGGCTTGCGCCATGGGCGGCGCATATGCCTTGAAAAGCAGAGCTTGAACGCGACAATGACGCGGGTTGAATGTACAATCAAGAAACGAAGGGGTATCGAGCGTGTACTCCCAAAGCAATGGGGTGATTTCAGATAAAAACGAATCTGGGTGTATTGTTGTCGGAAAAAAGGCTTCTGGGAAGTAAGCCTGGCGCTTGAACGCTTGGACGGAATTTAGAAGAGATTGACGAGGTGTTCTCTAAACGCGGGATTGATGGGCAATTGCGATTCGGACAAAGATGGTGCCAGTCGGCGTTGGATGGAGGGTCGTGCTGGTCGTAGCCCGGGGGATGGTTTGTTCTCTGACACCGAAGGAGTGGTCTTGTATTCAGGAATACTCAGGGCGGGGTTGATAGGTAATATAGATTCGGATAGAGATGGCATCGGGCGGGAGTGAATAGGTGGTCGTGCTGGTCGTAATCCGGGGTGTGGTTTATCCTCCGAGGCCGGGAGAATGGTATGGGGTCCAGGGATTCTCAGAGCAGGGTTGATGGGCAATCGAGATTCAGACAGGAATGATACCAGTCGCTCAGAAACGATTCTAGGTTGAGCGAAGTGTATTCCAGAATTCCGATCGGATAGCGAGGCCGGGGGGAAGGATTTGCGCTTCGATATACCTATTGCTGGATTGATTGGCAGCCGAGACTCCGAAAGAGGGATTTCCAGCCCATGAGGAGCAATCATGGCCTGCTTAGGATGTAGTATCGAAGACTCTGGGGTCGCTGACTTGGTAGAGACAAGTAAGGGGACGGGGCGAGCCACGGCTGGGTTGATTGGGAGTTGAGAATCGGCAAGCAGGAATGCCAATTGATTATGAGAAGGGTTGGACTGAGCGGAGCTGTCCTCACTTTGGCGAATGCTGCTAACATCCGGAGGAAACGACTTGCGCTTGGAGAGAGCTGGATTGATAGGCAAAGCTGAGAGAAAAAGGGATGCTGATGATTCAGGAAGCTCATGTGTTCGCACAAGAGGCGCATTCTTTATATCGGTGGGAGTCGATTGGGGTTCCTCATCATGGATGAAACCAAGCCCATTAGATAGTGGCTCGCTCGCCGCTGTAGCATTGGAAGAGTGGTACGAAGACTCTAGAGGAATGGGCCGAATCGCTTCTCCATCGTTGGCAGGGGTAATTGGCACCCACCGGTCGATTCCTCTGATTCGGTGTGTGATTCCCAGAGTTGTGGCTGGGGCTCCGTTTCCATTGGACCAAAGCCGTGACCAACTGTATTTTCCCACGCAGATGGTACAGCGGTTTGTATTTGATGATCAGTTGGCAATTCCGAAGCTGGTTCCCGGAATGAAGAGTGGGAATCTTCATTCCAACACCCGCCGTCCAGACCATTGGATTCATGGTGGTTGAGAGTGGACGCGGATGAATGTCGAGATGGAAAAGCGACTCCGTCATTGGAATCAGCTAGTGTGACGGTCGATCTTTTGCCCTGGCCAGGGTGGTCGTGGAATAGGGGCGGAGAAAGATCGATATCCTGCTCACTCGAATACTTCAATGGGGAGACAGGGGTGAATAGATTGGGATTGGGTGTGGTTCTCGTGCGCTGGGGATCGACAAGATTGCTTTTGGGAAGGTGGGACATTGCCGAGGTGGCGCATGGAAATCGGTGGTCTGGTCGAGGAAATAGATGTGTGGGAAAGAACGAGAGTAGTTCTTTGGCGGATATTCTGTGTCGAGGCATTGGGCTCAGACAGATATCGACTATTCGTCGATAGTAATCTGGCACGTCCACATCAAAGCCAAGGAATAATGGACGAGGTTGTCGCTCAGGCTCATCTTCTTGCATTGCCAATGCCCACAAGGTCATGCCGAGTTGGTAGAGGTCTGTCTTGACGCCAATGTACATCGAGATCCGTTGGTTGCTCTCAATTTTCTGAGCAATCTCGGGGGGTTCCCATCCAACAGGGCAGCCCCTGCGATTTATGTCGATAATAAAGGCCTTATCCTCCGCGTCCACCACAATATTTGACAGAGTGAAATCGCCTTGGACGTAGCCGGACTCGTGAATCTCGCATAAACCCTGGACAATTTCTTTGGCCCACCGCTCCCGCCTAGCAAAGGCAATGCGACCACGCTGATCGTACAGGATGTCGACCAGGGCACCTCGTTCAGCGTAGCTAATGAGGAGCCCCTTGACCTTCTGGTGGTGTTCATCCACCACAATGCCTCCCACTTGAATCACATTGGGCGAACCGACCAGGGCGTGAAGAGCATTGATCTCATAAAGAAATTCATCGACGGTGTCGGGGCCAGGAATTTCCTTCTTGATAAAATTATGTCCACCCTGTTGTACTTTATAAACAAAACCGGAAAGATGCGCATCGAAGTGGAGGTGGGTTTCTGGAATGCATCGAGCGCCTGCGAGATGGCCGATGCTGGAAATGGGAGGGTAGGGAATGATTTCGTTTACGTCCTCCGTGACGTGAACGTGGAGACGGCCATCGCTAGTTTCAACCTTCAGATTCGTCACAGTATCGTAGAACTGGATGTCAGCAAGGGAATCACGGAGTGACTCGTAAATCCGAACGCTTTTGTCCCGCTGATATCGGAGTCCCTTCAGATCAGCTTCCAGTGAATCGGGCTCTGCCCCACGGTAATCGCACGAAATTGTCACTCGTCGCCATTGGTAGGGATTTTCGACGTAGGTGATAAAGAACTTCTCCCTTTCTGAACGATCCCGAAAGTGCATACTCAGATTGAGGATCCATCGGTTATCCAGATCCATATCGATTGTGTCTGGCGCCGGCGCCTCCACCTCAGGGGGATCGGTTGTCAGGTCTCCTTCCCAGTCGGCATAGAGACTGGTATCTTCATTTGGTTCCTCTGTTTCGACGAGCTCGAGGGGTTCGAGGGGTTCGGGAGATGCAAAGGGATCGAAATCGTCCGGGGATTCGTCAACCATGGTAGTAGGTGTCGGGCCGAGCCACTGAACCTCTGGTGCGGACAGTCGTGGGCCCGTTGGTGGTAGTGGAGACTGAGATCGGGCGTTCGAGGGGCTACTCCGGTCGGCGGACTGGGCGCGACGCTGTTCATGTTCGGGTGCTAGACGGTCTGGACGTTCGGGAATCGATCGTTTGAAAGGTGTCGATCGGGGTAGACCAACCCCTACGCGGCGAGACAGTCGACGGGTCAAGTTGTCCTGTCTGGAGCGCGGGTTGCTATCCACCGAGGCAGCGCGGTTGTGGTTGTTGTTATTGTGGTTGTTGTGGGGGGAGGAAGAGTCATTGTCGGAAGAATCTCGATCGTCGCGGCCCAGCCATCTTCGCAGACCTAATTTATGCCACATGCTCTGCTTCTTCGACACTTTTGCTTCGGGGACTAGACCCAGCCGCGTCGGGCTACAGTTGTTGTTGGCAAGAGAGATGGCCATACGGCACCACCTGTTGCTGTTGCTGCTGCTGATTCTGTCGTCCAAGTAAAGACTCGAACACCCTGGTGGAAACTCCGCTGGCCATAAGAATTGAGCCAAAATTCGAGGGGCTCCTAGTGGCGGAAATGAGAATTAAAAAAAAAAAAAGATTTGGCGTAGCCTGTGACAACCCACAGAGCTTTCTTTCTGATCCCCAAAGCTCCCTGTGAGTCACTTTGGTAGATTTGGGACGTGTCCCCCTTGAAATTTCAAGACTCCCCTGTCAATTCAACGAGGGATAGAGACTTCCGTTGAGGTCCGGGCAAGGTCAAGGGCAAGGTCAAGATTCAAACGTGTCACACAACGTCGGGCTGCAATAGGCGCGGTGGCTGGGAGGGCTGGTCCGTGACAATATGAGCATGGGGAAAGGCGGTGCAGACGAGAGAAGTCGGTCAGAGAACTCGGTCAAGGATCTCTGACTGCTCTCGAAAGCATCCAACACTGGCAGAGATTCAATTCGCAGCAGGCAATAAATGTTGCTGGTGGGATGAGATAGTGCGTTGATCCACTGCAAGGCCTGATGTCTCACAGCGCTCCGGAGCAAAAGGACTCTGCAGGGGATCAATCAGAAGAGCCAGCAGGAGGCAAGCCAAAAAATATAAAAGAGTCAAGGGAGAAAATCGGTAAAAATAAAATAGAAAAGGAAAAAAACAAGAACAAGGATATGATTCATCCAACGCGCGCACAGATAAAAAATATAAAATAAAATCCAAAGCCAACAGAATGCGTTGCGGCCTGACAACTCATGCCTGATTGGGAGGCTCAACGAAGATCGGCTGGGCAACAATATAAAGTACTAGTAGTATACTACATGAAATTGGTAGAAGGATCTAGAACTATTTACTACCAGTAGTCTACTCTGTAGTATACTATAGAGTAGCATATACTAGTATTATACCTCTTTGTTACATGGACTACCTCGGACTCATAGTGGGTGGATCTATCTGCTCTTTCGGGACAAGAGAGCACACATGCAAACGGAACTTGAAACTTGAGCAGCACTGCTTCGGCAACTCATGAGAGTGGAGTGAAATTTTGGACTTGGGGGCTCAATGCTAATCAAAACACGCGTCTACCCGCAACTCCAGTCCATGCATTCCATGGAATGATAAGACGCCATATACATCCCATAACGGTCAAAATAAAACAAACAAACAAAGAAGACATAATAAGAACCTGTACAGAAATAATTCACACATATGTACCGGAGGAGGAAATCCTCGACATCCATAAAGACATTTCACTCATCACCCTCGTGCTCGGCCTTCTTGCCCTCCGGCTTGGTCAGTGCCTTCTGCCAGATCTGGCGAGCACCCTCATGATCCAAGTCGGAGAAGAGAATGTCAAAGACCTGGGAGTACCAAGAAACGGGGTGGCCCTCAATACCATCCTTGATGTTCTATACAAGAATATTATTAGTTTGATATTCCGGAGATGATAGACCGAGTGGGTGATTGGGTGATTCAAAACTTACCGCAGGCAACTCCAACCAGTCAGACAAGTTGTCCGCAGGGAAGATAATCTTGCTAGCACCAGCCCGGCGAGCAGCAACAGTTTTCTCTCGCAGTCCACCAATGCGCATCACCTTGCCGGTCACCGTCAACTCTCCAGTCATGGCCACGGTCGGGTCGAGGGAGTGGTTCAGGGCGAGAGAAAGGAGCGAGCTGGCCATTGTGATACCAGCCGAGGGACCTGTAGATCATTAATTAGCATGTTGCGGGGGAAAGCCGGAGAGTTACGAGTAAACATACCATCCTTGGGAACAGCCCCTTCAGGGCAGTGAAGATGAACCTTGGCCTTCTCGAAGAATTCGTTCTCGGGGAATTGCTTAACCATGAGGGATTTGGCAAACGAGTAAGCGATGTGTGTCGACTCCTTCATAACATTTTGCAAGTTTCCGGTAATATCAAGTCCCGGCCGGGACCGGTGGTTCAGAACACTTTCTAGGATACACTCAACATAGAGCGCCGCTCCGCCCATGCTGGTCCATGCGAGACCCATGGTGACACCAGGAGGGAACTGGTCGTACAGGCGATCGGCAGTGAATACCGGAGGTCCAACATAGTCCTTCAAGGATTCTTTGCCAATATCGAGTGTTACTTCGTCGGGAACCTTAAGGCCCCGGCGAGGAGTTTCAGTAGTAGACTTCTCGGGTTCGATCGGCGCTTGGGCAGGGTCAGAGGACTCATGTTCCTTGTCTTCTGCTTGGGCAACCTTGCCTTCCTCAGTGAGGGCATCCTCCTCGGGGAGAGCCTCCTCGCCCAGGTCCTGAATAATCTTGAATGCTGCCTTGCGGTAGACCTTCTCAATTTGCTTCTTCAGGTTGCGAACACCACTCTCCCGGCAGTATGATTTGATTAACTCCTCAATAGCCTCTTCCTGAAGGTTGACGTTGACATTGTCCAAACCAGTGAGTTCCTTGGCGGCTGGCGCAAGGTAGCGCTTAGCAATCGCCATCTTTTCGTCTGCAACATAACCGGAAAGCTCAATGAGCTCCATTCGATCCAGCAATGGCCGAGGAATGGTGTCAGTGAGGTTGGCTGTGCAGACGAAAAGGACCTTAGATAGGTCCACTGGGACATCCATGTAGTGATCCAAGAAGGAGGAGTTTTGTTCAGGGTCAAGCAGTTCCAGCAAGGCAGAAGAAGGGTCGCCTTGGTGGCCACGGCCAATCTTGTCAATTTCATCAATGAGAATCAGGGGGGTTCTCGGTTTGACACTTCTTCAGCGCTTGAATGATGCGGCCAGGAAGAGCACCGACATAGGTACGTCGGTGACCCTTGATCTCGGCAACATCTGTCAAACCACCCACGGAGAAGCGGTAATATTGTCGGTTCAGGGCACGGGCAATAGACTTGCCAATACTAGTCTTTCCAACACCCGGGGGACCAACGAAGCAGAGAATCTTTCCTTCCACGGTTCCGCGCAGTTTGCCGACAGCAATGAATTCAAGGATTCGGTCCTTCACATCCTTCAAACCATAGTGATCCTCGTCCAAAACAGTCACTGCATTCTTAATTCCAAAGTTCTCAACGCTCTTCTGGCCCCAGGGGATCTGAGTCAGCCAGTCCAAGTAGTTGCGAGTAACGTTGAACTCCGATGCAGCAGGTTCAAGGTGGGCCAATTTGTTGAGTTCCTCCTCGAAGACCTTCTTAACGGCCTCAGGCATGGCCAGCTTCTCTGCCTTCTCCTTGAACTTCTCTACTAGCTTCTCCTTGCCATCTGACTCAATACCAAGTTCACGTTTGATTCCCTTCATTTGCTCCATGAGCCAATACTCACGTTGGCGCTTTTGGATCTTAGCCTCAACGTCTTTGGTGATCTTAGACTGTAGCTGAGCGTTCATCAACTCCTTCTTCAGAACAACGAGTGCCTTTGGAAGACGTTCTTCAACGTCCATGGTCTCGAGGACTTCTTGCATCTCCTTGAGCTCACCCGCTGAAACCGCGGCAGCAAAATCTGCGAGTTTAGCGGGCTCGTCACTCAAGTTTCCAGGAAACTGGTCGGTGTAGAAGGCTGAGATCTGGTCGCGGAACAAAGGGTTCAAGGTGGCAATCTCCTTGCACACATTCACGATCTCACTGGTGACTGCGCGAATAATCGGGCTCTTCTTATCAAATGGCTCCTCCGCAAGATTCTCGACGTTAACAAGACTGACGGGGTACTTCCGGAGGAAAGAAGTGGGCTCGTAGTGATACTTGGGCGAATTTTCCGGGGCCCCTTCCTCAAAACTAGCCACAACATCGCCCTTCTTCTCAGTTTCATTCTCCGGTGTTTCGCTTTCTTTCTTCGGAGTTGTAGGTGGGAGCAATTCTGAGATTTTGATACGTCGATGGGGATATAGCACAGCCGTCACACCAGAAGCCTCTCCACGGAGTGGATACGCTGCAGTAATCTGGGCAAACACACCGGTCTCATAAACGTCATCCATGTTCTCAATAACATCGCCATCCGCATTATCATCCTTGAACAAAAAGGCACCCACATAAGGTTGACCGCGCTTCATCATATCTTGAATAGCAGCGGCAACGTTCGGGTCTCGGATAGTGATTGCCTTGTAAAAACCGGGGAACAAGGGACGCTTGGCAATTGGAATCGCCATAACTTGAGGGTATACATCTGGAACCGCGGGTTTCTGTAGAGCCTTGTCTCCAGAGCCCTTCTTTCCTTTCTTTCCACCGTCGTCATTTCCAGAACCACCACCGCTTGCAGAACTGGGCTTAGAGTCTGCCTGGCCGCTGGTCGGGGAATGGGAGATGGAGATTTGTTCGCATCACCCTTGCCATCCGATGCATTGGCTTCCTTCTTAGCATCTTCCTCTAACCCACGTTGTTCCTTGTCATTGGCCGTTCGGTCCTTTTTCCGTGCGGAACCTGTCTGGTCTGTCGACTTCTTCCGTGACTCAGGGCTTTTATCGGCATCCTTAGCATCCCGAGATTCCTTATTCGGCTCATCCTCCGTTTTCTGGTCGAGATCGTCCTTAGGGTCGTTTGATGGAGGCTTCTCTCTCCGGACAATTGAGCTTGAGGAGAACGTGCGGGGAGCGGAGAGAGGAGATCGGCCAGCCCGGTTCAAGAATGGCGATGACCGGAGAGTCGCATTGTTCCTTGGGATGGAGAGAATCGTTCGACGGAGCAAAGGACGAGGTGTTTGGTGGAGCGCAGCTCTCCAGGGGAGGGTCTGGCCGCGGAGCATTCTATTCGAATCTCTGGCGGGGAACGGTCGGTGGTGTGGCGGATACGGATGGGGAGGGGGGTAAGGTACAAAGGATTAGCTCGAACTACCCGTCGCCGAGCTTCCAGGGGATATGAGGGGGTAAGGAGGAGGAGGAGTGTGAGGTGGAAAAGAGCTGGTGGTCCGTCTTCGGAGCTCGGTCCCAGGCTGCTCGTGCTTGGCTCACCTCGTCGGCGACGGTAGAACCATTGTCCGATGCTTCCGCCTTCCATTTTCGACCTCGGGGAAGCTTCTGGCAGCCCTAAAGATCTTATCTTGATGAGCCCACGCGACCCATTTGACCACCCGGGAACCCGGCCTGCAGAGTCCTTTTTGATAGGACAACTCTCCTAGAGGCTAGGTCTTGTCTTTTTTAGACTGTTCTCCCTACTGGTAGAACAAGCCAACCCAATTCCTCGTTGAATTTTGGTAGCACAACACAGTCAACCAGTGGATTACTATTCATCTGAGTGAAACTGAATGAAGCTTGTTTGTCGTTTTATCATATTTGGATTCATGATAGGCTCAATCTCATCATTACAATTTTCAACTAAAACTGTCTTGAAATACGTGCTTCGTCATAATTTTCCCATGAGAAGAATACTTCCAGCATACGCCCCGCATTGGACCAGAGAGGGTTACGATTATTCTAAGTGGCCGGTAATTTTCCTATCTAGTAGCAACCTTTGTTGAAATAGTTGTAGAGCCGCTGTTGAAGAGTTATCGCTATTAGCAAGACAAAAACATGCTTTTTCCTTCGAATTACAAGGTAGTAGTTGTTTGAAGACATTAATGAGATCTTCATTTGCCGCAATTCCTTTTGATCCTCTTTCCGCGGAAAACAATAACGAAAATAAAGTGATCAATTAGTACGATATTCATACTCATACTCGAACTTGAAGAGAATGCGTCAAGCCTCTCTCGAGTTGAATCTGACATGTTAAGATATAGTTCTAGGTATGGAAGCTAGTTCTGCCGCAAATAGCCGAATGAAGATCTAGAACAATAGGCTACGTTTTTTGTAAAGGTGAATGATGTTCTATAGAACCGAAATAATATTTCACAAATTGTCAGACCATTTAATAGCATCTAGTCTTTTCCAACATAAGTAGATACTCTTTTCCAGATGGCAATTGTCAAGCTATTCCCATCTGTAATCCTATACTTCCATACTTCCCCGGCACTTCGGTTATTACATCATCTCCTCATCAGGAATAGCGCATCCACGTGATTCAAATCTTCTCCGACGAGAAGCTTCTTCGCGACCACCGAGCAACAATTGTAAAGGTCATTGGCGTCAATCAGGTTTTGCCGTTCACCCTCTCATCTTCGCTCCTTGTCCACTCGTTTACAAACATTCATATCGCCGAAAAACAGTCGCGACGACAATCATCCAACCACTTCCCGGGTATTACTATCCATGAACCCATCCGCGGCATTCCCCAAGGCCGCGGGTCTCTTCGCGCGCCTCCTGCGGGCACCATCACAATGCTCGAAGCAGAAAACGACACCTACTCTCTGCTCGGCCGGTCAGAAGCGTGGTTATAATGTCGCGGCATCCCCATCGCCTGCCAGACGCCTCCGGGAGGGAGTCTACACCCCAAAATCTTCAAATGTTTTCTCCGTTCGGGTAAGTGGCCTTTGCGATCTCAATAGGCATCCTATACCTGCCAATTTTTTTGGTTAGAAATCTAATCGGTTACAGACCTTCCACTCTACCGCGCCACTCTCGATCGCCGACCCCTACAAAACCCTCGGCGTGGACAAGACGGCCTCTGCCGGCGACATCAAAAAGGCCTACTATGGCATGGCCAAGAAATACCATCCCGATACCAACAAGGAAGCAGACGCGAAGGACAAATTTGCCGCGGCCCAATCAGCCTACGAATTGCTGTCTGACGCTAAGAAGCGAGAGAATTACGATCGATTCGGTTCCGCGGCTTTTGATCAAAACGGCGGCTTCGACCCAAGTGGAGGCAATCCCTTCGCTGGAGCAGGTGGTTTCCATGGATTTGGTGGGGGCTTCGGAGGCGGTGGATTTGGAGGTGGATTTGCACAGGATATCAATTTCGAGGATCTCTTCGGTGCCTTTACTGGAGGCGCTCGTCGCGGCCCTCGTGGTCGCCGCAACCCGTTCCAGGAGCAGATTCTTGTGGGCGAGGACATTGAAGTACAAAGCAACATTTCTTTTATGGATGCGGCGAAGGGCACATCCAAAGAAATTCCCGTCACGCCTCTTACCCAGTGTGGAACCTGTTCCGGCGATGGTCTGAAGTCTGGTGCGAAACGATCCCAGTGCCGCCAGTGCAATGGTACCGGAACCCGAGTTCATATCATGCAAGGTGGTTTCCAAGTTGCGGCAACCTGTGATTCCTGTGGGGGTGTCGGTATGACCGTTCCTCGGGGTTCTGAGTGCGGTACCTGCAATGGAAACGGTGTTATAAGGGAACGAAAGACCATCAAGGTTGATATTCCTGCTGGTGTGGACAATGGTATGCGAATGAGGGTTACCGGAGAAGGTGATGCTCCTCCTACTGGAGCCGCCGCGGCTGCTGGAGCTCGCACCCAACGTGGTGATCTCTATGTTACCATTCGTGTTGCTCCCGACCACCGCTTCAGCCGTTCTGGTGATGACATTCTCTATACCGCCTCTCTTCCGCTCACCACCGCACTGCTTGGTGGTGAAGTCACCATTCCTACTCTCGACAAGGAGGTTAAGGTCAGGGTCGCTACTGGTACCGGTACCGGCGATCGAATCACTTTGACGGGAATGGGTATGAAGAAGATCGGTAGCAGTCGCATGCGCGTCCAGCCTACTGGTGATTTGAAGGTAGAATTCAAGGTTGCTATGCCCAAATACCTGAGCGGCAACCAGCGAACCATTCTCGAGGTTCTTGCGGATGAGATGGACGACAAAACGGCTCGACGGACCATGAACTTCAGCAAAGACAGGTAAGTTTCCAGCAGTTTTGAATACCGAGCTTGATCACAATGCTAACATCTGGACCAACCCTCCGTCGACTAGCGGATCTACCGAAGAATCATCGAAGAATGAAGGGTTCCTGAAGTCTGTCTGGCATAAGCTGACGGAGAAGAACTCTGACGCTTCGAAGACCGAGCCCAAGGGCGCAAAGGATGCAAAGGATGCGAGAGACGCCAAAGAGGGCGACAAGAAAGAATCCGGCAAGGACGACTCAAAGAAATCGAGCTGAGCTAATGTAAATGTTCCATGTACTTCTATCTACCTTCATCTTGGGTTGTATTTACTTTCAATGTCATAGCGCCGGCGAGCTCGGGGGAGGCCTTGTTCTGCTTGGAGGATGGGGCAGACGCCTTGTATTATTATTACTTTGTGTTAGGTTATCACCAAGCTCTCTACTCCTTAGTATTAGAATTAGAATATAGACACTGCTAAAAGGATACCATAACCCCTTTTGGAGGGTAGTCTAGAATAGCTTGTTAGATCATGATCGCTTTGAGATCTATGGATAAATTAAATCAGGCCAGCCTTTCGTAGAAACAATGATTGGCATATTCTTCTAATATGCACTAGTACAGATTTCCTAGCTCTCATTCCATTCCACCTGTGCCTATCGGGGCTGGGCAGTGATCTGGCTGGGCCCTGTGGTTGGCGCCCCCCCCGACTCACCCGTCACGGTCATCACATCCCACCTGTCACCTTCCACCGCGCGCCGGCTTCCACCCCTCCTCCTTTTCTCCCTTGTCCTTGTTCACTTGTCCTTGTCCCCCCTCTCTGCGCGCAGTTGAATTTGATTGCTGCCTTTAATCACCGTGAAGCCGACGTCATTGACCCAGCGATTAGCGACCATCAGGCGCCGACCTTCCGCCTTCCCTTTACCCCACACAGCCATCCGATCCCCTCAAGGCACCGTTGAATCAACAGCCTCCCCCCTGGTTCCTATACACTCTCAGCTATCGCTAGTGGATGGGAGCAGCTGGCTCCTGACAACCATTCCGCTACCATGGTTCAGTCACCTATGCTCTCGTGTCCGCTGAAGCAGACCAACGAGATCGATTGGATCCAGCCCCTCAAGGATTACATCCGACAGACTTACGGCGAGGACCCCGAGCGTTACGCGCAAGAATGTAACACCCTCAACCGACTTCGCCAGGATATGAGAGGAGCTGGAAAGGACAGTGCTACAGGTCGTGATCTGCTTTATCGATACTATGGCCAACTAGAGCTCTTGGATCTTCGGTTCCCCGTCGATGAGAACCATATCAAGATCTCCTTCACATGGTACGATCTGGACTATTTAGCCTTTCTTCCAACTATGATTCATTGCTTACCCACTGTTTGAACTCCTTCTAGGTACGATGCCTTCACCCATAAGCCTACTTCACAGTATTCCCTGGCCTACGAGAAAGCTTCCATCATCTTCAATATCTCCGCCGTACTCTCTTGCCATGCCGCCGATCAGAATCGCGCCGAGGATACTGGGCTCAAGACGGCATATCACTCCTTCCAGGCATCAGCTGGAATGTTTACCTATATCAACGAGAACTTCCTTCATGCACCCTCGACCGATCTGAACAGGGATACCGTCAAGACCCTCATCCATATTACACTGGCTCAGGCCCAAGAAGTGTTCCTCGAGAAGCAAATAGCGGACGGAAAGAAGCCAGGATTTCTTGCTAAACTAGCCGGTCAGGCTGCCTATCTCTATTCTCAGGCTGCGGAGACATTGCAGGACTTCGTCAGCAAGAATGTCTTTGACAAGGTTTGGTCGGTCGTAGCGCAGGCCAAGACGGCGCATATGGGCTCGGTGGCCTCTTACTTCCAGGCAATTGCAGACAGTGAGAGTGGATCCCATGGTATCGCAATTGCTCGACTTCAGCTTGCCGACAAACAATCTGCTACGGCGATCAGTTGCGCCAAGGGATTCCCCTCGTCCCCTCCGGCAACATCCAACCTCACTGCGGAGTCTGGAAGTACCCTCATGGATCAAATCAAGCATCACCATGCAAACGTTGAGGACCAACTTACCTCCATGACCAAGGACAACGATTTCATCTACCACCAGCCAGTCCCAAGTGAGGCTGGACTCTCGCCAGTCGCCAAGCTGCCGGCTGCGAAGGCAATTCCAGTCAGCGAGCTATACCAAGGACAGGATATCCAGCGAATCATTGGCCCTGATATATTCCAGAAGCTCGTACCCATGGCCATTACAGAGAGTGCTAGTTTGTACGATGAAGAGAAGGCCAAGCTGATTCGAGCTGAAACCGAAAAGGTGGAGACCGCCAATGGCGAGATGGCTGCTAGCCTTGACTATCTGAAATTGCCAGGTAGTCTCAACATCTTGAAAGGCGGCATGGATCAAGAGATGACTGTGGATGAAGAGTTCCGCCGCTGGTGCTCAGAGCTTGGTGGACATAAACCATTCAATAAGGCCCTCGATGACCTGCAGGATCGGAAAGCAGAGGTTCAAGCCGCGCTGGATGGTTGTTCCAAACAGCTCGATTTAGAAGAGAGCGTTTGTGAGAAGATGCGATCCAAGTACGGGGGTGATTGGAGCCAGCAACCCAGTGGCCGTCTCAACACTACACTCCGAGGAGATGTTCGCGCTTACCGGGATACGATCAGCGAAGCTAGTGCCAGTGACACCCAGCTTTCGGCTACATTCCGGCAGTACGAGAGTGACTTTGATCAGATGCGATCCGCTGGAGAGACAGACGAGGCCGACGTGCTTTTCCAACGGGCCATGATCAAGGCTGGTTCGAAGCACGGCAAAGGCAAAAATGGCGTGTCCAGTCCTGCCGAGGGTAGTCTCCTGGATGATGTGAACATCGAGGGCGGCATGTCTGTATCGGACCAAATCAACAAAGTTGAGGAGATCTTGAAGAAGCTCAATCTTGTTAAGCGAGAACGCTCCCAAGTACTGAAGGATCTAAAAGAGAAGGTAAGTAGCATATTGACATTTCACTTGGATTTTGTGTCATAAACGACGCTAATAAACCCCTTAGGTTCACACTGACGACATCTCCAATGTGTTGATTTTGAATAAGAAGTCAATTGCCGGCCAGGAGACCCAACTTTTCGAAGCAGAGCTCGAGAAATTCCGCCCGCATCAAAATCGTCTCCTGCAGGCCAACCACAAACAATCGTCGCTGATGAAGGAATTGACAAAAATCTACGCCGATTTGCTCCAAGACAAGCGAGTCCAGTCCGAGCAGTCAAAATATGAGGGCATTACTCGGCAACGGAATTCGGTCATGGCGCGATACAAGAAGATCTATGAGGCTTACAATGGCCTTTCGTCCGGAATTGTCCAGGCACGGACTTTCTACAAGGAAATGGGCGAGAATGCCGATAGCCTGCGCAAGAACGTCGAGACCTTTATCAGCAACCGCCGGTCCGAGGGTGCACAGCTCTTGAGCCAGATTGAGCGAGACAAGGCAAGCGGCGTTTCGGAGCAGGAGGATCGTGAGCGGGAGAAGCTTCGACAGCTGATGGAACGTCTTTCTACGGAGCCCAAATCGTCGACCTCACCTTCCACTGGATCTGCTGCAGCTCCCCCGGCTCCCTCTAAGATCAAGTCGCCTCCACCGCCAGTCCATGCTCCTTCATATTCAGCAACTGGTCCGTCTCCCCAGATGTCCCCACGCTATCCGCCCACCATGCCCGGGGCACCTCCGTCTGGTGTTCCTCTCTCGCATTCACCGGCACCTTACGGTCAATACATGGGCGCCAATCCTGGGTACATGCCTGGTCAGCCATTCCAACAGGGAGCTGCCGCCCCTCTCTCAGAAGGATATAACCCCATGGCATACCCGTACCAGACACCTGTCTCGCCGCCTCCGAACCAACAATACTTCTCTCAAACTCCTACCCCATACAGTGGCTACACCAGCGCCAGCCCAGCTCCTTCTGCCGCTGTAGCCGCCCCCCAACAGCATTACATGGCTCCCCAGGGCTACATTCCCCCTCCACCTCCTCCTCGTCCACAGCAACCCAGCTACCCTCCTTCGGCCGGCGGAGTCTACCCATCCGGGCCTGGCGGCTACTCGCAGGCTCGGCCATACGGTCACCAAAAGGCACCTTCCCAGTCTCAGCCGCCATCTGCATCGAATGACCCATGGGCAGGACTGAATGCGTGGAAATGAGGCACCACAGGGGAAAATGGGAATGGCAATTTGGAGGGGAGAGGGCATATATCTCGGCGTTAGCTTTGCTATGATATGATATCACTCGTGTTTGATTTTTGTCTTCAGCCTGCGACGCATCATCTTTCCTCGTTAGAGGAAAGCTATTGCGGCCGCGGGTGGATGTTTACTCTTCTACTCGTTTTTAGCTTGAGGCAGCCCCTGTGCTGTTATGTACATGACAAATGCGAATACAAAATAGTCATCAGTATATCGTGATTCTATGGTAGAAATATCCCCTGAAGTTACGTGGGAACTCATTTATCATGAGGATCCAGGCTGCGTCGAAAAAATATCACAACGCATCTATGCGGCATGCACTCCAATGAGATGCCCCATATGAGGTTAGTTACCAGCCAAGCCACGCAGCCACAGGGATTTGGTTTCGATGTCTTTCCATGCATAATATCCGATTGACCCCACCAGCCCTTTTGGCCGGGAGACGTACTTAAACCTGCTACCCAACAAGCGTATCCTCTATAGCATTCTTCATGGAAGTAACTTGAGGATCATCTATACACAGCTTTACAATTGACGACATAGGACAAAATGAAACGCGTTGAATGTCTCCAACCATCTTCCCAGGTACCTAGTCAAGAGGCTAGTGCTTGGCATCTCCCAGCAGAAATAGAATCGGATATCACAACCTAGCTGCAATCTGTCAAGCCAAGCATCAACAACGTGCTCCTTTGGAAACAGGTGTGGAACGAGAGGTGGAATATGTGGAAAGTTCGGACGAGCAAATGGATGGCGATGAACAGCCCTCGACGAGCATTGCCGCTTCTTTGACGGAGGAGGGTACGAAGTCGGTCAAGATGCGATTTCTAGATCGGCTGGCTGAGATACTCTGTTACAAAAAGGATGCACACTATGTAACTTGTACAGCTATGCAAGAGACCGATGACGAGGTAAATATTTTAGCATTGAGGAATGATAGATGGGAAGGGAAGGACATCAAGCTCCTAGAGGAAGTAGCGAGGCTAGAACTAGTTGCGAACAGAGGTATACGTGGAATTTTTATTTGCGGGTATCAATCCATCCCCTCTTCAAGTTGAAGTCTAATCTAGCATCAATACCAGAATCCCTTGACATGGAGTCTTTACCGGGCCTCCAAGCACTCCTCAGCGAATACTATACTCCACGCCTTAGATATCATGCGTCACAGCTCCTCGGTTTGGTAGTAAAAAAGAAGGAAATGTACAAGTTGATCGCACTTTTGAAGAAATTTTCCTCAGGAAGGGTCTCTTCCACAACCTTGGTTACCATTGTCGACGATATTTGCTATAACACAACTTTTTACTCTGAACTCAATCAACTCTTAACGTAAAAGCAGGTCAAATGAATAACACGTGAGCTGGGCTTTCTTTGTCGCCCTAAATACGCCTATGCCACCTTTTTGGAAGCAACGCGCGAGATCCAAGGTTTCCAGAGAGTGAATATCACGCTCGTCCCCGGAGCCAAGGCGAAGCAAGTTCCACCGAACAAATCGTTGTGCCCCCAATTGCGAACCAAAGCAGACCAAACAATTTTGAAGTTGCTGGGAAAGAAAAAATGGATCCATGCTGAAATGGGAATGGAAATGGGAATGGTTACCCATCTTATTAGCAAGGACAGTGTAGCTCAAACTTTCCCATATCTCGGTATTAGCAAAAAGACATGTTTTATGTGTGGTCACATTCTGCAGAGTTTGGCTCTCTTTCAAACGCGCAGCAATCATGGCAAGGTTTATTCCCAATGGACCTTACCAAGCTCTCTTCTTATTCCATCCTTATATCAAGGCAAACTAGATCCTGCGATTCAGAACCTCCGTGATGTGCTGCGGCATGAGTGTGCTGGGGGTGATGACCAACATATCGATGCGGTCAAGGAGTCAACTATTCAACTCCAGTAGCTCCAAGGACAGTGACAAGGTCATAAAAGGAAACACTCCGAGGTGACACCAAAAGCTCCAACGGCAAGGATAACCGTTCCCTTAACTCTCTTCGTGTAACTCTGAACTTGCTGTGTGGTCACTCATGTGTGGCATCCAATTTTCACCCCACAGTTGTTAAAGGTGAGCATTCGAAGGAAGAGAAGGAGAAGCACCAAATCATGCCATGGAGCGAATCAAATTACCATGACAAACACACTCAATCGACAATCCTTTCGTGGATTAACAACAATCAAACCAAAAAACTCGACATCCCATCAATCACTCATCACTCACCCGCCTCTCACTGTGGAGTTCACGAATCGGCGAGATCCACAGATGGCGGGGTGAGAGGAGGGGGGATGGAATTCGATCTATCGATTTCTCGATTTCGAGGCGGGCTGGCATTCCCACCTCAACGTTTGTTCATTTTCTTCCGGATTTCATCCATACGCAATCCTTGGCTTCTCGCCTCCCTAATACCACTAGTTCTCGGTATATCGAGCTTCTTAGTGGCCATGATTGAGCCTCGGTCGGTGCAGCCATGCTATACTACTATTTGTCCCCCTTGTTGAAGGCAACACTGCCATCGAATACGCCCCCGACGCAGCAGCAGCAGCAGACTCATGACAACCGTCATCACATTGAAGCCGGCTATTCCACCGTGGCAGTATGATCTCATGCAAAAATGCGGTGCAAGGCCATGCCCCTTTCGAATTGAAAGGCAGACAGACTTCTCCCCCGACACAACCTGCAAAACCGACTTAGATTCAAGTATCTCCAGCGATTGAAATGCTTCTCGATACACGACTAGACGAATAAAACGACAAACTACATACAGTAATACAGCATCTACGAATCGACCACGACCGAAAAGACCCTAACATACAACCTATACAAGTGCAAAGAAGAAGAGAACGAGAAACGAAACGAAACGAAACGAATACGAACAGGGGGAATATCAACCAGACAAAATCGACAAAACGACAAAACGACAAAAGCAAACGACAACAATCCAATCCAACAATTTTACTTCACCAACCACAGCCACCACTCAAACAGCCCCAACCCCAACACTACCACCAACCCCAGGACCCTTCTGCTGACCCCTCAACCTCTCCTCCCTCCTCCGACTATAAGGCGCACAATACGGTTCATCCGAAGACCCAATACTAGCCCTAACCCCATCCTGCGAAGCATGATAAGCCGGACTCGACGGCGCAGGCGCAAGCTGCATAGCCTTGAACTGGGCGTCGGAGATAATACGCCGTCCGTACAGATATCGCATTAACTCGAAATCGGCCCGGCTTCCTGCTAGTGTTTGGCCGGTGCGGTAGTGTGCGGCTACGTGGTTGAGGAGTCTGGGCCAGGCTGTGCTTGTGCTTTGGTGTTGGTTGGGGCTGAGATCTATCTCATGATCGATTCGGGTGTAGGGTCCGTCGGGGCGGACGTCGGTTCCTGAGTCGACGCGGCGGATTGAGGTTCGGGCGGGAGGAGAGGGGAGATGAGGGTGTTTCTTTTTTATGCTCGGCCTCATCCTCCGACACTTCTTGCTCCTCCTCCTCCTCCTCATCGTCTAGACCTGAGACCGGCGAAGAGAGAGGATTCGGATCACCGTCCACGAACTTTGTATTTGGGCAGAGGGGGCACCGTGCCGTTTGAGGGGGTGGATGTGTGCGGAAGTGACTCAGAACGTGGGTGGTCCAGTTATTCTCGTCGTCGAAGGACTCGTGGCAGTCAAGCGTATGGAAGAGACAAGTATAGATGCGGGGATCCGGAATCTCTGCATCTCCGCCGTGACCTGCTGCGTGCCCTAGTCCATTTCCCTCGACATTTATATCTGCATCTCTGTCCTCGTTATGGGTGGCAGGCAACGACGGTACGGCGGAAGATATGGATGGCGCAGCGATACTCCACGACGAAGATGAATGCGACCCCGATGTCACAGACCGTGCTGCTCTAGTACCACCGCGAGACCCCGCTGGCCCTGATAGATTCGACGTGACTGTCACGGCCACCCTCTCTCTGTCGATACTCTGGCGCTGTCGTTGATGTTGATGTTGCTGCTGACGCTGACGATGCCGTGACTGCGGTTCCCTTCCTACCGGGCCTCCGAAGTCATCTTCTCGGGCTGAGCCGGTGGCTTCGCTGCTGGCGGTGTTTGTATCGAACGATGAGATCGACGAGGAGTCGCCGCTAGTCAAGGCTGGGATGGAGGGGGAGAAAGACGGCATGCCGGAGCGGAGACGTCGAGGCGGGTCTTTTTTCCCTTTCGTTTCCTTCCTTTTCTCTGCTTTTCTGCTTTATTTGCTTTTTCCTTTCTTCCTTTTTTGTCTTCCTTTCTTCCTCCGCTATTCCGAGTCCCTCCTGCTCCTTCGGCTTTCGCTTATTTCTTTTCTAGCGTTGCTTGTTGTGACGCGGTTGGGTGGTGGGGTGGGGAAGAGAATATGATCTGCTTGAATGTTCTGCCAAAGAGTTGATTAGTCTGTTTCATCAGTCAGACGGACAGGCAAAAAGCAGATACGACGAAGACGTGCTGGGGCTCAAGCGCAGGCTCCGATATACTCCGCACGGCCGATGGGCGCGGGGAAATGCCATCCATCCAACGCAGTTCAGTCGTCAGACACTTCCAGACTCTCTTACAAGACCGTCGTCATAAGTCTAGAACACATCCCACTCTTGGGAAAGGAACAGGTACAGCCATGATAGAGAACAGCGTCGTGCGCAAGATGGGGATAGATGGTGGATGGTGGATGGTGTGATATCAAGACACATCCAAGCAAGGCAGACTGGCAGTCGAGGAAGAGGAAGAAACTGAAAAGAAACCATGATACACATACATATGGAAAAGAAAACAAACTCGTCTATATCCATGGATATTCAACGCTCACTTTCCAATCCAACCCCAACTACGATTGAAAAAACGTGAAAATGATCACCGAAATCCTCTGCAATCGCGTATCTTTGCGAACTTGAAAGTGTCAGCATGCATGACATTTTACATTAGTTGCCGGCCTAGCCCGGGTACAGTGCAGTGCAGTGCCGTGCGGTGCAGGTGGCCAGTGTGTGGCCAGTGCCAGTGGATACTCGTAGTTATCGTACCTCCTCTCGGTATATTATGGTTAAGCGTCAACGGGCCATTGTAAAGAACGAAGTGGGGAATGCAAGTCGACTAGCATTGGACTATCATTTCACAGAGAAGGAAAGAAGGAGGGGGGAAGGGGAAAAGAATAATATGTGTTCTTGAAACATGTAGGGCTTTTTTTTTTCGCGCTAGGAACGTTGGAGGGGGAGCGGGGTGGTCGATGGGGGCTAACGTTTGGGCGGTGCAGTAGTTAACTAAAAAGTAATTGTTGGGCTGAGGTAGTTGGTTCTTGCGTGAAGACTGGGCAGGGTCAATCCTATAGGGTGGACTGGGTCGGGTGGAGAGATGGCATGATTTTGTGATGGGAGGCTTGGTTGTCATAAGTACTGAAGAATTCTTGGACTAGATAGTAGTGGTACTAGTACTAGTACTACTAGTAGTAAATTAATTAATTAACTGCAGTGATTCTAATTGCATGTATGGGACGTTCCGTTGCTGGTTCCGTCCAATGTTCGGCAGTCTCCACTCATGGATATTCGGATGAACCCTAATTGACAAAATGGAGGGGAAGACGGAAGTATACTCAGTTGGAGACAGAGAGAAGATGGAAGAGTAGTTTATAAAGTATTTTTTTTGGTTCTGATTTCCCTCAAGGGTAAGCAAATATTAGAGAGATAGTAAAGATAGTGGTCAAGAATGGAAAAGAGACCACAGGCCTCAGGAGAGGAGAATCGTAAAGGTCAAGTCAGAACGACAAAATTTTGGACTCGGAGAAGAGAAAGAAGCCACAGAAATATCCCGATCCGTCTATTGGTTACAGCGCCTTTCGCAGGAATATGAGAATGAAAATGAAAAAAAAGAACAGGAAAAATAACCGATCCATCCGACACCGTTGATGCCTGCAATCCAGGAAGAAAATGCACAAAGTCTATATCGTTTCGTAGCGCGCATAACGGAGATTTCGAGGAGACGTGAGAGAGAAGAGAAAAAGGGAGTGGTGTTTTGTCTTTTTTTTTTTGGTGGAGGGTTTCCTCTTAGAACCGCTCGGCCAAGTCGTTTCCAGCGACGGAGTTGTTCGTTGACGACGACATGGATGTGAATCCGCTGGCCGGGTTGAGCATGTCCTGCACGGCAACCTTGGGCACCTGCGGCACTGGCAGCTTACGCTGGGTGCCATCGGGTTTTGACATGATGTCGGAGATGGTGGGACCCATATGACCCTGACTGGGGCTATAGTAATTGGGTCCTTCAGGTTGTGGCTCCATGGGGGCCAGAGCGGGAGTATGTTGCAGGGACAGGTGGCGGATTGAAGGCAGGTGAAGCTCGTTGGCACCTAGGGGACGCAGGCGAGGCGAGTGTGCGGGGGTTGCCAGAGGAGTGTGGTCAGGAGTAGGAGAGAGCGAATCGTGAGAAAAGGTTGGGGACGAGGGGGCAGTGGAGTTGGGAGAGTTGGGTCGCGAACGCTTTACGCGGTGTCCGCCATAGTTATCATCGTCCTCGTTAGAGTGCGAACGAGTCATATTTTGCGAGATGGCGTAGGCGGAGAGCGAAGGCAGGCCACGGCCAGTGTGATGGCGCGAGCCGAACATTTGATGACGGTTTCCGGAGTGGTAGCCCAGGTGATCATCCCGTTCGACCTGAGAAGCTGCAGTTGCCAGCAAGTTGATGTCCATTCCAGAGGAGGCACGGTCGTTGTTGCGCGAGTAAGGACCCAAGTTAGAGCGCATTTGGTTCGCGTAGTTGGAGAAGGAGTGAGGGGGAGACACATCCGGAGAGCCAACTTGGGAAACTGGCGCAGAACGGGTGATAGGCTTGCTGGGAGGAGGCATCATGTTTGCTGCGTTGACCATGGCAGCATCTTGACCAGCAGCAGCGGCCGCGGCCGCGGCGAGATGTTGAGCCTTGTTGCTGCGCCGAGAGTTGGGGTTGTTGTGAATGCGCGAATGGCGAGTGAGTTCGTCGGAACGGCTGAAGCGCTTAGTGCAACCGGGGAACTGGCAGGCATGAGGCTTCTCGCCGGTGTGTGTCCGAATGTGACGAGTCTGGTGCTCCAACCGGTGGAAAGCCCGGTCGCAGAGGGGACACTTGTAGGGCCGGGGTAGATCCTGGCGCACCTCCTCATTGGCGGGACGCGTACCCTTCATGAGGGGTGGCAGTAGACTGACGGAAGAAGCCATGGAGGAATCCGAGTCTCCGTGAGGAGAAATGGGAGCAGAAGTCGGAGTGGTTGATTCTTGAGGATTCAGTAGATTGGAGAAACCCACTGAAGAGACGGGGGCGGCATGTGAAATCTGCAGTGGGACGAGACCGGATTTAAAGCCGGGGGTCAAACAGATCTGGAGGAAGTGCCAAAGGCAAATAAAGAAGAAAAAGATTGCCGAGGTGAAGGAAGTAGGCCGGGGAGTCAAGTGCGAGAAGTGTGACTTGGAGCTAAAATCGTCCGGTCGATCAACACCCGAGATGGAGAGGGGTCGATGAGGTCGATCAGGAGGATCAGATGTAAATCCTTATTGTTGTTCCTTTTGATTTATATGGGATTTTTAGTCCTTGGAGACTAAAAAAGGATCGAGGGAAAGGAGTCTGGGTGGGTGTGTGCGAGAAGGAGGAAAGGAAAAAAAAAATCTGGAGATGACGATCTGGGGAGCAGGAGGTAATAAAGGGAGGGGGGGAAGTATGAGGAATGGAGGGGGAGAAAAGGGAAAGGGAGAAATCGGGGAGAAGGGAGTCGTTCGGAATCGGGGGTGAAAAAATAAAATAAAAATAAAAATAAAATAAAATAAAAACCAAAGAGACTTATCGGATCGTAACAAGGTTGAGCAGTTACTGTGGGGGAACAGAGTAGAGAGGACATCTACTAGTATAGTAACAGTGCTCTCTCTAAGTTGGGGGCAAGAAAATTCAAAAATCAAAAATCAGAATTTAAAAATTCAAAATTCGACCGGAAAAAGGAAAGAGAAAAATCAAAAATCAGAATTTAATTCCCAAAAAAGCAAGGAAAAGGTTGACTAAAAGAAATGGGGGACGGGAAATGGCCGAAAAGAGCGGACAACATGCGGTAGATCGACTGAGGGAATGGACCGGGCTTTGGAGCCCTTTGATCCTGGGATAAAGTACGAGTACAGAGTACAGAGTACTCTATATTCATGAACATAAGTTAATGAATTGTAGTATCCCCTAATATCTACAATACTATCTATACCCAGACAATTAATTAACTACAGTGTGCCCTGGGGAAGAAAAAGGTGGAACCTGAAAGGGTAAGGGGAGACAGTGGGAGAACACAAAAAAAGAAAGAAAAATTCAATTTTTATTCCGTAAAAAGATGAGTCCCCCCCAAGAAAAATCAAAGGAGGAAAAAAAAGAAAAAAAAAGAAAGAAAAAACCCCAAGGAAACCCCGAAGTGCGCCAGTGTGGGGACACCCGAAAGGTCCTTTCTGATTACATGATGTGAAGAACCCCCCCCAAGTCCGTGTGGCGTGAGTGCGTGGCCTTACTTCCACTTCCACTCCCACTGCCCACTGCCCACACTGCCCTACTGCCCACACTGCCCCCGTCCGTACTCTTCCGGCTATCGCGCGTCTGGAGAATGCGGGCTTATCTGGGGTGACCAGGTAGAGGAACGCCAGGAATGCCAGAAGACTAGTCTGGCCAAAATGATCCCTGATCCTATGGTCTATGGTCTTATGGTCTATGGTCTTATGGTCTATGGTCCATGGCCGATGGTCTCATCGATGGCACAATCTATGATCTGAGAATGATAAACGATGATGCTGTTTCCCCGATCGTTGATACTATCTACTCCCAGTGGCAAAGAATCCTTCCCCCGGCCGGGGCGACGGAAGCTTCTTACTCGAGACCTGGGGTACGGGTGTCTCTTCCCCCATTCTCCCTTGTGGAACGGGGAAACCTTGAGGGTTAAAAAGGAAAAACCATACCAACCTAATTAACGCCAGGGGGAGGAGATCTAGGGCTGTGACGATGGCAAGGATCATCGATGATGTCGACACATGATACATGATTTGAGCATGATTTAGTCATGGGGAGGAATGGAGAGGTCATACAGACGGATCGTACGAAAACAACCCGGGTTTTTTCCAAGACAAGAGAGAACTACCTCGTGCCAGTGAGCCATCGAATCGAGTACCATGTGTACGAGTTGGCTTTTGTTGCAAAAATTAAAACAAAGATAGCGAAGAACCATAGTACCCCATACGGAGCACTCCGTACGGGCAGTGTACCCCAGATTCGGAGGCACCGCAGCGCCCAGCATAAGTCCATCATCTCCTGGACAGATAGCTGATAGGCGTAAATCGGCCAATGATGGAGGAGGATGCACCTCCAGCCGCAAAGCCCGTCCAGATGTCAATCCGTCACACTCTCTTTTCCCTGTCGTTGCAATCACACTCGCGCATTCGGAAATTGGGTGGCGTACCTGTGGTACAGGTTCATGCTCTCCAGAGTCTACACTCCAGACTCCAGACTTTGTGAATCTGGAGTCTTTTTTTTCAATCTGGGGCAACGGAGCTTTCCCCGAGGACTTCGCCACACACACATACGCCTAGCCTAGGATACCCGGGTTTGGCCCCGAGGAACACCTTTTCCCGAATGGACTGATAATAACCGCCCCGCGATCGCGCCACCAGCGGAGAACCGGGGATAAAGAAAGATACGCTGCTCGGCAAGACCCTCCCGTTCAGCCGCCATGTGACGGAGTCGGTTTATCTGGTTGGTGCAATAACTTCTCATTATCTTGTCATTCTTCCAAGATGGGTAATAAGCGAAGTCCCAGTTTCCACCTTTTGTCGACCATCAAGCTGGTTCATGGGGTGCCGCGGTGGCCGCCAACAAGCCTCTTTGCCCCCTTTCCTTTCTGGTATTCGCGATTCGCGATCCAGGGCGGTGGACGAGCTGCATGTTCCCGAGCTCAAGGGGCTGGCCTCTAGTCGCAGATCCTCCAAGGGTCATGAATTTGGGTGAGTGAGGCGATTCAGCTCGCTCCGGCGATCCAAGATACACAAAACACAATTGTACATACGAAATGGCCATTTGGCTTTTTCTTTCCCCAGCTTCGGTCGATCTCCGGCTCTGGCTCTGGGTAAACTCGGACTATCTAGTCTGGGGAACAATATTGTGGAGATAACGAAATACTCCCACCACTGGACATACGACTGAACAATAACAAGATAAGGCCCATGGGACGTCTTCTTCCCGAAGTCTATACGGAGTACCATACCCCGAACTGGTTCAGTAAGCGGCGACTGATCGCTCGTCTTGGGGATGCCGGATCGATTGCCGGCCGGGTACTTTGTCCCGTCTGGTTGAAGAGGCCAAATTAAGCCAAGCCATGACCCACTGCGCCGATGAATTCCCGTTTCGAAACACTGCCACTCCACGGAGGAATGGCGTAATCCCTGGAGAACCTACGGATTTGGCGCCCCGATACCCCGGTCTGCAGGGGGGCTATTTGTGATGAATTGGGAGGGGGGGTTGTGGAGGGGCTTTTGCAAAGCAGGTACGGAGTACAGTACGGAGTAGAGGTAACTACCACTCACTAGTTTACTTAGTACCTACACACTACTCTGACCACGTACTATTACCCGCTTTTTGCCGATAGCCACAGCGTGAAACGCTACCTGTCATTCTCTACCTGGCAGGGGGCACATATGCGGTTTCAGCTGACGAGTCGACTTGAGTCGAGTTAATTCGATTTGATTCGATTCAAATAATGCCTTGCCTGTGGTCAGCGTCAAATTACAGCCTTCAAGTGGATGGATGAGAACTCCAACGAAGTCTGGCAGATCGGAAGCTGACTTCCGTGCCTATCCATGATGTGATGGGGCAATTCTCGTTTCACTTTCCCAGGCTGGGTCCTCTTGTCAGAATTTTCAAGATCCTTCTCCCCGCGATCCCAAAGATCGGCACCGCTACCCACACTATAACCAGTAGAGCGTGGGGGAGGAGCACACCTACTGCACAGAGACAATCTGTTGGAGTACCTTCATAGTCGCCGCATCCGGCGACATACCCTTTTGGGAGGGTTGGCGGGAACAGGCAACAGGTGTGTCGTGTTCCCTTCAAGCGGTCAATCATCACCCTATCGCAGCACAGAAATCTCCGGAATGATCTGCAGAGTTTGAGAGGGTGTACCCGATGATCTTCGATAGCTCTGAGTCAGAGATACCCCGCAATCTCCAATCTTCAGGGCTTTGTATACCACAAGCAAAAAAAAATTAAAAAATTGGCCATCTATCTGCTGATCAACCCGCGGATGGTCTTAGAATCTGCCCTATGGTGAGGATGTACGACTCCAAGGAACTCACCTACCGCAATGCAGCAGGGGTTGTCTCGCAAGCGTTGTCCGCGCACCCACTAGCACATGCCGCGATCGTCATGGACCTCTGCAAGTGATAGGCCTCCTTCCATGTCCGACATCGCCGCAACGGTCAGAGATTGCGCATCATCAGCAATGAAAATGAAAAACCAGTCTTTCCTTCCCCGCAAGTCCACATCACGCCATATTTGGTAGCCATTATTCTGGGGACAGGTGTCGCCAATTTTTTAGACTTGCTTTCCCCGGACCGAGTAAATCTCAGCCCCAACACGACGGTCCAATGGTCGATCATACGGTGTTATCAGCGCTAGAGGATCCCCAGCTGTGGTGACGATTGGATGGAACCATAAAAAGAATGAGGAAATCAAGCGAACAATCAAAAGCCAAAAAAAAGGAAAGTGGGAATCGAAACAAGACGAAAGAGGAAAACGCCGAGTCTCCGACTCGCTCGCAACTCCGTTGTGCCCGATACCAATACGCGATATTCTTAGTCAAAGGCGGCCCCAAAAAGGAACCTCCACCTACGTTATTCGAACTATGGCCTCCTTCCGCGTCGCATTGGAGTCAGATGGAACGAGATAGACTCCGATCCTGGCTGCCAGCAGGGTGCTCGAGCTCAGCTGAAGACAAGAATCTGGTATGCACCGACACGGTCTGGACACCTATGCCTGTCCTGTCAGCCCTCGCTGCAGCCCCCTTGCGACAGGCATCAGTCATGACGTGCTCGCCCTTTCAGCGTTTAGCATTCAGTGTTCAGCGTTCAGTATTCAACATCTTAGTGGTTTAGTTTTCAGTATCCTTCAGCCTATACCCTGATAACCCTTCAGTTTTGACGAGGACCGGGGT